CAAAATCTGTGGTGTTCATTGCGTGGAAGTATTTCTGGAAATAAATGTGGGAAAAAAAATTACCAAAAAGCTTCAAAATATCTTTGATGGAAACACAACTAGGGAGAATAAAGAAACTTACCAGCTTTTCAGCAACTTTACTTCTTAAGATTTACGTCCAGTAAACGTAAAAGCAATGTCGTATTTGGAGTATAAGTTAAGGGAAAGCTAATTTGGAAAATGCGAGGTCTTCAAATTATCAGAACTAAACTAACAGAATAATGTATGGAAAACCAAAAGCAAAACTACAAACCATCGGCAGTCCGAATGATTATTTACATTAGGTTAAAATGACACAATCCGATGGTGCGATCACATTTAGCGATCTCTCTTCGAGGAAAGCAATTTCGTTTATGTTCGTAGTAAACATTTATGGTCGAAAAAATTTAAAATCAAAAACATTCACTCACCTTGATAGAGCTTCAACGTGGACAGGATTGCTCGCGATCGCGTGGTTAGTATAAGCTTACGGATGAACACTTCACGCTCTTTTGATATGCAAACGCGGCCCTCGCTCTTTACCGACAAAAAGAGCATTTCGTCATTTTGAAACAATGCTAATTGCTCCAATTGTATCTCCATTGTCTCTAAACGGACGTCTGGCCATTTCTTTCTTTCAACCTCACCTCACAACTTTTGTGTATATATTGACATATCATTAACATATCTGGTCACGCGAGAATTGGTCAAAACGAACTGACATTACAACTAACAGCTTTAAAATTTCGACGATTAAGTTATCCAGTGAGGCGATTTTTAGGGAAGAGGCAGCGGATGACCGATGTGGAAACGTGAATAAGAAAAAACTAAGAGCGATTAAGGAGGTGCCTTTACAGTTTAGGTTTCGAAACTGGTTGCCTTGCCAGCAACTTTTGTTTACTATTCGTCATTCCCTCATTTCACTTCCTCACAACAGGGAGAAGGTGTTCGTTTCACGGTAAGTACTAGCAAGTTGCTGTATGATGGTAAACTTAACCTAAGAAATCTTGGTTCATTTGATGAAAAAGTTTGCTAGTGTATTTCAATTTTTTGATTTAATCTTCTTAACATGCCTCGGAGAATACCGTACAGCCTGACTCACAGATTTACAATTCATCTGGACCGAAACACGCTCGTCGCTTCAAATTTAATGTGGCCTTTCGTTCAGTTTTTTTTACTCAATTTCCTAAAAAAATTTACTTACGGGTCGAGATCATAAACAAATATGCGTGAGTCCAACCTCAGATGCTGCTTAAAAATAGTCTTTAATTATGAGGGTGATCAATTCGTTCCTTTTACCCGATACTCTAGCTCCTCTGCAGCTCAGCCAACGCTTCAATATTGCTACATTGCAATTTTCAGGGGGTTTGGGAAGCTCTGCGCCGGGAATATCTTGTTCTGTAAGCATTATTGTCATGTCACCTTCCTTCTCCTTTGACGCCATCTTGAAACACGTCCCCTAAACCCGCCCCAGCATGCTTTGCGCCTACCAACTCGACCCACTCCCCCGCTCAACGTAAAAATGGCGAATTGAGTGTTCAAAAGCAATTGATGCAAAAGATGCAGTCATTTCTAACCCAACTTTGATTTGAGTCAGAGAGTGTTACGGCGTTCCAAACCAGGCGCAAAGTATGCTAACGGCTGGTTTGCACATTTAATGGTTGACTATTTTTTTCGCTCTCAGTTATCTACGTGCTTGGCAAAGAAAGCCCTCGCACACAATTAACTTCAAAAGCAAACTTTTCAGGCAATATGTTAAATAAAGGAATAAATTACCACCTGTGGAAGAAAATTATTCCTTTGCGGTTACACGGTGTTATTTATGGCCGGAGTAGGTATACACGATAATCGAGCGTGCGCTCATGAAGATATAAGAAGGAACCATTCTAATAGTTGGTATCTCTGATAGATGAACTGTTTTCGAAGGCGTGACAGGAACCGCGTAGGTAATGCAGAGGTATGTGTTCTTAATTCTTTTCTTTCCTTAAGCAGGCTCGATATTTTTTCAGTATCTGCAGAATTTTGTATTCCACATCGATGAAAACAGACACAACCTACTCTTTTATTTGTTTTGGTTCTTTGTTTGCTTTATTTGTTTGTTTGTTTAATCATTACTTTTTCGAACCTTCTTTTTGCTTTTACGCTTCTGCGGAGCTGTTGTGTAAACAAATTTATTCTTGATTTTTTAGGTGTTTTTGAAACCCACAAAAATCCAGAAAAATATCATTCATTAACTCTGGAGCCCTGTCAGCCAGAGCAATACTGGGCTTTTAGAGAGGGTTCCAAACAATGACAAAGTAGCCTGCGGTGGAAGTTTTAGCAGGGAGGGGGGGGAGGGGGGTAGTAAATAATTCTGTTTATTTAAAGAGTAACATGAGCCGCAATTCAGGCCAGAAGTCCATGACACAAAAAGCGTAGCAATGTTACTATATGCATCTTTGACATTTCTTGCCACATCCCTCTTATCTGATGATAACCATATTAATTGATATTTACTCCAGAAATACCAAATGCCAAAGAAATACTAATTTTGGGGGTTTTGAGAAACCTTGTCTAGAGTTTTGCATATTTAGCTTGAAAATGGTCATTGTGATACTCAGAGCTCTCTTCTAGGGGGATAAATATGATGGGCATGTGCAATAGCATTGACGGCAATCATTCAAATAATTATGTTATGTTGTGTTTTGTTGTGTTCAGTTCGGCTCTGTTAAGTTTTTTTGAGTTGTAATGTTGTTTTGCAGTGTTGTATAGTGTCGTGTTGAGTCGAGCTGAGTTAATTTGTTATATTCCTACTGTCGTGTTGTTGTGTTCAGCTGTGTTGTTTTCTTTCGTATAGTGTTGATTTTCTGTTCTGTTTTGTTGCTACATTTTATTGAATTTTTTTTAGTAGCATCAATCTCTTATTTCCACCCCCCCCCCCCCCCCTCACAAAGAGACAAAGTCTCTCGCAAACATCAATAAATTATCACGTTCAGTGGAAAATTGTAAAATTTATTATTTAAAATAAAACAGCCAAGTGCTCCTTCCAGCACATCATTTACAAGGAATGCTGATCCGCCTCAGGTTATCCCTTTCATTTCGTGGTTCTCTGAAAGGAAAGAAGAACCTGGAGAGTTTACTATAAGAATATAAGAAGGTCTGAGGCTGAATTCCTTATGGAGACCATCTCTCTCTCAACTCGATTTTGCTCTACTGTTCTAATGTAATCACTTTAATTTTTTAGACTCCAGGAATAGTCAGCATCCATGTGACATACAATGATACAAAGAGAATCATTTCCTATCAGAAAGGGGGAAATGTTCAGGGACTCCCCTCTAAGATCTTGCAACGATTCTCCGACGTTTTACCTGCCAACTTTGCTTCAGAACCAGTCAAGTTCCTGCGATATGATGAAAGATTTAAGGATTACGCAGGATTAGAAAATGAATTCAAGTTTGATGATGACCACAAAGTTACCATTATTAAGGAGGTATAAGTGCATTGTGCGTTGTTTCTGATCCTTATAGCCTTCAGTGTTATTGTTAGTAAATTAATTAGAAAACTAATTATTCCGTGGAACTTCGATCATAATCTCTTGAGCTCGAGTACAGGTGTTTTTAGAGATCTAGCGCGTTGAGGCTTTAAAATGGGCCAAGAAGGTCTCGTCTTATAGCAAGTTCGTCCTCTACAAAGAAAAGTTTCATAGCTAAACCATGATAAAGCTCGATGGACAAACAAATTCCTTACCGAGCAATAACCAACGTGCACATTTTGTGTTTTTATCATGGCACTAGTTTGAGGTAGAGTGTTTCACGGCGATTTAGAGTGCATCCGTGACCAAGCGTTTGACTCAGAAAAAAAAGCATTGCATTTGGATCAAAATTTATTATAATTTCGATAGAAAAGGAATACGTGCTACCGTTAGTAAATGAGTTGAATATTTAGGTGGTGAACTTGTTTCTTTAAGGAAACGAACTCGCAAAGGTTTAGGCGATCAACTTGAAGTTTCTGTAGGATATTTAAGACAATTAGTTTTGTGCGTTTTTATCGTTTGTTTTGTTTAGTGTAGGTCTGTTTTGTTTTGTTTTGTTTTGTTTAGTTCAATTTTGTTTTATTTACTTTTTTTTTTGTTTTCTTTTGTTTTGTTTCATTCGTTTCCTTTCCTTTCCTTTCGTTTCTTTTCCTCTTGTTTCTTTTCGTTTTCTTTCCTTCCGTTTCGTTTCGTTTTGTTTCGTTTGTTCTTCCCTACATTAAGTCAAGTCAGTCACATCTCTCTGGTAGCATACAGTTTAAACACTTAAGTAAACCGGAAGGCATAGTAAGAGCAATAATAATTTGACAGAATGACCCTTTTGATCAACTTGCGGCTCCTTCTCAGAGGAAGAAAAAGATCTTCAATCTTACCTCTTCCCATCAACGCAGCCATGCAATAAGTATAGGTAAGAAAATGATCTCGATTGAATTTGGTGTCGATAAGCACGGGTAAATTTTTCAAAGATAACAAAATCGCACGAGCCCGTAGGGCAAGTGCAATTCGTAGTCTTTGGAAAGTTTACAGGGGCTTATTACACCAAATTGCAAGAGAAATCATATTATTACTTGTTAATAATGTATATGAAAAAAAAATCACAAGAAGTCAAGACAGACGATACTTTGACAGCGTGCTCTCGCTATTTGTAATTCGCACTCGTGTTACAAACTAGTCGGCACTCGTGTTGTGGATTTGTACTCGTGTTACCTTAGAATGCACTCGTTTTCAGCCAATCAGAAGCGTGTAGTTTTTTTCATGTACATTATTAAAGAGCAAATAAGCATATCCTGCATCGTTATACTGAGCTGATTATATCTGCTACCTTTTCAGGCTATTTCAATTTCGGGAGGCCAACATACATTTTATCTGTATATAATTGAGTTGGCTGAGCTGTATAAAAAGCCCCATCCACTTAAGGTTAGTTCTACTTATCGGTTTTGGAGCGCAGTTAGCAACAAAAAATGGTGGTGTTATGAAGAGGAGTCCTAGTGAAAACATAGTGATTTGTGATGGAACTTTTGAGGAGTCTGATGCTAGTAAGTAAACAGTTATGTTATTTATACAAAAATGCAGTGATATAAACAATAGCCTCAATGGCCGTGAAAATAAGCTTTAGCAACATCGGCGTCGCGAAATTGTTTGACCCGATGAGGAGAGCATGATGGAAGGGAAGGTTGCCTTCCATCTCTCATTGAAGCTCTTTTAATAACGATAAAAATTTACCTCTGCAAGGATTTTAAGTCATTGTAGCAAATGAAGTTAATACGTTTTATGTAATTTCCTGTTAGCTCATGATCACTTTGGCGGAAGTTCGTACCCGTCGTTGTAGTAAACTAGATCTACATCAGGGCGCTGGATTTTAATACTCACTTCTCGTAGAGCTATTGATATCCTCTTCGAAATTAAGATAAACTTGAAAGAATTTGAGTCAACTTGACTAAAGCCGCTTTGAAACGTATGAATTTTTGCCTTTTCTGTGCTTAAATGTCTTCTAATTGATTTTACAACTAAAGAAAATATCAAACGAAGTCCATTAACATGCAATTCAAACTTATCAAACACAATACATCACGAACAACCTGCGACTGCTGCCTCTAACGAGGATACTGAGCTCTGGACTATGAGATAGAACCGGTTGTTGCATTAGTTTTTATGAGGAGTATTCCAAGACGGTCTCTTTCCTTCGATATCTCCTCGTTGCTGAAGTCAATAATGATAACTGCTTCTCCTTAAATCTTTATCACAGCTCGCATACTGGTCACTGATGTGAAAAATAAGCCACCAAATAAAAACAATGCTGTGAAACTGCTATTCACGGACACAAAGCCAAACAAGCTGTATGCAATGAAAGGAATTGGATGCGGACAAGAAATCCAAACCGAAGTAAGGAGTTATCTCATTCATACAATTCAACTTTCATTCATTCATTTTAGCTTCACTCATTCATTTATCCATTCATAATTAATTATGCCCACTTCCTCACCCGCTCATTCACTCGTTCATGAATTTATTCAGTCAGTCATTCGATCTGTCCGTCATTAATTGCTTAATCAAAATTATTTCTAATTCAAAGATACTTTCCGTTTTGCAAGGAAATGTCTTCGCATGATGACGAAAGCGATATCTTTTTGCCTGAGTATTTCTGGAGCTACACCATGCTCAAACACGACAGAACCGGCTGCTATGTGGGATGTGACTACACTGGAAAAGTGACTTTGATGGAAAATTCAAAGCCCGAATATCCTAACGCTGAGATTCTATTCATCGCCAATGCACCTTAAACTGATTTACACAGCAGAAGAATGGTGGGTGTTCCGAGTGAAGTCAGCTCACTATTTGACCATTTTGATCCGCCTGGGAAGCATAAACCCATAAACATGTTTTCCGTAGCAAATATGTATCTGATAAATATTAATCAAGAGACAGCAGTTCACGTTCACCTGCTTTGATAACGTTTTATCTTCCGTCATTTTCTTCATGCCATATTCGATTTTGTTATTGAGATGATATCATCATTTAGTTATAAAAATTTCAGGAAAGGAGATAAAGCACTAAAATATTAAATGAGACTACCGTCTACGTTCGTTAATCTGTTTTTAATCAAGTAAAAAATTACTCTTATCACAAATAGTATTCAAGGTATTGTTATTTCTGGCTTGTTTCTAAGACAAATTGTGTCGAATCAATCCATTGGTCGCTTCAGCTGTCAACACTTGGTTATTTGTTTGTTAAAACAACCACAGATGGCCCAAGCTCACGTCTCGAGAAAAAGCAAACGATTAATTCATGAAAGCGTCACGCGTTGTGTGACTCGGTGTTAACTTACGAGAGGAACCGTTTAGAATTTGAGCAAGTGAGACGTGAGCTTGGGCTGCCTGTGAAACAATCTGTGGTCAGATTCTCTGATCAGAAATAGAGTGTGGCCCCGTCTTTGTGTTGATACCCAACCCGTCTCCGAATCTGGGAGAACCGTGACGGACTGACGTCCAGTCTAAGTATGACGCTAATTCAAAATTTGTCTTAGTGCAGTAAACCTGCAAATACCAATTTATTTCTCATCATAAAACACCCCTAAAAGCCTCTGAGGTTGAATAATTATAAGATAGAAACAAACTTTACAAGGCATTCATTAATCATTCGGCAAAATGACAGCTGCTTTTTTTTTTTAATATGGGAAACGTCGATGTCATCCAGAACAAAAGATGTATCTTTGAAAGTAACGTTCCTTATCACATTTATTTTGTGTATGGTGCAGGTATGCAGATTGTTTTGCTAGCATTTTTTTTTTTTCATATCTTAAGTTGTTTCGTTAAAAAAACAAAAAGCCTAAGTGAACAAACTCCGTGTTGGGCCGACTGCCAGGAAAACACTATCCCAAGCAGTTTTGCAATTAGAGGAATTAATAAACTTAAAAAACTTCTGAAGCTAATGATTCTTTTAGTTTATCCCCTTAAAGACTTGATACCTAATTCTACTGCCATCCTATCATACAAATTTATAATGAAACAATTCTCTTTCCGGGTATGCCATCATGTGAAACACCAATTCAAACATTCGTGACTTCAACAGATGCAAAGCACATAATCCTAAGATGCCAGCCAAAAATTATTCTGCAAAAGAAAAAGAAATTGATTGTGACTTGCAAAAAAATATTCAAAATAATTGAAGAAAGCAAAACAAGAAGGCCTTTCCAGGCCACTTTGTTGACGTTCTTGCAGTGACGTTAACCCATTGTGAATGTAGCTTTCCTCTCCATTAATCAGGCTTTCGAGCGGAAACTGGTAAAAGATTTTGTCAACGCTCGTTTGAAGATATAAACAAGCTAAATTTGAGGTTTTGTGAGAAGAAGGATGAGTAGTTAGTGCTGCTGTAGAATTTCATAGTTAGCTCCTTTTGAGGAACCATGTCATTGTAAAAGCAAGTCAGGCATCGGTATCGTTAAGTTAGTCGTGTTGGTATTACGATTACAGAAACGTTCAATACTGTGGTTGCAACCTCATTCCCAGGGTCTCTCTTCTTCCCTTCATTTAGAGCCAGAGAGACCCTGGAAACGAGGTTTCTGTGGTTGTAGGTTGTGCCTAAATCCTACCGGCTAGAGGTACGCACGAGGAGCACTAGTCACGGGTTTCCGAGTCGGGTGATTATCGGAAATTGTCGGCTATTGCAATATGGCGGACTTATATGTGCTACTGGTTGGAAAGATCCCCAAGATGAAATTTCTATTGTCTTCTACCTCTAGACGGTGGGATCTCAGGAAGCTTAGAAAATACTACCGGCCAGAGGTACAACTTGCATATCTAGTCAACTTTGCACAATTATTACGATGGTTTCCTTCGCATTTTACTATTTCCGCACTCCACTGAAATTAGTCTTAAACTCGTTTGAATCAAATTTTTCCAGGAATACGTATACATTTATTTATTTTTATTTGGTCTTTAAACTCAAGCTGGTAGGATCTTAGGGGGCTGATAAAATATTACAGGCTAGAGGTACAGCTTGCATTCTCAGTGGACTTTGCCTACCCTAGCCTGTAGTGAAAATACTACAGGCTAGAGGTACTTTGTACGTTTAGGGTGAATTTAGCTCGTTTCATTTACTTCTTGATTTATGGAAAAAACCTTTCTAAATTCCACGTTAGTCTCATACTGTTGTGGAGTCACTCGACAACTTAACTTGGAACGCCCACATTAATGAGTTAGTAAAGAAAACCAGCAAAAAACTATACTTTCTTGTACAGCTGAAACGGGCCCGACTACCTCCTTCAGACCTAGTTCTTTTCTATCTTTCGTGTGTTCGATCTACGATAGACTACGGAGTTCCGGTTTTATGCAACGCGCTTCCGCAGTACCTTAAGAACGAGCTCATACATATCGAGAAAAGGGCACTATCGATAATTTTGCCCAGCATGAACTACAACAAAGCCTGCGAAGTTTTGGGAGTAACGCCAATAACCGAACACCATAGTCAGCTATGCACTAAATTGTTTGCCGCCATAGCAGCCGACCCCAACCATAAGCTACATGGATTACTGCCACAGAAAAATAATGTTGTTTATAATTTTCGATACAATCGTCCCCTTGTTTTACCGCGCGTTCACACCAATAGGGCAAATAACACTTTCATACTCGCAATGTTCCGGCTATTCAACGCATCTTCTCATAATACATAGATTATTTCTTAAATTTTAGTTCAAGGATGAAAAAGGTTTACAAATTTAAACATTTTTACCATTATATTTAACATAGATTTATCATAGATTATTATTGTCCTTCTAAAAGTTGTAAAAGTTACTTAATTCAGCCTTCGGGCTGCGATGTGATTTAAATAAACCATCTATCTTATCTATCTATCTTGTTTTAACACCAACCAGACACCCTTTGCTTATTGTCAAATAATGCCTGCTTTAGTTTCAGCTGATTCCCTATAAAGAGTCATTTGATGCTCACAGCTTGTGTGCTGTGCTATCAAATAGCAGTGGTAGGTGGTAGGTACGCGACCAAGGAGAGAAGGTACTCTTGAAAAAAATGATTGAAGTGTAACTATAAGATTAAAATGTAATGCCAAAAAGTAAAATGAAAAGCACTCTGTAAGAAAATTTGGCAAAGTCAATTAAATAAGCAAGCTGTACTTCAAGTATTTTCTAGGCCTCCAAAGATCCTACCAGCTAGAGGTTTTTAGACTAAGTAAAAGAGAAAGAAATGTAAATGAAGTCATGTAAAAAGTGATTCCAAGGAGTGTAAGACTAATGTGGAGTGCAGAAAGTAAAATGGGCAAACTGCAGTAAAAATTGGGCAAAGTTGATTAAATATGCAAGCTGTACCTCTAACTGGAAGTCTTTTCTAAGCCTCCTGAGATCCTACTAGCTACAGGTACAATAGCAAGTTTTAAAAAATAAATGTAAATGTACTCTTGTAAAAAATGATTCCAAGGAGCGTAAGACTAATTTGGAGTGCAAAAAAAGTCAAATGTGGAGCTAATCGTAATAGAAATTGAGCAAATTCAACTGGGTATGCAAGCTGTATCTCTAGCCGGTAGTGTTTTAAAAGCGCTAGCCCCTTCAGATCTTACCAGTTAAAGGTACAGGACCATATAAAAATAAATAAGTGTATGCGTATTCATGAAAAATTATGATTCAAAGAAGTGTAAGACTAATTTGGAATGCAGAAAAAGTAAAATGTGAAGCAAACTGTGGTAACAATTAGCAAAGTTGACTAAATATGAAAGCTGTACCTCTAGCCGGTAGTATTTTCAAAGCCTCATGAGATCCTACCGGCTAGAAGTACAAGACAATAGAAATTACATCCTGGCGATCTTTCCAACCAGTAGCACTACGGCAAGGGCATTATAGTGGCCATACTATTCATAAATTTTGTTTACCTTTGCAAGCGCAGATCTTAGCGGCTACGGTGTTAAGCTCAAACTCTGCTGAACAAGAAACTGAAGATCGACGAGGGTGAAAGAAACAGCCACACAAAATTGAGCGAGATTTCCTTGATTTAAACTGAGCAATGTATTTTTCACGTGTAAAGCATGTTATAATGTTCATCTCTGGTTCAATCACTTCGCTTGACTGTTGGTAAATTGCGCATGGTGTTACTGAAATAGTCCGCCATATTGCAATAGCTAACAATTTCCGATAATCACCCGACTCGGAAACTCGTCACTAGTGCTCCTCGGGAGTACCTCTAACGTGGTTGTAGGATTCTCGAATTCTCGCACTTGTTAGCAGTAGAGTAGTTTTAGGTAAGTGTTCAGTAGGTGTTAGCAAGCAATAAAGAAAATAAATCCGAAAAACGTTCAAAACTTAATATCCCTATCTCCCCCAGGTAACAGACTCGTAAGCAAGTTTCTTCCCTCTTTATTTAGCTTGGAGGTAAAGGAAAAGCTGTAGTTTTATTACGCTTGATCATAAATTTAGAAGAGCCTGCTTAAAATTATTTCAAAAGATAGTTTTGAAGTGAACGTAAAGCGTCTGAAAACCGATTATGTCGTTGTAGTAAAAACATCATCACCAGTGGAAATTTCCCAAACTCGTTTTAAGGCCTCTCTTCCCCTCCCTTTCTCCACTCCCCTCCTCCTCCCGCATCAACCCACTGAGCGAAGGTGAGCGGGGGAATGGGGGAAGGAAAGTCGAGAAACTTCCTTCAGCACATCAGGATCAAAATACGCTTCTAGGAAAAAGGCTGGAAAGTCTTAATAATTCACCTAATATAATGGGACATATCTGGACCCTTCTCTGTTTCTTGCAAGTCAGCTTTACCGAAAGGAGTTTATTGAGACAACGTGGACCAACGTAGGTGAGTTCGAGCGTTCAATATACGTTGCAACTAAGAAGAAAAGTCATACAAATTCATCTCCAGCCAACCAGATCAAGGAATTTTAGCTCAGATTTAATCACAAAATTTCAAAGCGATTAATATAACGATGATCCAACTTGAGATGTAAGATGGCAGAGATCTTCGATTATATTTATCTGCATTATATATCTAATATATTGTGGGGATAAGACCAACTAGAAGAGAGAAGCAAACTTAACTCTCTGCTCAAACTCGAATGGAATTTAGGCGACACTCAACTCAAGCTCTAACTTTATCGTCCATGTCTTTCCTACGTCATGTTAAGGCAGTTGCAGAAGGTTAGATAAGAAGACGAAAATACAACGCATACGTTAATTATCAGTGAAGCATAAAACTTCCCTTTTAGCAAAACAGTATATCAAGTACTTTGTATCACAACAAGATCAAAATGCATGGTTTGTGTCATGAAAACTTTTAACGTATACTTCGTTCGGGAAATGTCTTCTATCTTGCGATTTAGAGCTTGAATTGACGCAATCAAATTTTCAGCGTCATGCATACTTTCACCGTTCTAAAGTGCTGCATTGTAATTTCAGATCGAATTGTAAACAAACTCTCTGCCAGAAATATTTTACATAAATTCGAATTTGATTAATATAAACTGATAGATTTAGATACTTATGTGATTTATAGGCTTAGTTAGCGGTTAGAACTGAAAATCTGTTAGGACTGTTGAATATGAAATGGTCCAACAGTCTGCCTAAACACCGCTACAAAAGTATGCAGATCGAATTTTGTTTGATCGACCAAAACATTTTGTCGGGTCAGTTTTCTTTGGCTAAGTTCAGCGATCAAACCCAAATAATTTTGAACTAAATGGCGTCTGAACACAATATTTTAGAAGCTTGTTCAACATTTATCAATAGGAGTTTCAAATTCTGTAATCAAAAATCAATTTAAAATTATAAAAATTAAACGAACTTGATACGGAGGCGATGCTGACGAGACATTAGCGGCGTCTAAACATATACCATCGGCATTGAACTTCCTTTTCAGCAATTCAGGATTTAACAAAATGGCCAAAGAAAAAAAACACAGGAAGTACTTTACAGGCCATTTCATTGATTTTCTAGTAATGACGTAAACCTATTATGACTACAGCTTTCCTCTCTATTGATCAGACTTTCGAGCGGAAACTGCCAAAAGATTTTCTCAACGCCCGCTTGATGATATGAAACAAGCTAAATTTCAGGTTTTGTGAGAGGAGGGATGAGTAGTTAGTGCTTCAGTAGAATTCATAGTTAGCTCCTTTTGGGGAATCATGTTATTAAAAAGCAAGTCAGGCATCAGTATTGTTAAGTTAGTCGTGTTGGTATTAGGTTGCAGAAACATTCAATACTGTGGTTGCAATAGATTTAGATACTTCTGTGATTTATAGGCTAAGCTAGCGGATAGCACCGAAAATCTGTCAGAACTTTTTGAATGAAATGGTCCAACAGTCTGCTTAAACACCGCTAGAAAAGTACGCAGATCGAATTTTGTTTGATCGACCAAAATATTTTGTCGGGTCAGTTTTCTTTGGTTAAGTTCAGCGATCAAACCCAAATAATTTTGAACTAAATGGCGTCTGAAAACAATATTTTTAGAAGTTTGTTCAACATTTAAAAATCAATTAAATCAATCAGTTAAAAATAATAAAAATTAAACGAACTTGATACGGAGGCGATGCTGACGTGACATTAGCGTCCAAACATTTACCACCAGCATTTAACTTCCTTTTCAGCAATTCAGGATTTAATAAAAAGGGAAATGATGATTTAACTAGAATATTTCTCTCGGTTGATATCTCGTTGAGTTCTCATTGCAGTCGCCGTCCTGATGTTACATAAGGTCTGTTATTGTGTCACGGAAAAAAAGAACCAGCATGTTCCCTTCTTTCAGTGACTGAAGAGGTTACTTGCTAACTACCTAGCTGTAGGTAGACACCTCTCTTTCCAGTCGGATTGATAATCGAGACTTTCGTCGTTACGGTTTACAAAACAGAGTCAAAGTGTTTTAGGTAAGTCTTGCCCATAATGCTAACTGAAATGCCTTGAACGTTAGAATTACACGAACGCCTGTCCACAGACTCTTTCAGTGGCAAACCTCTCAAAATTTAATTATAATGGGAGGGGAATAATTGAAAAGAAGAAACTATTAGCTAATTAGTTGGTTTGTTAAGGACACTAGCTAGAAGGCTAGCAAATTCTTGTAATTTTTGTACCGAAACTTTTGTATTTTAACGTAGTTTGTATTGGTTTATTTGTATTGTTTATTGTCATTTTAATCTCGTTATTGGCGTTAAGCCCAGTTTTTTACACGCGATTTCTGATTACGTATTCGCAACATTTCATTAGATTGATAGAACTTCGCATGCTAAATTAATATTACATACACAGTATTACATACCCAGATCACTGGTCTACCCTCTCCAAAACTGTATCCTTCTTCTCGCGTGTCAGGCCACTTCGCCCGAAGTAAGGTGATCTTTCGGCCAATACCAATATCGAGCCCAGGGTCATTTTGGTTCTTTCTGTTAGCAGTATGGTCGCCAAATTATTTCAATTGGGAATTTTTTTTTTTTCTCGCAAAAAAGATATAGCGTCACCTTCTGAAGTTACTATGATAAAGATGAGGGAAGAAAACATAGGTGAACGCAGTAAACGTGTTAATTCTTCACCGTATTTTCATAGAGGGCGAATGTCTTGTATCCTGATCACTAGTAAAATGATCATGTGAAATCAGGGAAATGTCTCATTGCAGAAGAAAAATGATTCGATCGACCCGTATTTCCCTAAATGAAACACAAACTAGACACGTTTTTTGTGTGTTTGCTGTATTTTGGTCACCTAGGTTTGCCCATGTGGCTTTTATCTTTGTTTTAGCTCTGGATGCAGCTGAAGAAAAAGTTCTGTTATTTAGCTTGCAAGCCCCCTGTTTATGTTTTCCAAGAAAGGCAACATTGAATTAACCTAGAGCTTGTCAGCGGTATTCCATGACGAATTGATATTGCATTAAAAGCCAAAAAAACGCGAAGGTTTCTTGGGTTGTTTCTCTATGACCCAAACATAAAAGCTTTTTTAATTCCTAATGAATGTGTTATGAATAAATCTTTTCTTTCAAAAGCTGATATAAGTGATGACCACTTCGAAGGACGATTTAGAAGAACATCTTAAATGTTCGATTTGCCTCGAAAAGTTTACGGAGCCAAAAGCGTTGACCTGTCAACACATCTTCTGCAAACAATGCCTGGAGGGACTGGTGACTCGAGTCCGGACTCGAGTCCAGACTCGAGTCCGCAGACGATACATTATCAGGTGTCCCGTATGCAGAGAAGAAAGTCAGGTACGAAACCAGAAATTATTTAGGGAAACGGACCTTTAATGGCCAATTGACGTTGTATCGTATTGCATAACAAAAAGCCAGGAAATCAGGTCCATATTGTGCAACAATATTAATATGCAAAACTTTAAAATTGAACAATCCCTTTTAGGCACTGCACACCAAGAAACTATAAAATGACGATTCGAATAAATAAGGGGGGGGGGGTTAGTTTCATTGAGGCCTCTGTCAATATGTGGGTGGTATTGGGATGCCTCATCTTCTTCTCCAAGATTATTTCAAAATGATTATGGCCGTCCTTTGTGGTTTGAAACATTTTTCCTTTACTGTTTGCGCACGATAGTTAATGCATACTTTGAAATCAGTAGTTGTCTACTTTCTCCAGTAAGTTTATTTAAGAGAGTTTGACTACGTATCTCATTTTAATAACGTGCAATGGGTCTCGACAAGACGTTCCACAAATTTTTATCGAATATCTACAAAGCTATTGCACACAACAAGGTCTAAACGAAATCCTCAAGGGGCTTGCAGAAGAGCACACAATTCGCCTTTCAGCCTCTTAACAACAAAATATTATATTCTCTTTTCCTTTCCATTCACTGAAATGTCCATAATTAGTCTTGCTTCCTTTTCTCCTCAGGTACTCAATGGCGATGTCGCAAACCTTCCGTCCAACTACATTATAAATCATCTGCTGGATCTCAGACGCACAAATTCCAAGCCCTTTTGTAACAAACACGAGGACGAAATCCTCAAGCTCTTTTGCCTGAATTGCCAACAGTTGATTTGTCAAGACTGCGCTTTAATTGATCATCGCGATCACAAGTACAACTTCGCTAAAGATGTATTTCCCGCTGAGAAAGAAAAGATAGTAAATGCCATGCTGGAATCAAAAGAAAAAGTCCTTGCTTTACAAGGATCTATGGGTGCTTTTGAGGAGCAGAAAAAGAGTCTGGATCAAAACGCGCGAGAGGTCGACCAGAAAATTGACGGCTTCTTTAATGAAGTAATTCAGTTCCTAAAAGGAGAAAAGCAACGCATGAAGGATGAACTTAAAAGAGCAGTAAAGACCCAGAAGGAAGAAATTCATAAAGAGTTGAGTTATTTCGAAGCTTCACTCGAGTATGCAAGCAGTAGACTTGAGGTTATAGAACACCTCCTGGCTAAAGTAAGCGACGAAGATGCCCTATTGGCAAAGAACGATATGCTAAAACAACTCAGTGATATTAACTCTGTTTTGCCCCATTTACAGCCAACCCCTCAGACGACATATGACTTTGGGGCCGATGGCATGTTGGATGTGATTAATAAAATGGAAGCTATTTCTTTACATTAAACAGTGGTACACATTTACGAGGGTGGTAAATGGTTTACACGTGTCGCGTGATTAAGGCCAAAGTCAATATGTAACCATTTTAAAGAAAAGCGAGCGTGATTCGTGAATTTATTAACCAGCGTGAGACGTGATCATTGCCTCCTTAAATATATGCCACCCGTGAAATCCTCAAGAGGAAGACAGATTTTAGGTTTTCCTTTTTTATTCATGTGCGTGATGCGTGAATTTTTCTGAAAATCCGTGCATGAAATGGGATCAGCACAACCTTTTTGCTACCCTCATTTAAAGTATTTTATCTGTCAATTAACATAGTGTTTCATTTTCAACTATAAGGATCCAAATATCATCATGTTTTCCGTTGCCGCTCGCATTAATTTTTTTATAAAAACAATATTTCGGTGCCTAAAACAGCGGTGCACATAATTGCCACATTCAATGTTATTTCATGTGAAACTATAAGAATCGAAATACCATTTATATGTACTTACTGTCTGTCAAATTAAATGTTTATCAAAGTAGTATTTACTGGCAGCTATTCCGTTGCTTTAAACAGCGGTACCTGTAGTTTATCACATTATAGACTGTCTCATTTCTAACTTTAAGGATTAAATTCCCTTTTATATATTTCCTATTATCAATCACATGTTATGCAAGCAATATTTAATGATATTTCTCGTGTGTGTTTAAATATGTTGTATCGCTGAATATGAAGAGTGTGCATCTGCGCGCTTCTAAGCAAACAAAGTTGGGTTTCAAGTTCTCGTAAATTGCATGGTATTAAACACGTTAAAAATAATCATAAGTAGACTACGATAAAAAAGGTGTTTTTTTTTCAATGAGTTGCATTAATTATAGTTTTGAGCTCAGCCCTACATAGCACAGATATGCTTAGGACAAAGACGGAGTGTTTTCACCTAATTCCCGTCAAGGGCGTAGCTAGAGGTGGGGGTCCAAGGGTGCCCATGACCCCCTTTTTGTAAGTTTTTTTTGTCACACCAAGTAAAACATGGCGTAGAGGTCGACATGACAGTTTGGTGATTACTCGCTGATTGACGAGGTGTAACCCACTTTTCAAAAAATGCTGCCCCTCGATTACAGTTTAGGCACTACTTTCTTAAAATAACAATACACTTCACTGTAAAATATGGAGTTATATATATCAGCATGAATCGTATATATTTCCATTTTATCGCTGTCTTCGTTATTTTAAGGTATGACTATTTGTAAATATGAATACTAAATTGAATATACATTTTGTTTCAGAGGATACTATGTAATCCAGTGAGACAAAACACTAAAAATTGCTCTCGAAACAAATTTAGAGCCCAAAAAGCCAGACTGTGGAAAAAAGATTAGACATTTTAAAAAAAGGCTGCATCTCGTCTGGCTCTTTCTTTCTTTCACTCTCACGTCACAACTTTTGTTCAAACGGGACTACAAAGCTCGTGAAGGTATCGATCATGACCCTTTCCCAAGACTGATAAGAAACCTAGGAAGCGCTCCATGGCTGAGATGATGCTAAAAGTTATGTAGGGAAAGTTTGGTCAGCGCCAGCAGGCAATCCCTTGGGTATTCCGTAATTTGTGAATGCGCACAGCTCATGAGTGAGCGCAGCGAACTAGTGAGATGTCGAGTTGAACACAAGAGAAATGCTAACACCAAAGCCACTGAATACGTAACTTTCGATTTTTCTTTTAGTATATTGGTTTTCTTCCTCCTATAGGAAAGTTTGAACCTCACTGCCTGTTAGCAATACAGATTTTTTAGTGTTTTAGCCGCCATAATTCGAGGAAGCTCCGACAAACAACTTGTATTGAGAATCGTAAAGGCTTTTCCGTTCATTCATCAACCTGACCGAGTGGCACCAAATGCGAGTGACGTGTCAGCAGCTGATTGGGTATATCAACCCACGTGCAAAAATACGATATTTTTTCACGTGTGCTGTTATGGCTTTTCTCAGGGCCGGAAGTTTATGTGATAAAAGATAATTTGGTTTCATCAGCTGAGTTCATAAAACTGACGTTTTGAGCGTTTACCCCTCGTCGGAGCGAATTGAAGAATATTAGATTGCTTGGAGTTAACTTCAAAAAGGGCATTAGTTTCAAATATTTCATTTGTTATTATTATTCATTTTAATATTGAAATTGTGAATATCGGGAATAATATTCCTTTTGGCAAAAGTAACGCTTACCTGTGCGATACCATTCGACCCAAGTATAGATGAATTGTGATTGTCATTAAAGTTGCCTTCGTTACGTTGCAAGAAATGGAAATGCACTTTCGTTGTTGTTGTTTTATTTTTCTGCTTTCCATTCGGTACCACTCTTTAAATAAGGACCCTTAATAGTGAGAAGATGGGATACAATTTAGTTTGGCCACAGTTACAGGGGCGTAGCCAAGATACTTCAAATGGGGGGTAACACTAGGTCAAACATAGGGTACACACTAGATTTTTATTTCGACCTCCATGCCGTGTTTTACCTAATGCGATAAAAAAAGCTTACAAAGGGGAAGGGGGGGGGGAGGGCACGAACACCCCACAGCCCTTGGGTTATGTGTCTTTTGGGTTTTCGAGGGAGATGGAAAGGACAACCTTACAAGAAAAAGAAGGAAAGGATGGAAGGTGAAAGAAGTTTATAATCGAAATCTTAAGACTTTTCCCTCTGAATTTTTTTTGGAGGGATGTCTGATATGCTTAATATCCATGTGACGTACAGCGAAACGAAGAAACTCACATCCTGTCAAAAAGGAATACGTTTTCTGGAATTTCGTGATTGATTCCAAAAAAAGACTTCTCTGTTACATGCGAGGGGATCACATTCAAGAAACACGATGAAGATATGCTGATATTTCGCAAACATCAATGAATTGTCACGTTCAGTTGAAAACTGTGAAATTTACTATTGTAAGGAAGGAAAGAAAGACCACTGATTTGTACATTGAGATCTTAATCGTGCAGGCTAATTTCTTCGTTGTTTTTGCTTTATTATCATTTTTTCGGAACTTATGAAATTGTGATCAGTTTGCCCATAATTTTTTTAATTACCTGTGTGCAACTGATTTTCTTCGGATGTTAGCTTTATTTAAGGAAGGCTTCTGAAATTTTAGTGCCAGCTTAAAGGAGATGATTCAGTAAAGAAAAATAATAATTCTAGAAAGATCGTATTTAATTGGTTATTGATCATAAAATATGAAGAGATTTTGTAAATTAGGTGCATTTTATCCGCATAAGTATCTGAATCCTTTGCTTATTCCTTTTCAATTGCTAAATAAAATGTTGAAATCCCAGAACTCGATCAGAACATTCGCCTGGTTTCGCGAATAGTTTATGATGCTTAAACTGATGACAGGAATGACTTAAAAGTTTTTCATTTACCACTGCAGGTTAAAATATTTCAGATTTTACATTCAAACTCTGTTTAATTCATTCATTGCCCAAATTTTCTCATGGCATATGCACTTAGAAAAGTGAATCTCGATGATGGCTTTTTTTACATGTATTCAAAGCAACATTCATGAAAATTTTAATCCCAAAAAATTCGTTATTTGGGTAGTTCAGTCCTTTTTCTTCAACACTGTCAGCAAAGGTTTATTTTTGTTTCATTTGGTCTCTTTGTATGTTTCAATCTTTTGTTTTGATGTCACTCGTTTGAAGCAGAGCGTTCACAGCGATGAAGGATGTTTCCGTCATCAAGCGTTTGACTCAGAAAAAAGAACATTGCATTTGGATTAAAAATCGTCATGATTTCGAGAGAGAAGGAATACGTTTTTCCCTTAAGAAATAAGTTGACATGTTCTGGGTTGAGCCTGTAGAGGTAAGGGCGAAGTTATATTTCAGGAGGCGAACTATAAAAGGTTTAGACGGTGAACTTGCAAATTAGTCAATTGCCCAAGGATTTTCAGGACACTTATGATAAAAAGCTAAACGAGAAGAAAACCACTACTTGCTACTCCACATACATAACTGCTATACTTAACTAGCTCATACTTTTCGTGAGAGTAACAAACCTCTAAATGTATCAAAAACTTGAGACACTTGCACATTCCCTTCATATTTGTCCACAAAATAAAATCCAAACACAAAATATCTAGATTTGGTCGAGCGTGAAAGCTTAGCTCCAGTAGGCTAATGCTAATACCCTCAGAACCAGCTTTGCCATCACACGTGAGTGAAAGATTGCCCCCGTCCATATCGATTAATGACGTGACTTTGCAAATGGCCTTAAAGTAAAAATTCCGCCATATTAGAAGTTAAAACTGACTTCACCATGTAAAAGAGGAAAAAAAACTCAAGGTAAAAACCTTGTATTAATGTCAGTATCAGAGAAACTATGCACCTACCCCTTCCCCAACTCAACAACAGTCAACTGATAATAATTTAGGGTTAATGTTGGGTCAGGGGAGGAGTAGGTGCACAGTTGATCAGAGACTGAGACAGATCCAAAATTTTTAAGCGCGTGACTTGTTAATTACTGACAGAAATGTTAATCACTCATAAAAATAAGATTTTTAAAACTCGCCTGAAAGTATGTATGAAATTTTTTTTTCTTTTTCCTATATCATTAAGTTAAAAAACACTCCAAATATAGCCTCTAACTATAGATTGAATTACCGTAATTAGTAACCCTCATCATCACTCAAGCACAAACGGGCCTATCTTGTACAACCTTTCCCTTCCCCCAAGTCTTCGTTTGGTGTTGCAAGCTGGAGAGTAAGAAGGACAACTTCAGATGCCTGCTAGAGGGCCTTTTTTCTGGAATAGGGAATGTAATCATTTACACCGATGAACTTGAGACAAAACGAAAAGGAGGGGCTAAACACCCGAAAGATAAACTTTATTTTGCCTCAGCTTCTCTCGTATCTGCAGGAACAACAAGGTAATAAACTTTGAGGTAAGTACATTTGTAACATTGTATTAAACACTTAGTGAAGAGCTAAGTCGCTATACAGGGTCGGTCATCTGCTCAAGGCCAGTTTTAAACGGCCATTTTATAGTTTTGGGTCGAGAAAATTTATCAAATCCCTTTTATTTCTTTTATATCTTTAGATAATTTTGTGAGAGATTGATTTACTAGCTAGCTCAAACAGATGAGCCATAACAAATTATTTGACTTCCCCAGTCAACTTCCGAACTTCTGCTTGGAAATAAGTAATTCAAAGGACATACTTGCTTATAGTTTTTTTTTTTATTTATGGAGTGACTTTTATAAGTTGTTGAAGTTTTTTTAAATGTATGTTTGTGATTGAATTCTATCCGTTGGCTACCCATTTGAAAGTAACACAAACACTCATCGAACACGAGTTTTTGGTGATGATCTAATGTGACTGATAACTTCTTGTTGGATCCTCTTCATTTCTTTGTCTTTTTTATTACATTATTGTGAATCTTGATTTTTTGATAATGGTTTTCTGATTTCTTAAGCACCAATACATGAAGCCAACAATATGGTGCTGTTTGCAAATATTATGATTCCTGATAACTTAACTTAAATCAGACAGCTCTGCAGCATGCATGACGATGCAACATGACCATAACAACTAAAATGCGTATATCCAATGGAAAGCTATTTTCTCTTCTATGGTTCGTCTTCTGTTTTCGGTCGACTGCAAAGAAAGCCTCCGCACTTTTCCGCATGAACTGATTACATGGTTCGTGAAAGCACATGATTTTATCCCGGTTGGAGGAAGGAAGGCGCAATTGCATCTTTAGCGAATGATGCACATGCGTGCAACACAAAATTTTGTCAGTCATGGATTGGATACCGCCGATACCTCAATATGGATTTAATTTCCTCCCCCATTCCGATACTCTAACAACTAGCAACATCACTAGAATCCATTCTAGTATACTGAGAATTTGCGGCATCACTCGAATATAATAACAACCGGCCGCTTGTGCGCCTGCCTCTACAGAAACTTGTAAATACAACCAAAAACTCACACATATCCGATGAAATGTTTTTTTCCTTTTAAAGAGTTTGTTTACCGTTCTCTTATACGCAATCGACCAAGTGGTCATCGTTCGTCACGACATATTTTAAAGGGCGTAAATCTTAATTTTTTTCTTACATTGCGATTTATTTAAGTCGATAAGGTATTCCACAATCGTTTTGAGATTGAATTATCCCTTTTTTCTGTGTTTCGGGGGGGTAACGTGCTAATTGGTCGTATACGGTTTTTTGTTGATAATTTAAGGTGGCTCTGCTTTCCGAACTTTTGCAGTTGAATGTAGAATTCAATCTTTACTCCTGGATAGAAAGACGTGCTCGACACTCATTGGACACTTAGTACATCCGCGGAGTAAGTTTGGGATCATTGGAAGGAAGTGATAAAGTGTATGATAAATGCAACCAAGACAAATTTAAGAGGGAGACTTTTCGAGTTACAAATACATTTCCACGGACGGAAATAGAATCTTGAGACGGAAGATAAAAAAAAAATGTTATAACTTTAAAATCCAGGCGCCTAATGCAATGACGGGTAATTTAGTGTTAACAACTGAGTTGAAAACGTAAATTAGCCACCGTAATGGATAAAAAAGCTGACGTTTCGAGTGTTAGCCCTTCGTCAGAGCGATTGGAGGAATTGTGGGTTGTGTGGGTTTATATGCAGAAAGTGGAGCTACATCATTGGTGGGAATATGGTGACGAGAAAACAGGAATAAATTAGTGGAATGAAAAGCGCTCGTTGATTCCGTGGGGATTAAGGGTGCCGATTTGGAAGATAAATTTTTGTTCTAGTGTTTTGCGGCTTTCCGAACTGTCTAGATGCAAGGAAAGGCCGCAAACTTTCATATGCTGTTTAAAATGATTAGGGAGATTAATGTGTCTAGCGACTGGTTTGGATGCGTCCTCGTCATTTCTTTCCATGTCGCGAAGGTGTATATTGCAGCATGATGACTACCAAAACTCCAGACAGAATGAATCATTCAGCGATAGAAAGAGTATTAAAATTTTAGAGAGCATGTACAAAACCTCTTAACGCATCGTTAAGCAGACATGTCGGGGCATGTTTCATTATCCAAGGCCTGAAGTTTTGGAAGATATAACCTGCATCAACTATCGCAGGTCGAAAACGACTGATAAGGAATAGTATAAATCATGATGATCCTCCTCCCAACTCTTTGGCGGTTGTTTCAGTTGAGGTCTCAAAATGTTTAAAAAAAGAGTCATCGCTCCGATGATCCAGCTCAAGAGAAGTTAATTCTACAAAACATACTTCCTTATTGGAACCCCTTGACCCCTCTTTGGAAGTCTAGCTAATATTTAACACCAGGAGCATCGTTTGTCGTATCGTGGTTCTTATCACAAATTTATTAGGACTCTTCAGTGCTGTGTGGACGGCAATACATAACAAAATGTATTGCAAACCGAGGAACAAACTTTCGAGTCATAAAAAAACAAAATGAATACTTTGGTGATGGAAATAGGATCAAAAGCGCCAGGGAGCAGAAACAAAATCAAGAGCACATTTAAATGATAGAAACATTTGCCATTTTCGGCAGCATGACTTTCAAAAATAATTCACATACAATTTTTCTCCTCTAACTACGTGAACAACCACAAGTTATTAAGCTTTAACGCATAAAGAGCATTTTAAGGAAGCATTTCACCAAGCTACCATGTCTGATGTGTTTCCTCCTTGTTTAATTAAACTCTGTTGTCCAGACTTAACCAACTATGATAAGCTATTGCAATGATCTAGTAGAATATTTTCAAGTCTCAAACTGAATTCGGCATCATTCGAATTCCAACACCGCTTCTGTTGGACGGCTCAGAAGAAACGTTGCAAAAGAAAGAAGAAGTTGAATTGTCTTAATGTGATTATTGATACAATTTCCCAATTTCCAATGCAGTATAAACTTGCTTACACTTATAATAAAAAATAAAAAAAAAGACTGAAGAGCAAAACCTTTAAAGTCGTGACTTTGGTAACTACTGACAGAGGTTCTGATCATTAACAGGAATAAGACTAAAAACACAGACTCTTGGGGGCATTCACAAACCCACGACCACATTCTTGATTACAGCAATTTTTGTTCAAGTTACTAAAAAAAGGTCCTTTCCCTTCCCCCAGGCGACCTGGTTCTCACACCAATTGTTTATGCAACAGTAGATCCAATGAGTGCCATCTTACGACAAAAGAAAAGGGAGAGGCAAGCCATCTGACTGATAAACTTTACTTCACCTCAGTCTGTGTCATATTTGCGAGAGCAACAAGTAAGTAAACTTCAAGGTAGGTACAGCGTTAAATCATCCTGTTATTTTCACTTTGAGCCGGGAGAAGTGAAGCTATACCGGGTCGCTTCAGTGGCCGTCGATGGCTAATTTCAAATGACGAATATCAGAGTTTTAGGATGACCAAATTTGTGATATTAACTTTGTAACAACTTCCTTTGCTATTCTTTTATAATGTTTCAGGGGACTGGCCTACTAGTTAGTTCCCACTTAGTTTCAAATGGTCTGATCCAATAATCAATTTGAATATGAAATTTAAATCTTTATTCTTCCGCCGTTTGCAAATATAACGGATCTTGATAGATTAGAGCTACTTGACTCAAGTCAGAAAGTTTTATAGTATTCTTGAAGATACACCATAGCAATAACAACGAAAACTCGCATATCTGATGGCAAGATATTTTCCTTTTAGGGCTTATCTTCATTTCTTGTTCGACAATTTTCGCATTTGTCCACATACACTGATTACATGGTTTGTGAATACATATGATTATAAGTGGGCAGAAATAATAGGGTATTTTACAAACTTTTATAAGCCTCAGATGGGATACCGCTCATACCTTAAAGTGGGTTTAATTTTCTTCCTAATTCTGATACTTTAATTGTTTTCAACATCATTCAGTTCGAAGCCATTCCCACCCTCATGTGACGGCTTTTAAAACGACGCGCTAAGATAACCTAACAAATGGCGCGTCCTAGCGAGGTTTTTATTATTACTTTCCGACTTTTCAATGTTGTGTGCACCGTTCATGATAAACGCAAAAGAAAGACGAAATCTAATAAAGAAAAATAATTGCACACATTATAATTATTACAGACCGAATGTTTCATTGAGCGATTGAAATAGCATCAAAAAGCGCCAGAGTACGTGCATAAACTCTCAGAACGCATCGTTAAGCGAATATGTCGAGGCAGGTTTCGTTGTCTTAATCTGCATCAACTTTTGTAGGTCGAAAACGATTAAAAACAGTATTAATTGTGATGATGCTCCTTTCGCCACTTCTTTGGCTTTTTATTTTAGTTGAAACCAAAAAGCTATTTAAAGCTCGGAACGAAATTTATTGCTCCGACGCTCCAATCGGAAATGACACGCCGATACAACCTGGCAAATTGCGCGTCCTAGCGGGGTTTTTATCGTAACTTCCCGACTTGTCAATGTTCTGCGCACTATTCATGATAAACGCAAAAGAAAGACCAAATCTAAAAAGAGAAAATAATTGCACTCATTATAACTATTACAGGCCAAATGTATCATTCAGTGATAGAAGTAGCATCAAAAGCGCCAGAGGACATACATAAACTCTCAGAACGCGTCAGAACGCATAATTCTATTTATGCACTCGGCTTTGAAGCACCATTGGGAACAAATGTTCGCTAGTTTTGATTAGTTACTTTTTGTAGTCACAAGGATCACAGCATGGAGCGTCCAATAGTTGAGGATGCATTAATTTTACAGCAACCTAAATTGGGTATAAAAATGTTATATCCTTAAAATCAAGACGCCGAACTCAATGACGGATGAATTCGCACATTTGCTGAGGAAACAAGAAAGGATGCGAAGTTATCTGATTGTTTTGGCAATTGAGCCAAAATTATGCCGCTGTTTGCGAATAAAACGATTTCTAATAGATAAAAGCTACTTAACTTAAATCAGATAGCTTTGTAGTATTCTTGACGATGCCGTGAGTATGATAATAACAAATGAAATTCGCATAGCCAATGGAAGCCATTTTCGTTTATTATGGCTCATTTCCGTTTCTGTTCAACTGCGATCGAACACCTCTGCATTTATCAGCATAAACTGATTAACAGTTTGTGAATGCATATGACCACATCTGGGTTGAAGGAAGGAAAGCATCACTGCACAGCGAGTGATGCACACAATAAGTGCAGTCATAACAACTGCAAACCTCCAGACTGAATGAATCATACAGCGACGGAAATAGCATCAAAACTGTTAGAGAGCATACACAAAACCTTAAAACGCATCGTTAAGCAAGTGTGCACTGTTCATGATAAACGCAAAAGAAAGACCAAATCTAATAGAGAAAAATAATTGCACACATTATAATTATACACAGACCGAATGTTTCATTAAGCGATTGAAATAGCATCAAAAAGCGCCAGAAGACATGCATTAACTCTCAAAACGCATCGTTAAGCGAACATGTCGGAGCAGGTTTCGTTATCTTAACCTGCATCAACTTTTGGAGGTCGAAAACGATTAAAAATAGTATAAATTGTCATGATGCTCCTCTCGCCTCTTCTTTGCCTTTTTATTTTAGTTGAAACCAAAAAACCGTTTAAAACTTGGAACAAAATTTATTACTCCGACGCTTCAATCGAAAAAAAAGATAATATTTCAAACGTATTATTTGACAGTTAAGCAAGTTGATTGTCCTGTTGTGGTTGTTATCACAAGCCTGTTAATTAGATATGCTAATCAGTGACAAACGTAGTATTACCGGGAGGCATTCACATTCCGACGAAACAATACGAATACAATTGCCTTATCTACTCCTCATCTTTAGACAAACATGATGGCTGTGATATTTTTAGAAAGAGATACAAGTGACTAAAAAAAGCATATCCTAGTAATAATTATCCCTTTCCCATCCCCCATGTGTCCTTTTCTCGCGCCACTTGTTTATGCAACCTTATATCCATTGGACAAAGAAAGATCTAGAAGAGTGTTTTCACCTAATCCCGTCAAGGGCGTAGCTAAAGGTAGGGGGTCCAGGGGTGCCCATGACCTCCCTTTTGTAAGCCTTTTTTGTCACATCAAGTAAAACACGGCGTGGAATCCGACATGAAAGTTTGGTGATTACTCTCTGATTGACGAAGTGTGACCCTCTTTTCAAAAAATGCTGCTCCTCGATTATAATGTAAGCACTACTTTCTTAAAATAACAATACACTTCATTGCAAAATATGGAGTTATATATATCAGAATGACTAGTATGTTTCCATTTTCATCGCTGTCTTCGTTATTTTAAGGTGTGACTATTTGTAAATATAAATAATGCATTGAATAAACATTTTATTGCAGAGGATGCTATGTAATCCAGTGAAACAAAACACTACAAATTGCTCTCGAAACAAATTTAAAGCCCAAAAAGCCAAACTGTGGGAAAAATATCAGACATTAAAAAAAAAAAGGCTGCATCTCGTCTGGCCCTTTCTTTCCTTCACTCTCACGTCACAACTTTTTGTTCAAAGGAGACTACAATGCTCGTTAAGGTATCGATCATGACCCTTTCAAGACTGATAAGAAACCTAGGAAGCGCTCCATGGCTGAGATAATGCTAAAATTTATGTAGGGAAAGTGTGGTCAGCGCCAGCAGGCAATCCCTTGGGTTTTGCGTAGATTGTAAATGAGCCCGTTCGTGCCCAAACGTGTTATTGTGGCGGCGTCTGTTTGAAATGTTTATTGATCTATTGTTTTGATTGCATTCTTTGTTCTTTGTCTTCTAGTTTATGATTAAGATTAAGCTATTCAGTAATGCAATTTTTCAGGGAAGACGCAGCGTCACAGCGTGAAGCAGAAGCCGGACCTTTCTGGAAGCGTGTCTTCACAGTTTCGGCTTCTGCTTCCATGGTGACCTTGCTAACAACCTTTTGTTTACACTTCTTCGCTCTATTTCAGTTCCTTACTACGGGGAAAAAGGTAGCTACTGACAAGTTGCTGTATGATAACCTTACTTTTGTAGGCTCAAACGCCCTTTTAAATGGTGATTCTTTAGAACGAGCTCTATCAGATCCGTTTCGCGAATACCAATTCTCGTTTTACTATTCTACTATTCTAATACTATTCTTGTTTTGACAGTGTATTTAACTCATTTTCAAAGAGTGGATTATCAATTGCCTCTTGGTTCTATTCCAACATTTTTTCAGATTCTATTTGCTAGGTGATGTAATATGATGGACAATGTTTCCTTTTAAGAGTCATTATCAGATTAGCTTTGATTTTTCGCGAGTTTGTGGGTAAGCTTGTTTATTGACGATGAACATGTAATAGCTTTGGATCCCGAGTGAAATTTCATAAACATTTTCCCTATTGAGCATGTGCCTCCTCAAGTTCCGCCACTGACCGGATGAAACTGAGTTCAATGATACTAAGATCTCAGGATTTAAGCGATGGGCTTAAGAAATCTTGGCTCATTTGATGAAAAAGTTTGCTTGTGTATATCAATTTGTGATTTAATCTTCTTAACACGCCATAACAGATTTATAATTTGTCTGGACCGAAACACTCTCGTCGCTTCAAATTTAATGTGACCTTTCGTTTAGTATTTTTTACTCAATTTCCTGGTAAAATTTGCTTACGCATCTTTGAGTCGAGATCATAAACAAATATCCGTGAGTCCAACCGCAGATGCTGCTTAATAATCGTCTTTAATTATGAGGGTGACATTATTAAGTGTTCAAAGGTAATGATGTAAAAGATGTAATCATTTCTAACCCAACTTTGATTTGAGTTAGAGAGTGTTACGGCGTTCCAAACCAGGCGCAAAGTATTCGAACGGCTGGTTTGCTCATTTAATGCTTGACTATTTTTTCGCTCTCAGTTATTTGCGTGATTGGCAAAGAAAGCCCTCGCACATAATTAATTTTAAAAGCAAACTGTAAATGCATTATGTTAAATAAAGGAATAAGGTTATTTTGTCATATTCCTACTGTCGTGTTGTTGTGTTTAGCTGTGTTGTTTTCTTTCCTTTTGTGTTGTTTTTCTGTTCTGTTTTGTTGCTATATTTTATTGAATTTTTTTTAGTAGCATCAATCTCTTATTTCCACCCCTCCCCCCCCGCCACAAAGACAAATTCTCTCGCAAACATCAATGAATTGTCACATTCAGTGGAAAATTGTGAAATTTACTATTTAAAAGAAAAATGACCTCTGAATAGTACATTGAGATCTTAATTGTTCAAGCGAATTTCCTTCATTGTTTTTAGCTTTTTCTACTCTTTTTATTTTCGGCTTCAGTGAAGGAAGGAACCTGTGGAATTGTGAATGGAATTGTGAACGGTTTGTCCATAATGTTTTAAATTACCTGTGCGTAACTGATTTTAGTTTAGTTAGCCTTATTCAAGGAAGGCTTCAGAAATTTTAGTGCCAGCTACAAGGATATCATTCAGTAAATAAAAAAATATATTACAAGAAAGATCATAGTTAAGTGCTTTATTGATGATAAAATATGAAGAGACTTTATAAACTAGGTGCATTTTATATGCATAAGTATCTGAATCCTTTGCTTATTCCTTTTCAATGGCCAAATAAAATATTGAAATCCCAGAACTCAGAATATTCGCCTGGTTTTGCGAACAGTTTATTATGTTTAAATTGATGACAGGAAAAAGACTTAGAGGTTTTTAACTGACCACTGTAGGTTAAAAGCATTTCAGATTTTAGATTCAAACTCTGTTTAATCCGTTTATCATGTTTTGTCAAAATTTTCTCATGGCATAGACACTTAGAAAAGGAAATAACGATAATAGCTTTCTTTTTTACATGTTTTCATAGTAACATTAATGAAAAATTTTCAACCCCAAAAAATTATTATTTGGGTACTTCAGTCCTTTTACTGCAACACTGTGAGCAAAACGTATTGTGGTTATTGCTGGAGCATTAAATAAGCAGACGTTAGAAATACAAAAGTTGAATCAGAACAGTAGATCGCTCTAGTAAGAGTAATTTGCGTTTATGTTAAAATTAGGATTCATATGAAATCAAGACTCCTCCCTCTACTCTCGCATTCTCCCTCGTACTCTACAGACTCACAAAATCTAGTTTCCACCTAGGTTCAAATACATTGATTTCCCTCTTTTCAACAACTTGTTTTCGTTTTTTGTTTGTTTGTTTGTTTGTTTAGTCTGTTTTTTCTTGTTTTTGTTTCCCTTTTTGGGGGGGAAGAGGGAGGGTGTTGACGGTTGAGGGCTTATTTTATTTTGTTGTTGTTGCTTTTTTATTTGGTATCTTTGTATGTTTTAATCTTTTTTTAATCCTGGCACTCGTTTGAAGCGATATAGCGGTGTTTCCGTGATCAAGCGTTTGACTAAGAAAAAAATAAAAGTAAAATAAAAATACATATAGGTTGATTCTTAAAAAAGCAGCCAAGTGCTCCTTCCAACACATCATCTACAAGGAATGCTAATCCGTCGCAGGTTTTCCCTTTCATTTCGTGGTTCTCTGAAAGGAAAGAAGAACCTGGAGAGTTTACTATAAGAATATAAGAAGGTCTGAGGTTGAATTCCTTATGGAGACCATCTTTCTCTCAACTCGATTTTGCTCTACTATTCTAATGTAATCTTTAAATCTTTAGACTCCAGGAATAGTCAGCATCCATGTGACATACAATGATACCAAGAGAATCATTTCCTATCAGAAAGGGGGAGATGTTCAGGGACTCATCTCTGAGATCTTGCAACGATTCTCCGACGTTTTACCTGCCAATGTTACTTCAGAACAAGTAAAGCTACACCGGTATGATAAAACATTTGAAGATCTCACAGAATTAGAAAATGAATTCAAGTTTGATGATGACCACAAAGTTACCGTGCTCATTAAGGAGGTACCGGTGCGTTGTGCGTTGTTTCTGATTCTTATAGCCTTTAGTGTTATTGTTTATAAATTAATTAGAAAACTAATTAATCCGTGGAACTTCGATCATAATCTCTAGAGCTCGAATACTGGTGATTTTGAGATTTAGCGCGTTAAGGCTTTAACATGGGTTCAGAAGGTTTCGCCTTATAGCAAGTTCGCTCTCTACAAAGACAAGTTTCACAGCAAATCCATGACAAAGCTCTATGGACAAACAAATTCTTTACCATGTTGAGCAATGACAACATGCACATCTTGTGTTTTAATCCTGGCACTTGTTTGAAGTAGAGTGTTTCACAGCGATGTAGAGTGCATCCGTGACCAAGCGTTTGACTCAGAAAAAAAAGCATTGCATTTGGATCAAAATTTATTATAATTTCGATAGAAAAGGAATACGTGCTACCGTTAGTAAATGAGTTGAATATTTAGGTGGTGAACTTGTTTCTTTAAGGAAACGAACTCGCAAAGGTTTAGGCGATCAACTTGAAGTTTCTGTAGGATATTTAAGACAATTAGTTTTGTGCGTTTTTATCGTTTGTTTTGTTTAGTGTAGGTCTGTTTTGTTTTGTTTCGTTTAGTTCAGTTTTGTTTTATTTACATTTTTTTTTTGTTTTCTTTTGTTTTGTTTCATTCGTTTCCTTTCCTTTCCTTTCGTTTCTTTTCCTCTTGTTTCTTTTCGTTTTCTTTCCTTCCGTTTCGTTTCGTTTTGTTTTGTTTGTTCTTCCCTACATTAAGTCAAGTCAGTCACATCTCTCTGGTAGCATGCAGTTTAAACACTTAAGTAAACCGGAAGGCATAGTAAGAGCAATAATAATTTGACAAAATGACCCTTTTGATCAACCTGCGGCTCCTTCTCAGAGGAAGAAAAAGATCTTCAATCTTACCTCTTCCCATCAACGCAGCCATGCAATAAGTATAGGTAAGAAAATGATCTCGAATGAATTTGGTGTCAATAAGCACGGGTAAATTTTTCAAAGATAACAAAATCGCACGAGCCCGTAGGGCAAGTGCAATTCGTAGTCTTTGGAAAGTTTACAGGGGCTTATTACACCAAATTGCAAGAGAAATCATATTATTACTTGTCAATAATGTATATGAAAAAAAAATCACAAGAAGTCAAGACAGACGATACTTTGACAGCGTGCTCTCGCTATTTGTAAGTCGCACTCGTGTTACAAACTAGTCGGCACTCGTGTTATGGATTTATACTCGTGTTACCTGAGAATGCACTCGTTTTCAGCCAATCAGAAGCGCGTAATTTTTTTTTTTTGGACATTATTAAGGAACAAATGAGCATTCCACGCATCGCTATACTAAGCTGATTAAATCTGCTACTTTTCAGGCTGAAGAGAAAGAGGGACGAACACCACGTTGTTCTTCAGACAATACTTTGAGTATGCTGCGTAACGGTGAGTCGGCTACGTTGAGTAATGGTTTTGTAAGGGACTTGACCGAGGAGAGAATAGAAGTTTAAAAAGAAGAGGTTTAACTGTCTCTGTGTGGTTTTTGTCAAAGTTGAGCCATGGTATTGGCTGAATAAGCTCAATTAACGTTATGGAACAGCTGAAGTTAATTATCACATCCAGTGACAAAGAAACTGGCGCGTTTTTCATTCTAACTTTCGGTTTATCCTGAAATTCTGCCTGATACCCCAAAGGGCAAAAAAAAAGAGCAAAAATTTGACAAGTAATAACGGACAGATTGTATTATTCGTTGATAGAAACGGGATCAAACAATCCAGCACAATTATCAAATTTGATATCCTGAATCAAAATAGGTTATTACCCAATCGGAACTCAAGACAAATATCACGTGTCATCATCACTGTGACCTCTGTCCTACCACATGGAAGTTATGTCGCTGGGATTTAAATACCATTTTAGAGCAAGCAATCTATCACTGGATTGCGTTAGAATACAATAGTATTGTAATACAAATGTAAAATTCAATTATTTTATTCCCATGATTGACCAAACAGAACCGTGGAAGGAAGAGCCGTTTACGTATTTTAAAATCACCGATGCCACCATTTATCGACTGTGGAACCGCTTTAGCAGGAAGGAAGATGGGATTGTGAGGAGAGATCCCAATAGTGGCGATGTGCATTGCGACGGAAGTTCTGAAAAGGGAGACGATAAAAATAGTAAGTACACTTTCATGCTATCATGATCATAGCAAACAGTCCCCTAGGACTTTGAGTTAAGCCGGAAAATCACATGCAGAGATGGGTGTGTATTGTGTATTTTGACATATTTATAATTCAATACCCAGTGCCATAGTTTTCTCTCTCTCTGCACTAAATCACTGATCACAGTCTTTAAAGGTGCTGAAACAACTGTCTGAGGAAAAAGGGGGCGGTTCTTTTTGCAGCAAGGAAATTATCAGGATTGTTATGAACTAAACGCGTTGAAATGTATAATGGCGGTCAGATGGCGATTTTCTCTTTTAATTTACCCCGATAAGTACCTGAGTGCAATCAGGTAGCGTTTGTCTGTCGCAATGAGACGCTGAGCCCCTGATTCACACATTATTGTTTGCACGAAGTGATATGTTGTTTTAACTCAACGACATATCGCAGTGGGAGAGCAATGTGTTGTTTTTGCTCCACGCTATATCTTTGCAGCTTACATACTTTATCAATTAGTTTCCTCTTTATTTTTCCCTCACCAAGCAACGATGCATCCAAGGTTGCCCTGTTTTCAACCGGCGTGGTATAATATTATGCATAGAGAAAGGTGTTTTTTCGTCTTGCCACGAGCGTGGGACAAAGAAAATTAGACCTTCGGATTCCGCGCCCCGATGCTCTACCACCGAGCCACAGAGACTCTACGGTGAGCGGGGTTTATTACGAAGTTCTACGACACGCGTCCTTCATACTGATAGGATCAGCGATGTCGTTAGCGTCGTGTTTGTAAGTAGAGGTAGGGCATCGGAACGCGGAATCCGAAGGTCTGAGGTTCCATTGCTAATAGGGACTTCTTTGTCCCGCGTTCGTGACAAGACGAAAAAACATCTTTCTCTATTTCTTTGCCGAGCTCAAAACTTATCATCATTCTAAATATTATGCATATCATGCTTTAACGTTAACCTTGCAATATATGGCCTTAGCAACGGCTCAGAGGAGAACAGGGCGCTACAAAGCTCAAGCCAACAACTTTTCCTCTTTTCCTTTCTTTCAGTATTTCTTTTCTTAATCGTTTCTTAATCCCCTAAATTACTACACTTTATGATCTAGTTTGACAATTGCTTGAATCTTTGTTGCTTAAGTCTTCAAAAACGTGTTATATAAATATCTCATGCGTCGTCTCTAAAAGCTGGGAGACACAGATATCCAAATCAGTAACCCTGCAACTTAGCGATAAATAATTTCCTATGAGCAAGATGTCGTTGTGGTAGATATTCTGTGACATATGGTTGCCCTTGTTGTTGCTCGCTGGTTATGAACTGATGAAAAAACAACTGAATTGCTTCTTCACTATGATCATAGCTCATGTAAAAACCAAGTTTAAAAAGCCGAGGGAAGGAGACTACTGCTTTTGTTTTGCCCTCCTGTTCAACGACGCAGACACAAACAAACAATACGCAATGAAAGGAAATGGAAAAGAAAAAAACATCATCACCGAAGTAAGGAACTGCATCATTTTTTCTAATCTAGCTTTTATTAATTCATTAATTCATTAATTCATCCATCATTAATTCAACAGCCCGGTTACCTTGTAATCCTTTGACTATAATTCATTTCTTTATTCATTATTTATTATTTATTATTTATTTATTGTAAACTTTTTCCGTCATTCTTTTGTTTTCTTTTTTTAAACTTCCTCCACTTTAATTCGTTCCCTTTGTTTATATTAAAGCCCAATTGCTATATAATTAACCATACGATGTATGTGTTTGAGGTAACTGAGGCAAATGATTTTCCTTTCAAACGATTAATTGTTTGGGTAAGCCGACAATCAAACCGTTCAGGTTAATTATAATATAACTTTAATAACATTTCTTACGATGGGATATTACAATATTTTGCACTTAATTAGGACAGTATTTATTATTTCTAATTCGACACTCTCTTCTATTTGCAAGGAAGAAAATGAAGATGATAATGATAGGGAGAGCGATGACGATAGCGATGTTTTTTTATGTTCTGACTTCGGGTGCTTCACGATCTTCCAACACTACAATAGCAAACTCTACCTGGGATGCGATCACGATGGTAAAGCAACTCTGGTTAACTCTCCGAGCCCCCAAACTCTTTTTATCGCTAGCAAAGTTGTTTAACTTGAAAAGACAACTGGAGAATCGTTTCTCTTTCTTATGAATGAAGTCAGCTTTTTGGTAGTTACTTCTTTTTGTTGGAGACGGTTTTCTAAATTCCAAAGAGACATAGAGACATATATAGCGTAACTGATAGATATCTGGCATTCCCTTTGATAAGGAGCCACTGGTTTAGCAGCTCGTGCTTTCTGTTTTTTTTTTTTTTTAATTTCACCTAATTTTATAATCAGTAAGACTCACAAATAACCATAAAGGAGTTCCAGGTCTTTGCCCTTGATCTGTTGTTGGTCAACTGCAAATGAACTCTTATCATAAATAGTGCATATGGATTGTAACATCTGACCTATACATAAGAAAAAAGTGGCATATCGATCAGTTGGTCACCTGCTGTTTTATCCATAATTTATTTCATATAAACTAGTTGTGGTGAGAACAAATGGCCCACCCAGATTTGCCTTGCTCACGTGTGACTTCCTAACTTAGATTGTAATGGCGCCCAGCTAATATCTAGGAAATCCTGAAGTTTACTCACATTTATTCTTACTGAAGTTAACTTGTAATGTATAAGTTTTTTTTTTACTTATTACACAGTTAAAGTTGGAAAGAGAATTTTCCAAGCCGTCATTAAAGAATTTCAAAAATTAAAGTTGCCTCTTTGAATATAGGGAACATATAAACTGCGCACCATTACCAAGAACTTCGAATATACTGGACTACTATTATCACATGAGCGGGAGCGTTCTACCGGGAACTAAAACTCTCATAGAATCAATATAACCAATATTTCTAGGAAACCAGTGCCTAATATTTTGTATATAACACAACGGGTCATGAAATTAATCGCAGCTAAGAACACTATTGAAACGAGTAGTTGAAAATAGGACCTGAAAAAAATTCAGGCCCGTAAGGGATTTGAACCCTTGACCTCTGCGATACCGGTGCAGCGCTCTACCAACTGAGCTAACAAGCCAACTGGGAGCTGGTCAATGTGTTGGGTCCAAATAAACCATCCAAGTAATGAATGATAATTTTAGATATATGAAATTCATATATTTGCACTGCGGTGAAGAGATGAAATTTAGAGATCCTCGCAGCTAAGAACACCACTGAAACGAGTAGTTGAAAATAGGACCTAAAACTGAGCAAACAAGCTAAAATCATCAACTTGGATGGTTTATTTGGACCCAAACTAAACAAAATGCAAATCCAAAAAAATATAGATTTGCTAAAGCCTAAAAAGTTGATTCCAGGTTAATTTTAATTCCTGATCTTAAATAGAAGCTCGAACCGGCTGTTGAGGGGTTTGATCAGCTCAGTTAGGTAATATGATGATTTTATTTCAGTTTTTTAACCCATAAAGCTAAGGGGCGCATGCAAACACGTGAATGCCGATTAGTTCAAAATTAATGCATGAAAAACAAACCCTTTCCTTTTTACCCCTAAAAAGAAACATAATGTACAAAAGGAGATTTAATCATATTTCTAGGCCTGATAGGACGATCCTTGTTTCTTCATCCGGTTTCAATTCAACCCTGCACAACTCGCATATCTTTTTCAGCACTTGCATATGTCAAAGTTCCCAATGGAAGGGATGTAAGTATTATAAAAACACCACGATCGAAAGCTTGAGCCCTTGTATACATTCACAAAATTCTGTACAGAGTAAATCAGTTTATAGACTCTCCTTATAAAGCGGTGACGTAACTGTGCCCACAACGTAGCTGACCGCGCATACTTATGGGGCCACGATCAACCACGTTAGTTGCTATATGAGTTATAAATTCCGTTACCAAAACTAGAGATCACCATGACTTGCAAATCATAGTTTTCAAATGAATAAATGTTTTAAGGCAGTCGTTTTTTTGGTTGGGGTAATGAAGACAGAATTTGGCTGGCCAAAAAAATGGATATATTTCTTTAATCATCAAACTGTCAAGCGAATGCTTCGAAAGACAAAATAACCCATAGTATCTTGAGTGTTGAGGTATTTATCATATTTTGTCAACATGTGTTTACATGGATTAAATAAGCTATACAAACTTACGCTTTAGAGAAGCCAAAGCTTACTACCTGAGTGACGAAAACAAGCGAATGATCGACTCCGCTTATACAACTAAACCTTTCACAATGGCTTCTTGGAAGTAAACCTTTCAAGAGTGTGACCGTTACGCAGAGATAAGGAAATAAAACAACACAATCATATGTATCAGCGGAAGTTCCATATTAAGTTGTCTTCTTCATTGTGGCGTAAAATCACGAAACCCCACCGTCAGATCTAGACAAGCACGTCGGAATTAATTTCCATATCTTAGCCCTAAAGCGATCATACGATGGCTGCTTTATCTTTCGAAGAGACACAAGTAACCAAAAGAAGGCCTATCCTAGAAACCCTTTCCTTTCCCTGTGATGTTCTGTTTCTCACGACAGTTATTTACGCAACCGTAAATCCAATGAGTGCTAGCTTAGGACAAAAGACAAGGGAGAGGTTAGTCATCTGACAGATAAACTTTATCTTTCTCCTGCCTGTGTCGTATCTGCAATTATCACAAGTTAACAAACTTCAAGCCGGGTAAGTAAAACGTTCAACCATTGTTTTAAACAATAGGAAGAGATCTACAACTGAAGCCATACCAGAAGCTATATGCTCCGGATTAAAAAAAAGGATAATTCTACAAACCATACTTCCTTGTTTTAATCCATTTACCACGTGTAGGAGCCTATTATTAGACAACCAAGAAAACTGCTCGTCATATCGTGGTTGTTATCACAACTTTATTAAGACTTTTCCGTGCTTTGGCACAATATAATACATGCGAAAAGAATAGTGAAAAAGGATGAGCAAAACTTTTACAGTCATGACTTCATCACAAATTACAGATATACTAATAAGTGACAGAAATGGAATTAAAAACACTCACACCAGGCGGCATTCACAATCTGACAAAACACTTCAAAGGCAATTGCCTTATTTAGACAAGCATGTCGGCTGTGTTATCTTTCTTTTAAAAGATAGAAGTCACTAAAGAAAATCCCATCCTAGGGAACCTTTTCCATCTCCCCTGTGTCCTACTTCTCACGCCACTAGTTTATGCGACAGTTGATCTAATGAGTGCAAACTTAGGGCGAAAGAAAAGGCAGAGGCTAATCATCTGGCTGATAAACTTTATTTTGCCTTACTCTTTGGTTTATCCGCGAGCAAAAAAAATTAGTAAACTTTAGGGTTAGTACAACGTAGAACCATTGTTTTATTCACTTGAAAGAGAAGTGAAGCTATACAGGAAACTGTATGCTCCGGATAGAATAACGTCGCGTCTACAAACCATGCTTCCTTGGTTAAATCCCTTGACCTCGTGTAAAATGCTACTGATTGACAGCCGAGCAAACTGTTTGTCCTATCATGGTTGTTATCACAACTTTATTAATTTGCTACGTGGACTATTTACATATGATACATGCAAAAAATAGTGCTAACGGCAGAGCAAACCTTTTAAGGTCGTGATTTCATAACCATTGACAGATATACAAATCAGTGACAGAAATCATTTCAGGAGGCATTCGCAATCTAAAAAACAACTTCAAAAACAACTGCCGTAATTAGTCCGTATCTTTCATAGAGATACAAATTACTGACTATTATAGATAAGAAACAAGCTCATGGGGACTCAGAATTTTTCCTTTGTCCCACGCTCGTGGTAAGACGAAAAACATATTTCTCTATTTCTTTACCGAGCTCAAAACATACCATCTCTCCTCTTATATTTACAAACATGACGCTATCGACATTGCTGATCCTAGCAGTATGCAGGACGCGTGTCATATGAACTTCGTAATAGACCTCGCTCACCTTGGAGTCTGTGTAGTCAGGGTTAGAGCATCGGAGCGCGGAATCCAAAGGTCTGAGGTTCGATTCTTCATGAGGACTCAGAATATTTTCTTTGTTCCACACTATTGATATGACAAAAAGCATCTCTCTATGTATCTATAATTGAAAAGAATATCTTTAAAACGAAACAAAAATATAATGAAATAAAGGATAATGCAAACGTAATTTTTACCCTTGATATTTCTTTCTGACCCTTACTAAATTAGTTCCCAAACCTTATTTTCGTTCTCTTGGCAAAGTATAAAAGAGGCCCTTGGGACGTTAAATACCTTTCTTCGTATGCTCTGAGAAAAGCATGCAGAAAAATGAACCATTGTGCTCGTTATAGTAGACAGTGCAGAACTTCAATATTGCGTGACATCATGATGCGTTGCGTTACATTATAAACTGTCTCAGTTCTTTGAGGAAATCACCATATAAGAGCATTAGCATTCAGCCTTCTCTTTTGGTACGCTTCTTCCTGCGAAGAAGCACATAATAAATCAGTTCAATAATATGTTGCTGATATTGCCTAGTTCTTGATCAGTGGTACTATGATACATATAGCCACACTAGTTAACAAATAGAGAAGCCTTGACTGTGCTCTGTTCTGTTATAAAGCACTTAGGAAGCGGCTAGAGCACTCAAGAAGTGGGAAGAAACACTCGACTACGTCTCGTGTTTCTCCCTACACTTCTTTCGTGCTCTAGCCGCTTCCTAAGTGCTTTATAACAGAACAGAGCACAGTCAAGGCTTCTCTATTTGTTTTATAATAAAGAATCCGTTAAATTACCCAAGCATTACTTTCAATTTTCAAAACAAACTTTATTTCCAAAGCGAACAACAATGTCGTCAGCATGCTCTATACTCTCATAAAGCACGCTACAAAAAGCCAATCAGAATCCTTGTTAGAATGGTTCAAATAATCTGATTGGCTGTACAAGACTAAAGCTGTCAAAAGTGTCAAACCATCAAAGTTCAAAAACCATCAAAGTTCACATTCTACGATAGTTTACAAACTAAAATAGTTCGGCAAGTCGAATTTAACACTTTTGCCTGAAGTTTTTAAGTCTCTAATATAGAATCTCGAAGTGAAATGTTCAGTGAAATTCAACCGAATTATGGCTCATAAAAACACGCGAGTTTTTTCCACATGACAAGGTAGAAAACAAGCTGTTCAAGGCGAGTGTTTTTTGAATGAAAGACAGCTGAATTCACCGGAACATGAAGATCGCTCGTGATGACAGCGCTGCAAAACTCGGCTGCAGTGACCGATGTGAATTGCCACTCAACGTAACGGAAAGGATATCAGAGCAAGCTCTTATTTTTTCACTCGAAGAGCGGCCGATGTAGTTTCTGAGGCTTGCTTTACTGTGATGACCGGAGATCGCCATGATGAGCGAGCCGCGATGAACTTAGCATGATCATATTCGCTCAGACACCGTTATGATTAGTATGAATTTTAACAATTATGCCAGTTTGGTTATATTTTTCATCATTTCTGTTTTGTCCTGTTTTGTTTTTGAACACTGAACTTTATATACTATACGAGTGTTAGCTGTGTTTGATTTTTATTACCGTACGTAAGCTTGCAATCTAACTGAGCGTGAAAATCTTTAAAACTCGGAATGTTTATTTTGTTTTTCCTTTGAAGATTTCCGTATCTGCTCATCTTTAAATAACGTAAATTACGGCGCATGGTATGTTTACAAACCTTTGTTTGATTCTTCTGTTGCTATTTGCTGGCTCGCTTCAGTTCCGAAATTTCACTTTCAATTATCGGGAAAAAGCTAAAAAGTCCCGGAAAAGGTCGAACATAGTACAATTGGCAGATGGCGTGACAGCTTTAGCTCAGTTCTACGCTCTATACTCTCATAGAGCACGCTCTTTCAACCAATGACAGCGCGCGTTATATCCGAACTTTATTATAATTTATATTAGAAGTGTATCTTTTTCAAGATTGCACAAACTCTCTTTATTCCTCATCTGAATGACTCTGTTATTTGGGACACGTTTATTCAGTGGTAGACCACCAACAAAGTCCTTTTTTCGTAAAACAACAGTTTTTTCCTGCTTCCATATTCGTAAGGTCTCGTAGATCTGTCCCGAACCCGCGCCGGCGGATGTAAAGTTTCGAGGAGTCCCGAAAGTTTCCTTGCTAGTGAGCCGTCATTAATCAGCGGTTGCAGTTAGACAGCTTAGTCGCAGAAGTGCCAAGCAGTTTGCGGCTGGTAAGGCTCTAGGTCTCAAGAAGGATGAAAATGAAGACGTTCATTTTGATGGGCCTCCTTAGCCTCCTGATAACCATACATGCTGCTGTCGGTGACGAAGAGGTTGCAGAGGAACCAATGCTAGAGCCAAAACTGTCACAAGAGTCGGAACGCGAGTCAAACGCCAACGACGCGCCATCAGAAGAGGTCAACTCGGAACCTCCAACGGATTCAACAGAAAACTCTTCCGAAGATGACAAAAAATATGCTCTGGGGTCATTATGTAACTATTGTACCTATTGCAAGGTAGGTATCGTTGTTAAACTAGATATTAGGAATGCCTGATGTGATCAGATACAAATTTTCGTACGAGGAATTTCTGTACGGTGCGAACCGTTGCGGACTTTGATCTCGAGATCACAGTGAAGTATGCATCAATCAAATTCCGCATATTATTCCTTTGCTAACGATCTTTAAGTAGGATTTGGCATAAGGAATGCATTTCTTTCTAAAAGTCCCCAGTCTTCGCCTGTGTGGACGTCGGTTTTTTTCGTAAAAGAATCACCCCCGCTCTGACGTGATCAGATGATGACAAACTAATGACACCGTTAAAAAGTGAAAATGATCGCAACGTCAGACAACGTTAAAACAACCAGTGAGATTTAGCTTAGCTTGTGGGCTTTGCCACCCTTTGTCTCTTCAAGTCACTTGAAAAGTTGTTCTTCCGTGTATCCAAAATGAATTATTCATGTGTGAACAAATATTTGACAACTTGCAATTAAAAGCAATCATTGAACATACTACCTGTCGTAATCCTAAGTTTTACCGGATAACGACAGGTGCTCACGTTGGTACTCATACACATCACAGGCCTGGTACTCATGTGCCAGGTGGTGAAGTGTTCTTTCCATGAATCATCCTTCTCCAATGGACAAGTTAACCCTTTTATTCCCAGGAGTAATTTACTTGCAACTTCTACCCATAACATCCATACATTATCCATGAAGCAGGTCTAATAATGTTTAGATAAAAGATTTATCATGATCTAACAATTAATTCTTGTTACCAAGTTACAAGGAAATGTGCAGCAGCGAAGCAAGAGAATTAACAATTGTGGGATCATGGGAGTTGAAGGGGTTTTTAAAATTTGCTAGTACCCTTCATGTAGTAACTCTGATAACTCACTTTTTTCTGGTAGTTTTGTGAATTATGTGACAAGGATTGTCCCTGTGAGAAAAGTAAGAAAAAGCCAAACTGTCACTTGTGCAAGGTAAGTAAAAGGTTTTTAATCTGTAGACCACCCCTGCTAAAAATAATTTGAGGGCAAAATTTATAATTATCACCTTTCAGAATCACTATCTCTGTCAATAGCTTATTATGAGAAGTTCAGTGCCAATTTTTTATTGTTATTATCATATTTCTATCATGAATTTAGGGTAATTTTTCCCTTTTGTAATTAGTCTTTGACATTGATTTTTTAACTAGGTAAATAATTAAGGCAGCTTATATTAAGGAATCTTGCATTCTGTTTTAAGCTGTCCTTAAATTGATTGAATTGACTAGTTCAATGTCATTAATTTGGAAGTTATATTTACTAGAAAACACGATACAGTCCTCAAGAATGAGCAACATACTGGAATTTCATTAAGGAATAGTTTTTTTCTTTTTTTCATATGTTTTGTGTAGTGATCAGCTTTGTATTATTTTTTAATGTTTTGTTGGTCTTTCTGTTTGTGTCTACAGTATTGCAAATATTGTAGCCTTTGCAGTGTTTGTGACACAGTTTGCACTCCAGGTTAGTTCTGAGAATCAATAAGATATGAAATCCTATCAATAGAGCATAATTGTTTTTTTTTACAATTAGTATTATTATTTGAAAATCCTTTACCCTTGCTTGATAATAGGCTTTAAATACTTACAACAATTTTATCAAAATGAATAAGTTCTTGTGCAATTTGAAACCCTTCAAATTACAATGTTTTTGCTTTTAAGAGAGTAATATTTAAAATGTTGATGGAAATGTTTAACATGAAACCAAGAGGATGTTAGTTGCCAGCAAAATTCTGAGTATATGTATAAAAAAAGAAAGACACAATTTAGCAGTATGATTCAGGCTCTGCAAATTCTGAGAAATTATGTTGCAAAGTATTAAGGGGTCAGTTTTTCAAAACAACAAGGAGCTGTTTGTTACATTTAACCCTTTCACTCCCATGAGTGACCAAGACAGAATTTCTCCTTACAATATCAATACAATATCAAGCAGGCAGGTGATGAGAATAGCGAAGAATATCAATCATGGGATTATTAGTTGATCCAATACCAAATTCTCTGAACTAAAATCATAAGACTTGTATGGCAGATAGTAAGGAGAATTACTAATTAGATATTGGGAGTGAAAGGGTTAAATGCTTGTGGCAAAAATTATTTGAATATCTTGCACAAGAAAGCAATTCACTTTTGTTTGTTTTAACCACAGGGGGAGTTATTGATGTTGTGAGTTCAGCTATTTACAGGTAAGTTCCATATTGGCTTCTTAACAAGAAAACAAATATTTAAATGTGAGGCCTGAAAATATTTAAAAAGCTAGTTCTAGTTAAGTGGCTTCATATTTGTAGGTCCTTTATAGAGTAAAAACCCACAGTAGCCCTTTCATAAGGTAATAACACACATGGTGAGATGAAAAAAACATCCATTCAAGGCACAGCCTACATGTAGTGTGTCACTGATGTTCCTGCCACATTTCGAAGTCTTAGGTGATCTATTAAAGAAATAAAAAACATGCCAAAGGGGAGTGCTTCTCACACTTCTCAAGTGTTCTTAAGAATTCCCAAGTGCTTATATAACTCAACAATGTTTGAGGAACAAGTTTTGTTATTTCTATTATAAAATGTATGGTAAATTGTGTGCACGTGTACTAATGACGTAGGCTGCATGCATTATATCTCTATAGTGCATTCATGTGACGTAAGGCGCATGCTTTATGAAAATATAATGAACTCATTCTGGCTAATCGCAGCATGCACATTTCTCTGAACATTTTATAATACTGAATGTAAACACGGCAACAAATCATCTGTTTTTCCTATGTAACATACAAAGAAAATGTTGTTAATTTTGAAATCATTTATACATTTTTCCTCCATTCTGATATTAATAACAAGCTGAATTCCACACAGGTTTTGATTGAGTCTTATGATATATTCAAGGACAAACACTTACATTAATTTTCTTGGTTTGTGACAAATTCTAAAAAAAGCTGACTTGTTACGCATTTTGATCATATCTCAGTACTGATCTTAAGAACAAATGGATTTCATATTGCCATGTGTCTGTTAAGGAACAGAGCACAGATGATGTCAAAATGTGATGAGAACAAAAAAGTGGCATACAAAGGACACTTGAAAGTGTCAGTGATGCTCTTACTACAGCTGAAACAGACCCACAGCAATATGAAATCTACTTTTTTCAAGATAATAAAGCACAAAAAAAAAAAAGTTAATGGTGAGGTCATCTATAGGTATACCAAAACAGTGTCTTTCTCTACTCATGGTTAAGTCACCAAAAGACATAATTCTGTTAACACACATGTATTTTTTCCTGTAGCTCTCTTCCATCTTTTGACAAAGAAACAAAAGAAAAAGTCGACGATGACATCAAATCAGCCAGGAAATGGATCAAGGAATACCTCTGATGATTTTTTTAAAGATACACAGGATTGCAAAAATGTTGACACTTCAAAAAGTGTCTACAGTGAATGATGAGTCCTTGCAGCTCTCTGCCTACATATATATATATATATATATATATGATAACACCATTAGCAGGTAGTGAATGATGGAAACAATCCATACTTTCCTCAATGAAAAGGACTACCACATAAAAGGTTTTTCATGAATAGTGAAAAAAATTTCTCACAAATTAGTTGGGTCTCATTACATGGATCATGCTTTTTAGGTGTGAACATTTTTGCAATTAAGTGTATACTGATCCAATGTACACAGTTTTTAGAAATTTTTCTTATTATACAAAGGTTGCTGACCTTTTCAAAGGTCCTTTTAATGCTTACATGTTTGCTTTATTAAATAATATTGAAAAAAGTTGCCTTTGAATTGATTTTGTGGAAAAGTTTATCTTGTTTATGAAAAGCAAAAATAGCATATTTGAGAGTAAAGCGACTTAAAGCTTACTATTAAAAATACTGATTTTATGACAAATTTGAGGTGGATTTTTATTTATAATTATTATCATTAAAAATAATGAATAAATGTTGATGAATTTAACTTATGATCATTAGAGATTATTGTTAAATCACTGATGGTTACAGAAACAAAATCTCCCCTCCTCAGAAAAATTGTAGTAGAAAAAATTTGCATCTCTGCTCTTAATCAAAAAGCACATACCTCCCCAGTCACATTTTAATAGTTCCAGTTGACTTTGGTCATTATGAAAAGATGAGCATACATTGTTGAAAAAATGCAGTTTCTTTATTTTGAACATCTGTTTGATGCTATGAATCTTTTAGACACAATAAGAAAAAGTACTAAACCTTTCTAATTTTGCCCTCTAAACTGAAGACGTTTTACACTTCTAGGCCAAACACTTCAAAAGTAAGTCTTCCACTCTTTGCCAGAGTCTCTTCTCAATGGGCAAAATGTGCTGTCTACTTTGAATATTTTGAACAATTTGAGGTGGTGTTTAACGAGTGTCACCACACAAGGTTAGTTTAAGTTAGCTGGGAACGGTGTTCCAAAACTGCCACCAACCATATTCAATGTGCTTAAAAACCAAACACTCAAAAGCCATAACAATTGCGATTGTAATGCTAAGGTTATAGAGAAATCCAGTAAAACAGTCTTTTGGAACAGTCTAACAGTACAATAATTGGAATTGCCATGCCATACCCACTATTTCAAAATTCAATTTATGGTCAACACATCTGTGAAATTAGTTCTACTGCAAAGAGGGAAAGTTGGTTTCTGACTGCTTTGAACACAGTTGATAAGTGTTTCAGAAAATTGTTCCAGCCTGTAAAGCAGCTTCTCTGATTGAGTCATACATAAGATGATGTAAGAGGAACTCTCTGTGTTTCACTATGGCTTTGTTTTCCTGATGTCAAAATCACTAAATTCCAGCACACTAATGTTTTTTTCATTCTTGAATTCACATCGATCAATTCTTGATAGTGGGCTTCCTGTGACTCTCAACCACTTTCTCCTAGGATGAAAAATAGACAATTTAGAAGACCATTTCATCTTTTACTTGCCTAAAGAAACACTTGATATTGTGAGGAGAAATTGGTTATTGATTGTCTCTGTGTGAGAGGGTTCAAAGCCCCAGAAGGTGAAATAAAGGTAAGTACAAGTCTATGATTCAAAGTGAATCCAATTAGACTTGTTTTCACAAAAGTACCTCACCTGGCCTCACAGTGGGAGGAAAGGTTTTTGCAACTTGGAAATCAGTTTCACCTCCATTATCTAAGTATCCATTCTCTGCTCTGTCTGCCATACATTTCTAATAACTTAATCTCTATAAGAATGTAGTATCACATGAAAACATCAAGCGCCTCTGATTGGCTGAAGACGAGCACATTTTTCATGGAACACAAGTGCAAAGTTTAAATGGCATTCCCTATGTAAGTTTTGTCTGTCTATATTTTCTGTGATGCTTTTTCATGTATACCATTAAATAGTAATAACATAATTTTTCACTAGTAAATTTTTCAAAGACTACAAATTGCACTTGCCCTACCAGCTCGTGAAATTTTGTGATCATTGAAGAATTCACTTTACCTTCCTCCACCCCCTTAGCCTAGTTAGTACATTCATAATAGAGTGGGGATATCTGGTTTGGCAAGACAAGCTGATAGGAAGATTACTTGAAACTCAGAAAATCGTAAACATTTGAAGTTGTCCTTCAATAGCATTTTGATTAAATGGATGATTTAATTGAAGCCAGATGAGCTAGTATATCTCTTTTTTATTTCAAGCTCTCGCCTACCTACAGCATAGTCAAGGAATGACATTGCCAAGGATCACCAAAAACTTGGAACGGAAAAGAAATACAGAAGCTTAAGGCCTCAATCAAATCAATAGTTTTTCAGATGATGATTAATTGTTTTAACAACAAACCACAAACTGCAAGGGTGATTCATTGGTGGTTTTGAGGTTTGTTCCAATCCGTATGCTGAACATTTTTATGATTGATCACTCCTCAATTGACCTCTCAGAAAGAAGTGGTCACACTTTTCTGAGTGTAATATTACATCAAGAAATCTAAATTGGAACATTTCTTACATGAGACGAACATTTGCAGTCTCTCCCTGAAGCTGTCCAATCACTGTGTTGTGCGGTGTGTTCATTACCCAGCCAACCAGTTTGTGTTTGGCGGCATTAATCTTGGTGTACTTAAAAGTAACAAGAATCAATTACTTATAGTTGCTGACCAGTTTTGACTTTCTTTGATGGTTTTTAAGATGAGGGTACTCTCATCATTGAGCATAAGCTGATTATACTGGAAAAGCATTGATTACCATTATATTTTCTCAATTAATCATTACCATAACTGCAATTTCCTCAAATGTGATTAGTAACTACCTGCTTTCTTTTACAATAATTATTCTTTAAAAGCATAATTGGACAGTTAGCTGTCATTTGACAACTGTAATGTAAACTATTAATTGGTAATTACAAGATTTCTCATGTAATTTGCAGTGAATAAGCACTTGTAAATTTTTCAATGACTACAAATTGCACATCCCCTACCATTCCATGTAATTTTATTTTCAATTTACCTAAGCTTATTTGCATCAAATTGCACCAGATATTACTAATACAAATTGGACTCCACTCTGTCCTATTATCAGTATTAATTCCCAGATCTCAATTACATGCAGCCACCTCATGAACTGCAGATCAATTTTTTGCAGGAATGCCTTCTAATTTATGTTGTTGACTTGCTGTCCAGCTAAATAGGAAAACTCCATTGAAAAGCACTGTTGCCATTTACTGCTGATTTAATTTAATTTTTAATTTACTTAAGAAAATGTTCTTATGGAAAGTCATAATCTTTTCAGAAGACCAAGCAACAGGTTCCTGCAGCTGAACATGAGGATAATCATGTCTGGGTCTTGGAGAAAAATCAAACCAAAAACATTGAAAGAAAACTGCATTCCATCTGTGGATATCAAGTTTCAATTAACACCGCATTCACAGTGCTAAGTTTGAACCCCAGTGCTAGAGTTGTTTAATGAAGAAAATATTACCTTTCGAAAAAATACACCTGAAAAAAGGAAAAAAAAAACGTGTCTCAGAATTGAACAGCTCAGTTACTTTGAAATATGAGAGTGAGTCAGTTCATAAAGTTTATAAAACCTTCGATTTTCTGTCATCATTAAAAGCGTTGGCAACTAGTCTCTGTAACCGTTAGGGATTTAAGGAAAATGAACAAGGAGAGGTGGGGAGGTCTATATGTAGAAAGGAAAGCCTACGATGAAGCTGAGATACTAAAAACCTGAAAACCTTATTTCGCTAGTAAGCTTCCGAGGTCATTTTCCACTCTTCGTTGGATGATAAAGCTGAGCTGTTCCTTCGTTATCAAGCCATAGGCTTCATCGATCGAATGCGTATTAACCAAACTTACCTTGTACATTCCCAAAAACCTCAAAGTCCACTGAACAGAGAGAGCTTGCCTTTCTACCAGCCGCCATATTTGTTTACCGGCGTCATAACAACGCAGTTATATAAAAGTTACCAAGTGTCCTTAAGCTCATTCCCAGTAACTGCTCAAATTAAATCATGGAGGAGAAGAGACGGTACACGTGCGACCGTGAATTGTTCTAGTAATTTGAGGAATTCTGATCCGTAAACATGAATCCTCTAGTTCGTTCACAGAATCTTTGTTTTCCACTGAGCTCTCTGCCAGATGATGTGGTCTTGTATCTCGCACAATACCTCAGTCCGCGCGAAATAGGCATCATGGCACGACTAAACCGACATTTCCGGAAAATATTCAACTCTCCTCATCTCTGGAGATATATCAACTTAAAGATACGACTTCACGATAGAAAGATTGCCTCCGAGGCCATAGAGATCCTTAAAGTTAGAGGTATAAGAAACCTGGAATTCGAAAATATGGTGCACTCATATTTAAAACCTTATGAAACAAAAACCGTGCAGCCACTTTTATGTCCTCACCTCGAGAAACTTACCTTTAAAGTTACGACTCAATTTACTCTTGAAGCTCTTTACAACGCTGCTTCCCAGGGAAAACTTAATCTCAGGAGGCTTGCATTTGGAACAGTGGACATAAAGTTACAAAGTAGGATAAAACGGACCTTTGAAGAAGTGTTGAAAAGCCTACCCTCAATTAAAGAAGTGAGCTTTGGAAGAGTGGATGTGAATGACGTAAGCGTGAAAATTGTTGGTAAATGTGCTTTTTTGTGGAAAATTATTTATTGGTGAAATTTTAAATAATCTGCTAAGTGAAAAGTTTTTCATAGTACATAGAAATGCCATTAACTCCCATTTATGGTATATATGTCACAATGCTGTCATCTTCCTACAAGGGGATGTTGAAGATAGACTTAAGAATGTGTTTCTTCATCTTTATCATCACTGTGACAATGAGAGAGCCAATGGTGCTGATATAAGTTGATTATTTTAATAAGATGGTTACCAATCCCCTTTTAAAGAGTGACCCTTTTCTTCCTCATCATCATCATTTTTTTATCACTTCCAAAGTAACATTTTTCCCATTCAACAGAATGATGAAAGAAAGTGACCTCCAAGAAAACGCTTGGCACTGGTTGTTTGAAGAGGGGAAAAGGCTATCCACACAATAAATCTTTATCCGGTGGATAGTGCTGAGCGTTTTCCTAATACTTATCCGCTGGATAGCTATTTATGGGTTGTATAGTGTTGTCTGTCCTTTATACAACTGAGCCGAGGTTTATAGGGGAGGCCACCTAGGTTGTCAATATGTAATTAAGTTGAGGATGTGCCGATTGGTGAATTCAGACTTATTTCATTTCAAATTCAATCACTTTTTTTTTTTAATTTAAAGGAGCTAGTTGAACCAGTGACCAGTATTAGGAGGTAATTCCCCGTTTTAGCCCCTTGAAAATGATATAGTCGATAACAATTGGCTATTCATGTGTCATAGCAGTGAATTTGACCATCAAACAAACTGAGAAACATCAAAGGCACTAGCTGGTTATGATATTAAAATATACATTGAATGTAGCCATTTGCAATGCATTAATATGGAAAACATTTGTTGTCTTCTTTCCTCTTAGTTAGCAGGCTCAAATCCACTGGCAGATGATGTGCAGAGGGCTTTATGCTGCAGTGGGAAATTGACAAGCATCTCACTTGTATGTCAAGAGTCAGTAGAGATGTCTTGGCTCAAAGCAGTTGTCAGTAGTAATCCACACTTGCGAAAGTTGTGTCTGAGTTTGATATCGCTCACGGATTATGGTGAAGCAGGTGAACTGTCTATTTTCCTTTTTTTAAGGTTTGCATACATGGGCTGCGGTATTGATAACATGCTAAGTATTTTTTTTATTTGTTTTAGGAGAATTACACGATGTTGAACAAGGTGTGTTGTCTAGCCTAGAAACATTTGAATTACATGTACGTGACACTTATCACAACAGCAGAAGACTAACAAACCACATTCTTGATTGGGCATTTCCAAGTAACAAAGTACCATACGAAAACCTTACAAGCTTGGATGTGACATGTCCCCATAATCCCATTATGTTTACACAGCTTCTTAAATTTCCTGCTTTGAAGAGGCTGAATTTGACTGGTTCATTTGTGCCCAAAGAACAATCCCTATGGGATTTTCCCAATTTCCAAACCTTGGAGTGGTTAGAACTAAATAGCTGCCGTGGAATCAGTGGTGATCAACTACACTTTCTGTCTCAAAAAGTGGGAAAGACTCTCTGCTACTTAGGCCTGGCACAAATTCCAATGATTACCAATAATAATCTACGAGAACTGGCCATTATGTTTCCTGTTCTTAGAACCCTTGACCTGAGTGCATGTTTAAGAATCACAGATGCATTGCTGGTGGAGTGGTACATTAAGCACAATAAAAATGAATGGCCAAAGTTGAGAAAACTCATTTTGAAAGGTTGTGAAGAAATCAGTGTGGATGTTGTAAACTCAGTACGGTTAAAGACAAGAAATCAACTTCTTGTTGACTTGTGAATCCTCTTGCTCTTTAGAGAGTTTGCAATTGTGGAACCTTTTCTTAACCCTCAACATGCAAACAGCAGTATGTCTAGTATCCATGCTGTTCTTTATGCATTTCATATGGTACTGACAACAAGAATTTGTTTGAAAATCAAGAGCTTCTTAAGGTGAAAGCCATTTCCTTTATTCCCATGACCTACTTGCTTGATTTAGGGAGAAATTTAAAGCTAGGTACTCTTTGGGGTTAACTTGAGTTTCAAACTATTTTAATGATGCATTTGAAGAACATATTCTAGGAATGTAGCTCAGAATTGAATTTCAAGAATGCAATTTGGATACAATTTAGAGGGGCCTTTGAGGCTGCATTTTGAAAGTGCATTTGGAAATTCACTTTTGCATGTACTTCAGGGATGCACTATGGGGATAAACCATTGCTGTAAGAAATCTTGAACAAGTGTTCTAACTTCGGTGCTACTTAAACAGAATATAGATATTTATTACATAGGTGTTAAAATTTAATGAATAAATCATTGCTACCTTATTCAAGAAACACTAAAGCATTGAAAAGACAAATCAATAAAGAGGGTAAGTTTCTAAAGAAACTTATGTGCTACACTGCTAGAACAAGATGAAACAAACACTAGAAAGCATAAGAGGTCAAATATCTATCATTGACAATATGTCTGTACACGCTAAAACGTAGGCGGAGCATGACAGAAGACTCAAAGAGGTACTTAAGAAACTTGAGAGTGCTGAAGCAACTCTTTATACTGGAAAATGCGAATTTTCAAAAAGAGAACTCAAGTTTGCCGGATATGTTCCCAACCAAGATGAAAAATTTGCAATTGGGAGAGGACAGATTCCATCCACATCATAGATCCTTCCCAAAATGTGAGTGACATGCGCAGACTCCTCAATATGGTCAACCAGCTGTGGTATCCAGTCCACTGCCCGGACAATTGTACTTCATTTTGTGCATGCGCATACCGTTTTGAACGAAGAATGCCACGTGTTTGTAGTTGTCAGAAAGTTAAGTTATTAGAAGAGTGCATTATATAGAGGCGGTGGCTACACGGGCGACGAGGATAACACACAACAGTAGCAGGGAAAGGAAGAGAAACTTAGCAACAGAGGTTTGCAAGAGTGGCCAACAAGCGAAATACTGCGACGCGTGAATCCATCGCTAGACAAGAAAACATGTCTGACACGGAACAACCACCACCCAACTAAGCAGGTGCAATGCAAGATATTAAAGCAACAAGAAACCTAAGATCTCAACCATTCACCCCAGGAGATAACCCAATAGCCACAAGAAACGTGTGGGACGACTGGCTCTTAGAAATTGAATGGGAATTCAGATATTTCAAGATTACCGAACCACTCGACTATAAAGATGCACTTATCATTTATGGCAGAAAAGAACTCGCCCGTCTGGAGAAAAGTTTACCAAATCTGACAGATGGCGATTAAGACTACGACAATTTGAGAAAAAGCTGAACGACCACTTCAAGCTAAAAGAAAAATAAATACTACCCAAGATACGTCTTCCTTAATATGAGATAAGCCCATGACGAAAACAACTGTGCTGCTCGGTTAAGAGAGAAAGCCAACAACTGCGACTTCAAAATTGCCATTAACGAATCGTGAACCTTATCCAAACAATAGCATTTACTCAATGTCATCTGAGAGACTCTCAGCCCAGTTATTTAGGGGACAGGTTGCCGTCTCAGCCAGTTCACTCCTTAAGTGGCACCATGACCAAGATACAGAAAAGATACAGCCAGACAGAGAAAGATGCCCTGGCAGTACACTGCGCAAAGCGCAAGTTCAGCATTTACCTCCTGGGAGCACCAAAATTAAAGATCATTACAGCCCACAAGCCATTTCTCCCAATGTTTAACAAGGCAACCACGCGACTCCCACCAAAAATTGAAAAATGGGTAATGGGAATGCAAGATGACCAAAACAAAGCAGACTATAGGAGGAAAATATGGGTACCCAAGCATGAACAGTATGATTGAACAAATCATAGGTCACTGTTATGCTTGTCAAGTTACCACAAAGCTACACAGGCAGGAACCCGTTAAAGTCACAGACACGTGGGATGTTATAGTTGTAGACTTCAGTGCACCATACCCTGATGGACACTACAATCTAATGGCCATGAAGAAGAGAACAAGATATCTTGAGGTCGCGAAGACCCACTCAACAACTTCTAAACCAACCATGGAGAAGCTCAAAACAATGTTTGCCACTCATGGCACTTAAAGAGAGCCGAAAAGTGGCAACGAACCACCGTTCAACTCCAGAGAATTTGCCAAGTGTGCTAAAACAGCGGGATTTCACCATCAATGAGTTACCCCGGAACACGTACGCGCTAATGGCGAAGCCGAAGCTTCATGAAACTGCCTAATAAGTCAGAACCTCAAAGGCAAGCACATTTAAGGCTGCTGAACCTCTCACCACACCTGAGGTCTCAAGAGCTTTTCAGACAATCTATACAATCTATACGCGAGGACCATTGAGATGGCCAAAAGTTCTTCAGGTTGATTCTGGGCGTGAATTCATTGGTGAAGCCACAAGAGAAATGGAAAAGCATAATGTGACGATAAGAAGAGGGAATGTGAAGGTTTACAGAGATCAGGGAAACGTCGAACAATTCAACCAAACTTCAAGTGAACGTCTCTTCACTTTCTAATAGAGTCAGGAGATAAACTTCAAAAACTTCCAGAAATCGTTTCAGCTTTGAATAGTGAAGTGACCAGGTTGACTGGAAAGAAAAACTGTGGATGCTATCAAAGAAAGTTAGTTGACGCAAAGAGTTCAACTTTTTATTCAAGGCTGTTTGCCTGAAGGAATTCTTTGATTTGAAAAAGAAAAAACTCTGAAAATGAGTTTCTCGGTAGACCCAAGCAATCCTGGAGAACCAGGTGATGAAGATCTGGACAATAAAGACCGTCAATCGTGCCAATCCAACTGACGACGAAGACGTAGCAACAAGTAGTATGCCGTTGAAAAAACCGACACAACCAATTTATTCTCTTTTTTGTGAAAGCATGTAGGCAGAAGTCTCTTTATTGAGACATTCATCAACGAAAAAGCAACGTGTTGATATCACACAGACCACATCTCAAACAGGGAAGTGCTTCATTATAATAACTTTAGTGTTACTGCTTTCGATCAATCAGGTTGAACAACCGTGTAATAGAAAAAAATTAAATTTCACTCGGACCAAAAACACCAACTTCAATACACAATGGAAGACACTCTTTCAATATATACAAGAAACTGTTTGATTGGAAATGGATTCATAGAATACTATTTTCTTTCTCTTGAAAAAGATAAGTTGTTATTGGTGGAACAATAACAACATCAGAACCACATGTTCCATTCACTGTTGTTGGAGAAAACACAAAATAACTCCATATACAAAGAAAGCCAGATTTTAAATTTGTTTCTATTGATGTTAAACCTTCAGCAAGATTCAAGACAAAAGCAAACTCAACAGGAGGAGGAAAGTGGAAAATTGTCAGCTGTCACTGGAGTATGGATAGTAATGGAGATGCTATGATAAATTATTCTCTCTGATGCAATGGGAAAAAGCCTCTCAAATTATAGTGCAAGAGCAATTAGTTGTAATATTAATTATGTTGGGGAGGATTTTTCAAAACAAGACAGAGAATTTTCATGAAGGTTTAAACTCGGACTGTCATACTCTTCTCATTTATAGAGATAGTTTTGATATACGAACAAATCAAGGTACATCGCGACTTCTTCACAAGAAGATACAATATTGATGCCCATCCTTTCAAATGACTGAATTTATTGAAATTCATTCTGATACTGAATATTGACAAGTAAATATATCAATTTTTTCAAAAAATTATGACATGAGATTTCCCCGCTTGTCTTAGCTGTAGTTATAAAATAAGAGTTCTGGGACAATGCAAAACTAAGGATAAAAAAGTGTCAAACTTAGTCTTTAAATAGTTTCAACCAGTAGCAACAATCTTAAAATGGGAAAACCACAGCCACAAAATAGCAAGGATTTTTAGCAATGAGATTTTCATACAATAAATATGAAAAAATCTTGAAAATGGCAAGTGAATGCTTAAAATTCTCTCGGATGCAGTTAAATGTTATCTTAATCCTTTTCAATAGTTCCCATTTGTTCTTTTGTTTTTTCAGTTTTCCTGTCAAGTTCCACTGCTTGAATCCATCAATCTATCAATTCCATAACCAAAACCTGTACTTAGTGGCTAACTCCAAGAAAGTCTTGGAGACAACAGGCAAGTTACTATAAATTTCATGACTGTTATAAATTAACACTGACCAGGAGATCTGCACTTAATTTTTGTTATAAACAAATCCTGCCAGTTTGGATGTTGTAACTTTCACCCCTGATTCTTTTGTCTTCTTAGCTAAATTAATTGTATTTAAAGAGTCTTCATTTTCCTCATCTGACATTTCTCTTTTGCGTTTCTTTTCTCCTTGTTCCGTTTCCTCTGCAGTTTCCTTTGCTTTCTTGTTCCATTCCATCTTTTCATCTTCATCAAGTGCCTTCCATTGTCGCATGGCAGATTTAACAAGATCAGTACCAGTCAGCTCAGGATTTTCTTCTGACAAACCTGCTTTGTTCTCCTCAAACCAAAGGGTAAAACCATTCACTCTGTCAGAAACAAAACATGAACGTTTTACCTTCCAAGATCTTTTAATACTCCTCTCTTTGAGTTATTAGAAATCTCATCTATAAATTAGACAAGGAAGTTTGGTCATCAGGTTACCAATATTTTGTAAATTCATGTCTTTTCCCCAGTATATCAAATTGTCCCTACGTGGCGTGGAAAAAAAAGAAGATGCAACTTGCAAAGACCTGCCCATATTAAACAATTATTCTATACGAGCACATTTGTTATGAGTTGGCCATATCCAATCGCGTATCCAACAAGCGCAGATGGAATAATTTTCTTCTTGATTTTCATTAAATCCACAACATTTGGATATTTGGAGCCCTTTTTCAGCTCCACAATAGTTGCCACTAAGGTGATTCAGAATATGAGCTGAAAACCAGAGTTGAGTAAACCAATCAGAAAACTAGAAATGCAATATTCGGAGTTTGAAATTCAAATAACAAATGATAAACCATCGAATAAGATGTATAAATACGGGCAGATTCAAGAGCAATTAGTGACCACGGGGAAATGTCCGCTTTTATCATGTTAGACCATCGAATAAGGGACTTGCAACCACTCCATTATTTCTTTTTCTAGTATAATTTTGCCTTCTAGTTTTCGAAAAAGATCCTTGAGCCTCAACTTAGCATCGCATCGACCGCATAAGGCATGCACAAAAGATGAAAGCAACCTAGATGAAACCATTTAAATGTGTTAATACCAACAAAACAATCTGAAGCGTTTAAAGTTTGTTTTTTAAAAAGCCTGCCAAGAGAAAACCAAAACAAATCATTAAGTGGAAGCATTTTGCCGCTCTTCCTTCTGTTCGTGTGTTAGCTTAGCAGCACGGAATACTGGGTGTTCCAGTGCTCTAATGGTCAAATGATGTAATACTGAAAAAAAGGACAATTCTCCACTTACTTCTTAGAGGGTGGGTTTTTCCTTTCTGGCGATGTTTCCTTATTCACAGTTGCTTTCTCTTTCTCTGGAGGTGTTTTCATCAAAGTGGTTTGTTTTCCTCTTTTCTTTTTCTGAACTGGCTTGGAATCAGGAGCTGTAAAGTAGAGTGCTTTTTGAGAAGGGTTTATAGCTTAAAATTCTGTTAGCCTGTTCCAGGTGTCAAGTTAACAAAACAGAGCGAAATAACAATCGGTGTCATAGTATATGCTAAGTAAAATCGCGAGGTAGGCTTGGGTCAAGTCAACCCAGGCCTCCCTTGTTTTATCACTTCTCAGTTTACTATCGCGCTTCGTTTTACTGGTGAAAGCCTAGAATAGGTTGAAATTCTGTTTACAAACCCTTCATTCTTCTAAAATATCTAAAGAAGTTTCTACGTCACAAAATACTGATGAAAAAAGTCTTTAAAAATTAGCGAAACACTTTTCGCTGTCAATCTTTTTCTGTTGTTCCCAGAAGTTAGAAACTACTCCCACAAGGTTAGCCAATGAGACAATCAGAACACAGGATTTGCTTTATCTTGCCCGTTTAAGCAGCAGATAAGATCTGAGGACATGCTTCAACTTGCTCACTTGCAAAGACAGCTATATAATAATTTGCACTACTTTTGCCATCATTTATAAACAACTTCATCTCTCTCTGATTAATTCTTGCCTACGTGGTGTTTGTCAATCTAATCAAACCGTTTCTTCAAGTGAATGAAGGGAGTAAGTTTCTAAATAAATTGTGGTGCTGCATCGATCGGGGTACAACATGATAATTTGCTTTTATTAACTGAGTTGACAATGAAGAGTATATCCAATGTCGCAGAGCCTCAGTTGAAATCAGAAAACTCAGTGTTGTTTATAACCATAATTTGAATCGCTTTTGGGAATGAAGTATTGTCAACTACAAAACTAATTTCGTCGCCTGGAAGAGCTACACGCTCACTGTTGAGAAAGATCTTTTTTCGTCTTCTGACAAGCATGGGACAGAAAAAATTTTGAGTCCCCACAAGGAATTGAACCTCAGACCTTTGGATTTCACACTCTGATGCTCTACCACTGAGCCACAGAGACTCCATGGTGAGCGAGGTCTATTACGAAGTTCATATGACACGCAAATTGTTTTTCGAAACGAGTATCATTTAGCATATTTTCTTTTAATTTTGCACTCAAAAAGGTCGATCTCAGTTAGGATGAAACGGAAAATCAGTCTTCTTGACAATTTTGAAACCTCACGGCTAAACTCGACGAGATATTTCAGCCAAAGCGAAACTACATATGTCATGTTATGGATGCACGGCTGAGCGTACGTAAGCATTTTTACCGCGGTAGCTCCCTAGGAATTAGGTAGGCCTGGTGTGCGTGTTAGGTTATAATGAAAATTGGCCACTGTAAAGAATTAATAAAGCTAAGGTTTCGAGCGTTAGCCCTTCCTCAGAGCGACTGCAGGGTTAGATTCAATAACAGTGCAGTTTCTTTCGTGCAGAGAGACTTCTCAAAATATAAACACCATTTTTAGCAAAATTAAGGCTATACTCACATATCTTGCTTTTCCTTTGCAGTGATGCTTTCTTTTCTTCCTCCACGCTGTCGAAAAAACTCTTCCCACGCACACCAGACGCCCTTTTTCCAGGACTAGATACTCTGAAGGGATTAGATCGGCCTTGACTTGGATTTGAGCTCGGAAGAGGTGACAAAGGTGGGTTAGACTTTGCATTTGAAATGGGTTTTGATCCTAAATCTTGACTATCCAATCTTGATAAGCCCTTCCTCTCTGTAAAAGAATCATTTGAATAAATGTTATTAGTCTGCGTAGGAGATAAACTTCAAAGAAAGCCAAGGCTTATTTCTGCATTTATCTTCTTTATTTTAGCATGAAACAAATAGAAGTAATGTTACAAGGCCTGGATCGGAATGTTGGTCCATCGGAGGTTCAAGGAACCTAAAGTACTACGTACATGCAGTGTTTCCCTGAACAATTGCCCTCCAGGGTGGAGAGATGCACTGTGGGAGTAAAGTGTCTTACCAAAGAGCACAACACAATCACCCTGCTTATAATTAGAACCCAGACAATGCACTCCAAGTCCAACGAACCAACCATTAAACCACTGTCTTCTCTTTGACATGTGACGATTACTTGTTCAATGGTAAATTAGTACAGGCTAGTAAAGGTGCTAACACGTTTCAGTCAAAAAGAAGTCTATCAGAAAAATTCTGGAATGTGTGTGCACCTTTCAGTAAAATGCACATCACCTAAGCTGCTTTCTTTTTACATTTGCTACAACCTGAGAAAAACGCAAATGGTGACACACCACCTTTTTTTCTGGAAACCTGTTGATCGTCATCGTCAACATCCATGTCATCGTCCACTTCATTCTCCTCGATTTCCTCCTCTTGTTCAACTTCTCGTGGTATATGAGAAGGCCGATGACTACCCACCCTCGATGTAGATATCTTACTCCTCCTTACAGGCCAATCAATTTGTTGGAAATCGTCCTCAAACTCCTCCTCAGCTTCCAGTTTTGCCTTCTCACGGGCTAACTCATCCAGTCGATTTGCCAAGTTCATGCGTCTACTCCGTGCTGCATATTTTATTGCTAAACTTACCTTAGGAAGGAAAGAGCTACACTAAGTCATGTTGTATCATTTTTTCCTGCAGGTATTGGTCACTTATCCTACAAGTGGGTTGGTGATTTAACTATAAAAAGTTGTCGAAAGACAAGTGACAATACTGGGCGTACCTCCACTGACGCAATTTTTTTTGTTTTGCATTCTCCTTGCGAGTACATTTACGCTTAACCTGGGATCTCTATGCATTTCCACTAAAAACCCCTCTCCTTTTTTTTGGGTTATGCTCTACTATGGCACCTCTTTCACTGATTAAACGCCTGGCACAGGCCAACATGTGTACATTTTGCTGGCTTAACTTAATGACAAAGGCACTCATACTTACAAGTTATTTTTTAGGTCATTGGAAATTGTCTCAGTAAACAAAAGCTTAAAGGATTGAAACGGTGTTCTGAATAACATAACCAGGTCTTACTGAAACTCATCTTTAAAAAAAATGATTGTACGTTAAAGCCAAGGCCTTTTCTTGTGCCAATTAAAAGGAATCATGACATTAAGAGTACACAAGTGCAGCAGATAACACGGTTATTAACCCTTTACACCCTAAAATCAGTATGCATATTCTCCATACTGCTCTTCACACATTTCCTAAGGTGCTGACAAGGAGAATTTGTTTACCAATCAAAAGCTTCTTTCATTGGTAATCATTTCCTTTATTTTCATGACCTTAACATGTGATTGACAGGTGATATTGTAGGACGAAATTTGATGCTAGTCACTCTTAGGGGTTAAAGGGTTGAACTCGAAAAGGTCACTGAATATACTTACAGAATGGGCATCTGGTAGAAGTTCACACAACTCCATTGCACGGAACTCTCTATCACTTTTACAGGCCAACTAAATTTAAAAGAAAAAAAAACATATTGCTGCCACATTCAAACTATTTCCTCCTAACAATTTTTAACTTCTGAAAGACCTTCAAGGTCATAAAATCACTTCCACCACAGACGCCGCAAAATACTAAACAGTGACAACATATTTTTCATCATTCAGTAGTTGAAATGAAGACTTGAAGGCTGCAAATTAACAAATAGAGACTGTGCTCTGTTCTGTTATAAAGCACGCAGGAAGCGGCTAGAGCACGAAAGAAGTGTAGGGAGAAACACGAGACGTAGTCGAGTGTTTCTCCCCACTTCTTGAGTGCTCTAGCCGCTTCCTAAGTGCTTTATAACTGAATAGAGCACAGTCAAGGCTTCTCTATTTATTTTATAATAAAGAATCCGTCAAATTCCCCATGCATTACTTCCAATTTTCAAAACAAACTTTATTTCCAAAGCGAACAATGTCGTCAGCATGCTCTATACTCTCATAGAGCACGCTACAATAAGCCAATCAGAATCCCTGTTAGAATGGTTCAAATAATCTGATTGGCTCTACAAGACAAAAGCTGTCAAAAGTGTCAAACCATCAAAGTTAAAAAACCATCAAAGTTCACAATCTGCGATAGTTTACAAACTAAAATAGTTCGGCAGGTCGATTTTAACGCTTTTGCCTGAAGTTTTTAATACAGAATCTTCAAGTGAAATGTTCAGTGAACTTCAGCCGAATTATGGCTCATAAAAAACACACGAGTTTTTTCACATGATAAGGTAGAAAACAAACTGTTCAAGGCGAGTGTTTTTTAAATGAACGACAGCCGAATTCACCGGAACATGAAGATCGCTCGGGATGACAGCGCCGCAAAACTCGCCTTTGTTTGGTTCTTCTGTTGCTACTTGTCGGTTCGCTTGTTCCGAAATTTTATTTTCAATTATCGGAAAAAAGCTAAAAAGAAGTCCCAGAAAGGTCGAACATAGTACAATTTGGCAGATGGCGTGACAGCTTTAGCTCAGTTCTATGCTCTATACTCTCATAGAGCATGCTCTTTCAACCAATGACAGCGCGCGTTATATCCGAACTTTATTATAAAAAAGATTAGTTCAAATTGTACTCCTTGAACTGAACCGAAAAATAAATTAAATGATGATAATAGCAATAATAATAATTATAATAATAATAATAATAATAATAATCACTATTATAATTATAATAATTATAATACCGGTAGTAATAATAATAAAAAAAAAGGATACACACCGCAAACAACTTCATGATGCTCTGAATCTGAGATGTCTTTGCCAGGTTTGATGAAGCTTCATCTCTCTCATCAGATGCTCCGAACACGAGTTTTGACCTAACATATGTTTCCTGTATAAGAGGAAAGAAAAAAAATCCCGTTAGGTACCCGAAAGAATTTTTCACCTTGTGATATGGCTAATGCGACCTTCGACGTAAAAACATACCCTAAAAATTATTACACATGTAAACATACGACAGATTGAAAACCATGCTTTTCCTGTGATTTTATTTTCTTTCCTTTTCATCCTGAAGAAGGCAAAATTTCTCAATTGTAGATAAAACTACATGTATTGTACATTTAGAGCCGTCTGCTATGGGCATGAAGGTGAGTTATTAATGAATCACGCCATGAGCAGCTAATAGCAGATGGTGAGCATATGTGCTCCTGGTTTAGCATACTGCAGCCTTGTTTTAACACGACTTTTCTAGTTGCTCCACATACCTCTAGCTGTCCTTTCTCTGTCGTCATTTCACAAAACGGAAGTTGCAAGGGCATAAGGACAAGCACAGGGCGTGGCAGGGTGGGTGGGTATGTTGACCCCTTGCAGTAGATGCACCTGAACAGGCCAAGAAGTACAACAAATAAAATACTGTGTTATATAGTCAAAGGGAAACCTGAGAGTTTCGACTATCCCAAAGAAGTAAGTTGATTTATGATAATTGTAGTGCTCTCGATAAGATTTGAAGAAGATTGCTACCTCGGTAAAGCAACCGCCGGAGAATAATATGAAAAACAGTTTTCCTCTTGTTATCCCATTACTTCCATTCAAAATGAACTGGCCACAAACAGATTTTTCCATGTTACTTCCGTAAACATTAGTCTCCTTTATAACAATTGTTTAACTGATCGTTTTATTTCTGACCAAAATCTTCCATCTGCTGACATGCAAGCCTGCTCCCTAAGCTTCACACAAAAAGTCCTCTGAACGGCTATATGGTTACTGGTTACCAAGAATTGAGTCAGTATCTTCTTGGAAACTCAAAATCTTTTTTTTGCTGGAAATGTATGCTGGATTATATGATAAGACAATATCAATCATTTTATCAAAACTTGTTATTGAAGGTAATAGTTAACTGAAAGAACTCAAAAAGATGATGAGGTGTTTTAGGTCTCTCTTCTTGAGTTTGCTTGAAAGCTTTCAGAGTATACCTGGCGATTCACAACAGAATATACACCAGGGCCGGGTTGTTCAAAGCTGGGTTAAGATAACCCAGGGTTAGTGTGAAATCTGATTTCAGGTCTAAAAGCTGTAAAAGGAAATTCAGTCAAATTCTTTTAGTCTAGAGTATGACTATTTGACACTTCAAATAGAACACTGAAAATTATCCCAAAAAAGCTTTTGAGTAAAGGAATAAGGAAACCCCGATTAAAATTTAACCCTGGGTTAGCGCTAATCAGCCTTTGAACAACTGGGCCCACAGAACTCTAGTGAGTGCTAGGTCTCATTAAAAGCACTGTATTGTGAAGCTGAAAAAAGCTGAAGGAGGTCTTTTACCTGATCTGCTGGCTTTTCTCATCCAAACCAACCACCCAATAATTGTCAGACTTATTCTTCATCTGAAATAAAAAGTAATCCCTGAATTGTACATCAGTCATGGAATAAAAGATAGAAGAAAAAGTGAGCAGACGAAGAGTGGAAGGGAGTAAGGGTAGACAGTCCAAAACAGGAGGATGATGGAGAAATGAGAAACCCTCGAAGATTGAAGAATGGAAGGAAGGAGATTGAAAAGAGGGGAAAAAGAAGAGAGCATAAGGAGGGCAGAGCAGAGGAAAGGTTAATAAAGAATGGGGAAAAAAAAGAGGATAATGCAGATCAGGAAAGGAGTAACAAGGAAAATTTGAGTAAAGAAAGACAGCAACATAAAAAAACAACACATAGAATATGAAGAAAGCAAAGTTTGGACATGGCTGGAAAAAATACACCTTAGTAGAAAAATTTGAACTTACTGATAAATAAAACCGATGAAAATAAAGGAAATAACAGCAAATTTCATCTGTAAGAACTTTTGCTTAGGTAAAGTGCCTTTACATTTTGTTATCTGATCTTCTTTGTTAATTTCTTTACTTTCACCTAATGTGGGAGGTTAAACCATTAAAATCCTTGACTTCATGTAGCGAAGGCAATCCTCTCATGTTCTCCTAAACATGTGAGCACCACGTAACTAACACGTGAGCTTTACTGAGATATCATTCCCAGTCTAACACTTACATTGCTTTTAGTGATACAAACTGGGGACCAAGATGTACCAAAGGAACTTGACAACAGTCTTACAACACCTGCTGAGTCAACAGTGACTGGAGTACCTTCCTCAGAGAAACTTTGAAGGAAAAGAAAAAAGATCAAGCACTTGAAATTACTGCCACATTGCAAATCAAATTTGCAAAGTCTCTAGATACTGTTATAACTGTCAGTAATCACTTCATTTAGCTTAATGATGCTTTGAACAACCCACCTAGAGGAGTTATGAGTATTAAGGTTTCAAGTTTTTTCAAACTTGAGCCGCAGAGAAACAATGCAGAAAAATATTGGGTAAAAAGTCCTGATAATAAATTGGCTTTTTCCAAAAAAATCCAAATTCCTCTGCTTCAAGATTATGGGAGTGTACCAACTCTGGAAATGCAGATAAGGGAGGGGGGGTTAGAGGACCTGATTTAAGGCAAGCTTGTATAAGATGGTTACTTAGTTCTTACCCTAACCATGCCAGTGTTGACTTCTCACTCAGCAACACCCTCTCCTCTGCAATTATTTCCTGGTTGTGCTTCAAATCCAGTAATTTAAGAGCTAAAGCTTGCTCACCAGGGAGGGGATTGTTAATGTGAAACACAACCATCAGCTGGTTCTTGTGCCCAGACATACACACCACTGAGCCAGGAAGGCTCAGAATGTCACCCTGAACCCCACCAATGGTGAAGATGCGAAGGAAACGCTTGTCAGTTGCAACAGCTGCAAAAGAGCTGCCAACTGCCACTGCCTAACAGATTTAAATGCAGTAAATAAGAAGCTGTTTGACTCAGAAAATGAAACAAGCAAGTTTTATGATTTATTTACAGGCTTTTAAACTTTTCTTCACCTTCAAATAATTTTGAGGGGATGAGCAACACTGGCCAGCAAAAAGATTGCAAGTGATCTAGCACTGCATGATACTTAGTACCAGACTGGCCATAAAAAAGCCCGAGTCCGTCCCTGTCCCAAATCCCACCCCACCCTCACCTGAAAATAAGGCACTGATAATGAGTGCCAGACCCCCAGCAGACCTCTCCTGAATTGTCTCAAATATTCCTGCAGGCAGTGAGATGCTTGTCCAGCAGGCGGCAAAATACTCGTCCTGCAGTGCTAATAATGACAGCCTGCTCATAAACCACTGTCATTCAATGAAGGAAGTGGTTTATACCAGTATTTTAAAGCTGTTTCTTTTGTTATGTGTCTTTGAACTTAAAACATCAATAAAATCCTTGCTTATTACCTTGAAATCATTCAATTTAAATAGAACCATATTTGCTTCATATTTCAAATATTAAATGGGAATTTTTAGCCCACATACTTGGATTGATTCTCCCTCAGGTAATGCAACAGTCCATTCTCTTGAATTATCCCAGCTTCCAAAATGGATGCAAACAAGTTTACTGCAACAATGCAAAATAATCCAAGTTACACTTGCAACATAAAAATTGTACATTTTCAAGATCCACTAGGTATCCCTGGAAAAGCCCCCAAGCTGGCATGCTCTGAAACCCCCCACACCCACCCCTCACCTGAAAATATACGTCAACCATTTTACCATCCTAAATAAAATTTTCTTCTTACTATAAAAATTCATTTTCACACATAAAGTTGATGAAAAGGAATAAAACACAGAAATAAATAATAGCCTCCATTTGGCAAGAAAATAATTTATGCTCAGATATTTGTCTGCAAACATCATCTGTTCCAAGATGCCATCAATTTTCTGAGAGCAAAGCTTGAAGAACACTGTGAGCTATGAGGAACCAATATGGTCTAAGAACAGCTTACAAACAGCTAACTGTTTGCTGCATGGGATGTTTACTTTTCCTAGTTCTCTGGTATAATTTTATGAACAAAAAAATATGTCCTTCCTTTTCTAACAGCAGCTCAACTCTCTCCCATCTTGAATTAAATCTTAAACAAAGACTTTTATTGTAGTGGAGGTAAGGTTGCAAATTGGGGAATATCACTTGGGATACATCACCTGGGCATTTTCTGTAATTTTGTTGTATTTAGACCAGCTGTGCACAAAATAAATAAATTGATGGATTATAATGGCAGCTATTGCTTGTTTGAACAGGAAAGCCCCAAAACCAGGGTTATAAGAAATGTATGATAGACTGTATGGATATCTGATATGCAGACCTTTGGATAGAAAGGGTTATTGAGGATTACAGTACCTTGGTGAATCTTCATGAGCTTTGCATGCTAACAAAACAGCAGTGGATGACAGTGCAGCCATGGTGTGATTCAGATGATTGGTCAGATGTAAAGGGTGATGGGTGCTTGTGTCATGGAATTCAACCTCTATTGATGATATCTCATCTTCTGTGTGGCAGCGTACTATTCCTACTGAATTCCATACCTGAATATGGACAGTGATAGGCACTTAGAGAGGAAAAATAGTCTTGCACCAGAAACAATACTATGTAGTCTGCAAGCAAGGCTCAAGCCTCAAAATTTCTGTCCAAAGTGCAGCATGCTATATATAAATCATAAGCCCAAAGTTTATCTCACTCAGGAAAGGATTACATCACAGTCAAACAATATTTTTTACTAACCATGAACCTGTGCATCAAGTGGACAGGGGTTGAACCTGGTTGGAATGGTGGCTGGACTACTGGAATAAATGGAGTGTGGATCACTTCCTGAAGTCAAAAGCAAGACAAAATAATTGTATGTTAGTCATTTAGTCCCTCTTGAAACAAATGTTTATAACTTCTTGGGGTAAGAAGGTGGAAGGAATTCTGTTAAATAATAAAAATTATGCACATAGTGAATTGCTCTATCTCTGTCAAGTTAAATACTAATTCTGTCTTTGACAGCTGTGAATCAGTACAAATCTATTGTAAATTTTACCTTCTTAGGAGCCTGTGGTGCAGACACTTCACTAGCTGTGTCTCCATCATTCCCCCCATCACCAAAGTCTAATGGAGCTGCCAAAGCTGCTTTTAGTTTACGGATGTCTAGTGTAGTGAGAAAAAGGGATAGAAATTAGAACAATATTCATGCAGGTACAACAAGGTAAAAAAATTAAGAATTTTTTTTTCAAAAGAATGGAAACTTCATGATGAAGACTTGCTTGATCACAATCTGTTGCAATGAGAATTCAATTATTTGAAAGTAGCCTTTAGTACTTCTCAAAAGTAACTTATTTAAACTCATGAGTGGCCTTGGTCATGTAATGTGATCAACCAGCAAAGAGTGGTCCTGAAAATAATGACAGTTCTTGGGACACATTTCACAAGTCTACATTTACAAATATCAGGAAATGAACATTGTAATAAACATAGTATTTCAGAACCCCAGCTGGTAGGAGGCAGACCAACTTGGGACATCCTAGAACAAATCCGGTGAGTAGCAGAGTGAAAGGCTTGAACCAGAGACCCCTGGATTACGAGAACTGCACCCTAACCATTCAGCCACACTGCCTCCCTCCCACACTGTCATCCAAAGAAGAGGTCATGTAAAACATCAGAATTTTGTGGAAATGGTTATTTATAGGGGATGAACATTCCATCTTATTCAGGGTAATTAACATGTGGTACTAAAAAATCTCTAACAGCTTTTGGCATCAATTTTTTAACCTTTGAACTCATCATCATCATCGTCATCATCCTCTGCCTCCTCATCTATCCAAGCTGTGGACTTGCTTTTGGGTTTCTTCTTCCCAATGATAAGCTGTTCATCGTCACTATCAGCATCCATGGCAGCAGACATCAAACTGTCATCCATGACATCATTGTCAGTTACAGAGTGATTGGAGCTTTTCACCTGCGAAAGCAAAGTAACCCAATGTAAGTGAGACACAAGGAGGCAATTCTTCATTCATAATGTACAGGATACTTCTGCTCAAGATAAAAAACAAAAGTTAAAGGGGTAATATTGTAACTGAAAGTTCCAAGATCTCTTTCATTCAGGGTAATGTAGATAACAGCCAGCAGCCGGTGAAGTAGGCCAGCTTCTCTGCAAGGTTTTGCCAGCTACTTTCGTTGCTTCAAGAGCCCATACAGAGATGATGTTTATCAGGTCTAAACTTGGGCTCAATAAAAATATAAATTTGCATTGCCTATCTTTTCTGAAAACATTAAAAGACTTCTGACTCAAGGTTTGTTTAAAAACGTTCTGATGGGGACTGTCTTTTTGACAAATCTTGCTGTGGTGGCAGGAAAGTACAAATGATATGATGTTTTGTCCACCATATTGGATTTCAAGACCCACAACCATTTACAGTTAAAAAAGCTCCAGCTACTTAAAACCTTAAAGAGAACCCTGTTCATTTGTGTGTGTTGAGTTTCTTTCCCAAGCTCATACACAGACATAACTATCTTCATGTTTTGAAGGAAATGCCCAGACATTGCTAGGCATAGATGTTTTTGGGTATCATATTCTACTCATGCTTTCTAGCCATCTTGCATCCTGCCAAACAAAATCTTGAGCATGATGGTTGTCAGCTAGCTAAATTTTCACAACCCTGTCATCAAGCAATACTCTTGTTCTCCCCTGGCTATCTTGAACCACATGCAACTAAAACCACCTCCTTGGTTTCCATGGGGTCCAGGAAAATATAACCCAAATATAATGACAATTAGAACCCTCTACCAACAAATTTTAAACATTTGTTGGTTTCTTTGGTTTTTCTGTACACTTACAAATCACATTGAGATACTTGGTCATTACCTCTCATTACACATTCCTTTCATTACCTTCATTTTCTTCTTCTTTTTTTTTTAATTTCAAAAAAGGGTGCATAACTAACCTCATCATTTGGTATCACATTCTCGCAGACACCAAACTGACCCTGTAGCAAATCCAAACAAATTAAAAATTATTGTCTTCCGCAGTTTATCACAACTAGCATTCTTTTAGCTTAAGGCATTATGGTCTAATCAAAGTCTTTGAGTTGGGTTTGGGGACAGAACACATAAATACACTCTAAAATCTTTCCTTTAGCATCAGTCATTCAAAACTTTTGAGGTCATCAAGGGATGGATAATATTTATTACTAAAAAAGGAGAGTGAGAGTGATGATTGTGAGTGACAAAGAGTAAGGGGTGATGGTAGAGAGGGTTGGGGATGTGAGGCAAAAGAAGTTGATGGGGAGGGAGGGAGGGAGGGATGGGGAGGAGTGAGGGGTGAGAGATGAATGAGTGGGACGAGGTACAGGGAGGGGTAAGAGGTGAAAGGTTGGAGGTAATAGATGAGGGGTGATTGACGAAGGATGTAAGATGAGGGAGAGGGAGACTAATAACAGGCAAACAGTCAGAAATAAGAGGGGGAGGAGAGGGATGAGAGATGAAAGATGATTCTGTAGGATCTAGAGTAAGTTAAAAAGAATTAAAGGTGATGACTGAAGAATAAGGAGGGGAAACATGAGGGGTTTAGGGTACAGAGGAAGAGGATAGGGTGAGAGATGAAGGTTGTAGGATATGGGTTAGGGGGAGGGGGTGTGAAGGGTGAGGAATCTATCAGCATCTCAGACAATGATCAGGTTCTACTGGTACTGCCAAATAAGCTTAGAAGCCAAGAGTTTGGAGGGAGGCTGAATCCTCATTTTTCTAGGATTTATTATGACTTTATCCATTCCTTTACTAACAATCATTTTCAAACCACACTTTGAACTATAGGCACCTGCTCAAATCTTATCAGGGTAAACCCTACTGTCTGTGTCAAAGGCTCCCTGCCTCAGCCGTATAAAAAGTTATCAACACATATCTAAACATGGACTTCGAAACAGGCCCATGATCACCACAGTTCTGCTGGTTACTTGATAGCATGTTGCCAGTTACTCTCATCAAAATAATTACATTTTGGCCCTTAATGAACTTTTCACAGTCACATACTTTTGCCCAGTCTGACACCTACTTCAAAACAATTTGAAACACCTGCATGAAATAACACAACTCAAACATTATCACAATTTTGCTCACCTGATTATCAGTATAAGCAATTTCTTTATTCCCTTTTGGATTCCACGCCAAGCCACAAATTGTATATCCATTTTCATGAGTTATCCTAGAATGAAATAATACTTCATCAAATTTCATGACCTTAGTCAATCTAAATCCTTTTCCTGAGGTATTTTGATTTTAAAAATAACAAGGGTAGTCTGAAGCCATATTTTAAAGCATGCAAAGAAATAAAATTTTGCTTCAAGAGTTTTAAACTTGATATCTAATGAGCTAGCCCAGCGGACAAGTGAGATATTGAGTTGTACAATTCAAGAGAAATTTCCTATCTACAAGCAACCATGTATTATTTTGTTTATTACATAAACACAATAGCCCTTTACTGACAAGAAAACGAAACATATGACCTTGGATTTGGAATGTTGAATGCTTTGCCATTCTTTTTATCAACAGGCTGACATGCAAGACAAGCAACCTGTCAGCAACCAATTGGCAATAATAAACATACGTAAAAAATTATCCTTCTTTTACATGTGTGTAGTTACAGCTTTTCTAGGGGCTGGAGATCCTTAAAAAATACCACAGTTTATATGATAAAGCCTTATCAACACGTGACTCTTGACAACATCAAATTCTCCTCAAATTGTCCAAGGAAAGACAAAGCAATTTGAAAGAACAATTTTTAAGTCCATCCCCAGTAAGTCACTGGGGCATCTAATTCCACACACTCTTATTATTGTTTCCCAAACCTTTCAATAACTGCCTGTGTTGCCACCTTCCAGATAAATATCTCTCCATTGATACTGGCAGATGCAATGTAGTTACCACAGGGAGACCAAGACACCAGAGAGACCAACTGAAATGCCAGATAACATTTGAAATATTTACTTACTGAATTTATGTAATAATTAGATAATTCAGAAATACTTTACTTCCTCAATTTCAGTGTTCACCAAAGTATCCCCCTCTATCAATACTGTCTTAAAATAATTTGGTGACACAATGAAAAGGTAACATTTCCTTGATGTCAGCATGATCCTCATCTTTCTGATGAACAATTTGGATATCTTATGAGGAGTTTAAATGTAAAAAAAAAATTAAGAGAGATTGTCTAGCCATACAAATACATAATTATACCTCACTGTGACCATCTTTTTCCAAGTTGAAAGTACTTTTCCATGTATCTCTTTCATAAACCTAAACATAGAAAACAGCCATTACTGATCAGTATTAACATTAACACTTTTGGCGAATGTTTATGCAAAAGCTGATCCCCACCAACCAACTGACTGACTGACTGACTCTCTCACTCACTTGCTCCCTGAATGGCTGACTGAGTGACTGATCATGACAAGTGGATGCACAGGTGATGTAATTAATTGACTGACTATGGGGTTGACTGAGTAGCCAGCTGACTGACTGACCAACTGACTGAACAACTGACCAACTGACTGACTTAGTGACTGACTAACTGACTGACTGAGAGACAAACAGATGAACAGACTAACAGACTGACAGACTGACTGACTGACCAACCAACTGATTGATTGACCAATTGACTGACTGGCCTACTGACCAACTAACTGACCGACTAATGGGCTTTCTGGTTAGCTGAATGTCACCCATGAACTAAGGCCATGAAAATAAATGAAACAATCATCAACTATAGAAGCTCTTGATTGTTAGAATATATCTCCTTGTCTGCAGCTTAGGAAATGTATAGAGAACAGTATAGAGAATATACATTTTGATGTTAGGGTGTAAAGAGATAATAGGTACCTTGACAGTTTTATCCACAGGAACAGCCATATACTAGAAAAAGATTCCAACAAGAGAAGAGTAAACAGAAGGTAGATGAGTTTTTTTTTTCATCTTAGCATCACTTATTTCAATAAATATTAATTCCCATTAATATGAATCTAGACATCAATGATCAGGAGGTCCAGAATTAGTCTTTCCTTGATTGAGCAATTTAATCAACATGCAAGTCATTAGACTTGAACCACCTTCCTAGCATGTTTTTATTGCGAAATTATTTCAGTATTTTAAGGCTAAGTATTTGAGCACGTACTTCAAAGGCACTATCAAATTCACATACCTTGCCACTGCCTGGCTGCCAAGCAAGTCGGCATAAGGTCTTTGAGATCCTAAAGAAATGAAATTGACAAATCATTTAATAATGGTCAGATATCATTAATGTGAAAATTGCAAAAGTCATGAAGAGGGAAGCCATCCAGTTAAGGTCAAAGAAGTGTACTTTTCCATGTCTTTATCGCATCTATGTGTACATCAATAGGTCCTTTTTAGGATTTCCTTTTAATTCTTGAATTTCTAACATCCGAATATCAATTCTCCCCTCTGGCTACTACAAATTTTCTTGTCAGTAAGTCATGGAAATTTGGTGTTAGATCAAGATAACAACTTCTACCTGATAAGTTTTAGTATTCTCATGACTTGTTTGCTGGATAATGTATGGATATTACAGAGAGAAGTTACATGTTAATCACTTCTGGGAGTTAAAGGGTTAACCTTCATTTTCAAAGCATGTCTCCAAGGTTAATATTATGAAATGGTCACCAGATGTAAAATTTAATCACAGGGAAAAATGGAAAGAACATTTGATACACAGCCTTTTGTGCAGAAACAAAAAAGCAAATACTGCAGGACTCACTTTAGCAGGATAAGTTTTTTCATTTGAGCACATTTTGAAGGTGAATCAGTATTTACAACACAGTAATTCATTTATATTTCAATCTACAGCAATTTTAAGTCTACCTTGTATCATTCACCCTAGGAAGAATTGACAAAGTCATCTTGCAAGTCTGCCAAGAAATTATAAACATGCAAATGTCTCAATTGAGTAAATGTAAAAAGTTGTAAATTTAAAGATACTGTCAGTACAGTAGTTTCATTCATTTACTGAATAATCATAAGTATCACTAGCCCACAGATACCTGACGACATTTTTTTTGGTGATTATCATAATGTTTAGTTATCTTTGCTTTTTTTTTCTTTTCCTACTTACTTATGTCTTTTCACCACCTATATTTCTTTCATTTCTTTTTTATCCTTTTTTATTCACTGAATGTATTAGCGCTGTAATGTTTTATGAACCTATTTGTTAGACATAAAAAAATTAATTAAGCAAAAAAATAAAAAGAATACCTGATCATCCAAATTCCAGATTTTAACTGTCCCATCACAACTGGATGAAGCCTACATGAAAAATGATGTACAGCTTTAAATTTTTTGATGATAGTTTTTCCATACATTACTGCATGCACTTTATGCTTCTTAAAAAAAACCCAAGTACCTCCAAGTATCTGAGGTACATGTTTAAATAAGACCCTCCCCCTCCCTCCCACTGCAAGGGCACAAGTTGGGGTGAGAGGTGGGGGAATGCATGTGATTGACCTTCTCTTTGTCTAAAACATACATGTAAGTTTATATTAACAAACTATTCAATAAGCCCAGAGAGCTTGATATATGCTAAACTGTAACTGAAAAAGCCTAGGAGACTTTTACTCATTAGCATCTTTCAAATTTTACAAGCACAATTCAGATCTGCTCTTCTTTCTCTAAATAACATTTCATTTATATTTTCACCTTGAGGACATCAAATTTCCAGAACATAGAGATTTTTCAATAAAAAGTTGAAAAATCTATTCTCTAGCCCTTTATCCCTGAGAGTGACTAGCATCTCATTTCTCCTTTCAATATCACCCCTGAATCAAACATTAAGGTCATGAGAATAAAGGAAATGATAATCATTATTGTAGAACCTCTTGATTGTTAAACAGATTCTCCTTGCCAGCACATTAGAGAGTGTACAGAGAACAGTATGGAGAATCTGCATATTGATGTTAGGGTGTAAAGGGTTCACTTACAACATATTGGTCCTTAGGATCCATTGTCACACTTAACACTGGTGCTTCATGGCCCCTGAGAACTTTCTGGCTCCCATCTGCTACAGTGACCACCTTTACATTGAAATCACTGCAATTGGTAAAAATTATTACAAAAAATTATATTCAAAATTGAATACTTTCTCTACAGACTTCAAAACATGTGGCAATTAATATAGATGACATGATTTCAAGTGCAATTTGTTGTTAATATTAGCACAAGCAAATGTTTGAAATAGAACAATATTGCATGAGCCTATAGGGAAAGTGTAATTTGTAGTCTTTGAAAAATTTATTCATTCTTATTACACCAATTACACAAGAAATAATATTTATTAATAATTAAAATAATAAAATATTAGCAATTCATATAAAAAGAGCATTACAGAAAGTCAAGACAGCATGCACTTTTTGTAATTTGCCCTTGTAGTTTTGCACTCATGTCACATGAAAAATGCACTCAAGTCGAGCCAATCAAAAGTGTGCAAATTTTTCACGCATAATTATTATTAAACATCAAACACTCATTGATATGAGTTTATTGTATAATGAAGCATGCAAACATTTGTGGAGCACTCTTCTGTAAAATTGGCCCAGGCAAACTGATTTGAATTTTCTTTGTCCTAAGTTTGTAACAAACACCTGCAGCTTTCTTTACTAGAATTTTCCATCTGGAAAGATCTGCTGAGACCTTTGTTCACAGTTATTAAAAGTACCACATGGACGCTGTTTCACAAATCAGAAATTCTTCTTCAGTAGCCATTTAACAAACCTTGCTCCTGCTGCAAACACTGTTCCTGATTGGTTAAAGCAGATGTGATTGACAGGAGCTGTAAATCTTGTGAGGATTCCATCAGGAGACCCCTAATATTACAAAGCATTTCATTCAAAATCACTGAAAAAACTATTAATGCATCTTACAAGCCAGTATCTTAAATAAAAATAAAACTGCTGAAAATAAAAATGTTGAATTATTTTACCACTGTACAAAATATTTGTGTCCATTAAATGAAATTCAGCTTTTCCATTCCATGATCTGAACTGAGAATCCACAACTTCAAGTTAAACATTTACTTCATGTCTATGTTTTAAACACTTTACAAATACCAATTCAAAACTTGGGTTGCATAGCACAATTTGTAGTTCAAACAAATCTTCCATGTATTTAGAAACCTATGAAAAGTGTTTAAAATCATACACAAGCAAAGCTGGGATTCCACTTTATCACTGTTATGAAGTGATTTCATCAAAAGCTCTGTGATCAAACTCTACATTCCTCTTTGTGATCATGATAAACAACTTTGAAAACTTAGTGCTATGTAAAAATATTGAAAATAAAAATAATCCCTACTTATATCTAAGTGCAGCCACAAAATATATTAAATACATGCAAATCATTTCACTAATAAAGACAAAACATTGACAACTACCTCAGGGAAGGTAAATACTTTCACAGAGTTGTCCGATGCAGTGACAATTTTCTTGTTCTGTGAAAAAATTTCGCAAAGTAATAACAATTTTAAATGTTACGAACATCAAAAAATTATAAGCAATAATAACATTTTACTAATAAGCAAATTATAAGGCTGAGTATGGCTCCACGAAAAACCGTTGTGTAGTATTGTGAAATGATGAAGCAAAGAATATCAGAGACTAACTAATGGCACACGGCACCTGTATATGTAGCACCATGCAAAAATAAATGCGGTTCTTACTTAATATTCTTTCAGTTTAACCCAATACAAAAGATTTTTTAGCTTGCAGGCATGTACCTTGACTACTAACACTGTCACATTTTCTCCAGCCCTGACTGATTCCGGATCACTATCATCAAAATCTTTGTAGATACGTACATCTCCATCTGAGCCACAAGTCAAAAGGTAACTGAAACCACAACAGTGAATGATAGGCGATTCAAAGCGACATTTATAAGTATCTAATTCGAAAAAGTACAGTATGCTTACAAACCGAGTGACACTCTCTTCTAGCACTACTAGTTAACTTGTTTTTTCCATTATGTATCTCATCACAACTAAAACTTGCTTTATTTCATGTAAATTTCATTGGACGAATTGAATCTATCGAAAGCTTTGCATCACTTCTCCTTGCTGGCAGTGAAATCTACAGACTCGCACGATCGATCGTGTAAACATTTCATTGCTTTGCTCCTACATTGCATTATATTCGTAGAGAGATCAGTCGACATATTGATTAATGGATCTATCCCTCTTTAAGAGAAGTGATCTAAGTCAGAAAGATCAGACGACGTAGCGAAGTGACACCAATTCAAACACTGTTTTGCCGACGACAAGAAAATAACATTCCGCAAAACGCGCCACTGATCATGGAGATTGAAAAAACTGGTCATAAACACCGTTCCACTTAAGTTACCTTCCCGTTTCGTCGAAACAGACATCTGTTTGACCCTCACTGTGAGAAAATCGCATAGGCTTTCGATCAGCCGGCATGCTGGCCTTTAGAGGAAGCTACAGAAATAAAATGTACAGATTTCCTCCAGCTTTGAGCTACGAACTCTTTTACCCGCGTTCGATAGAAGAATTTTCCCGCCAGTGATGGATCGAAGTGCATTCTGGTAACCTCGGTCCAGCTTTTCGCAGTCAGAAAAAAAAAGCACTTGCTACCCTTTCATTTGTCTTCAAATCTCCCTGTAATTTCACCTCTCACTCTCTCAAATTCCACATGGAAAAAGTGTTTCTGTTAAGCAACGCTACGATGATCCAGAATGAACTTCTTAATTTAGATTTCAGGGAGTGCATGTGATAAAGCCAAACAGAGCCAAGAAACGACTCCCGCGTCAATCTCGAGCCCAGGGTCATTTTAGTTCCTTATGACTATCTGGCGATCATTCCGCTGACAAAATTAGTCGTCTTTCGATACGATTCCGGGCACAAAAACTGATGCTTTCATGCTACAAACTTCTGATAATTAGAGATTGAGAAAAACATTTCATAGTAGAAAGTAGCGAGATTAAAATATGACATTTCGGCGACGACATGTCACTATTATCAAATGTAAAATTATTATAAGTTCAGTGACCTTATAGAAAGAAAGGATGACGATGACGGAATGATGGAGATTTTAACTGTAGACAATCTCTCTTCCGGAGATATTTTCTCAAATCAATGCATTTGTCTTTTCCGAAAATCGTAATGGTTATGATAATTTGGTAAAAGGACTTCGTGTCGTCCAATTCGGCCAGTAATCATACTCGTGAGTGAAGAATTGAACTTCCGCCTCGCGGCTGTCTGATTTTGGGTTCACTCGTATGATTACAGACCGCATTGGACTTCACTCAGCCCTATCACTGATTATAAATTGGATAGAGGAGTGCTCTCGCTTCAGAGGGTCGGTGGAAGATCAGAGTGTTCAGAGATGTAGGTTGCGCTCAAAATTGTTGCATTGATGAAATAATGAAAAATAGTTCACGTGTGTAAGAAGAGTCGGTTGTAATTGTATCACAGTTAGTCCGGTCTCAGAGTCCACGAGGTCTTCATTCAGCAGACGTCACCCGTTATGCACCGATTAATTCGAAGCTTCAACATCCCTCCCGGGCAACTCAATTTGAACCGGGAGTGTCAAGTCTTTCCAGCGGAACACAAGTGTTATATCTTTAAATACGGAGGTGTTTGAAGGTCAATACCATATTTCCTCGAATAAGCACCCGGAAGTTTATTTAAAATTTCGGCTAAAGGTAGAGAAGGTAATGTCCTATCAAGCACCATATTTCAAGGCAAAATGATTTTGAGTTCCCAAGAACATACCCATTTAATTTGGGTTTTAAATGAAAAAAAAAAACAAAGTTAAAAACAACCAGGATCCAAAAATCCTTTGACATGGCTCTTGTTCAGATTATCGAAGCCTGAGAACCAGTGCATGCGCAGAAACGCCGGTAAACGTGGGCTATTCTGACTACACTCACACGAGACATTCCATGTGAAAAGTATATTTAGGCTGAGTCAGTCAGTCTTCTAGCATACGCATCCTGATACAGTCTTAACATTTGCACTCTGAAACTAGGGGTTCTAACCTCTGCTACGCCAGATACGAAAAACTACTGAAAAAAGAACCCTTTAGATGTGGCCTAAAAAGCGTGGAAACGTATCCTCATCTAGTGCAACAGCACAATACCCTGAGGAAAGGATTAACTAACCTAGTTGCACTACTAATTACAAAGAAAAATCAATGATCGGAATGATATTTTACAGGGAATTATAACAATTACAAAAAGGAAAATGGTCAAACATAAAATCAATTGAAAGGAAATTAAAATCCTAGCTCAAAATGACCAGGCGGTTTCATGGGAAAGATTGAGTTTGTATTGAATTAAAATGAAACTACAGTATATGTGCTTGGATTCTGTATTGGATTTGTGGCCGCCCGTTCATTTTGAGCTTGGATTTTTCGCTTTTCGGATCACGCGTTTGGAAATGGAGTGTGTAGCCTTAGGCTTTTCTTATGTACGTAGAAAACCTCGAAAGGGATAACTCGCTAAAGTGGGTTTCCTTCAACGTAGGAAGCGGTCAGATAACAAGCGATACTATGTGGAAGTAAGGCGAAGTATTTTTAATTGAGAATTTGACTTTTTTCTATTCCTTAGAGCGGTCGTAAATATTCCCATGCAAACTCTCATAATTCCGCCATAACTGTTATGGCGCAAGATGATCATCTCACAGCTGGAGCTTAGGCCGCCTGGGTTTTCAACGTACATAAGAAAAGCCGGGGCTTTTATTGAGAATTTGACGTATTTCCGCATGATGATCATCTCACAGCTGGAGCTTGGGCTCCCTATGGTTTTCATCAAACACATTATGGCGTGTGAACCGAGTGCAGTTGTTTGTTGCTTCCAAGTATCTTTACGATCAAAAAGAAGAAAAATCGTTAAATAGGCAGCTATACTCAAGGATTTCCGTTTGGAGTGCAGCAAATATCAGCTCATATCTGTGACTGCGGAGGAGGTTTCTTTCCTTGCTGAAAAATAACTGCCTCACCGTTTCACTCATCAGCTCTACGTGTGTTTGTTTTTGTCGGAAGAAGGTAATTCATGGCCATCCGAAATTCGGCTGAATGGAATCACTAAGGAACGCATTGATACCGAAGACTTTGAGTATACTTAGTTTGGTGGCAGTTACCGTGTGGTCTGTAATCGGAGTTTGTTTGATTTCAGTGGTCGCATTCATCGAAGGCAGTGAGTCAAACTCACGTTTCCGCTGTAGTATTCCTAATACGACACCTAACGAAAAGGCTGACAAAGCGGACTTCATTGAAGAGAGGTGCTTGGGTGAATACGAACAGAAATACATCAAACTCCCCCTCTCTGGCTTCGTCGCCATTAACTTCATAGTCATCGCAATCATTCCTTTTGCATACTCGCTATGCGTCAAATCGAGAATCCATGAGCTCGAGACACGCAACGCAGATGCCGCAGCACCGGAACAACACGGAAGTCAAACCAAGAAACGGCTTTTCATCAGCTACTGTTCTCATCTGGCCTTAAAACTTGCCCTAGCGATCTTTTTCATCGTCTTGCAAACCGAAGTCGCTTATTCCGGTAACTTTCCCTCTACCTTTCTGTGTAATCTAACGAAAGGAGGAGCTAATTCTTCAGCATTATCAACATCAGACTTCCCACAGACAAGCAGTGATGTTTACAAATGTTACAGTTCATTAGCACGCAAAAGAACTTTTTGGAGTTATCTTCTAACTGCTGTTGATGGATTATTTGCTTTTGTCACTCTTATTGAAATTGTCTGGATTTGTTCTCGGGCAAAGAACGGTTCACACTTCATGGAAGACTGCCACTTTTATGATGATCATCTGCGATCCAACCGTGACCCCATCTGCGTTCCGTCATCAGAAATATCCCAGCAGGTGCGAAATACACTGCAAGCGGACTTGAAGAGCTTGAAGGACGATGTAATAGTAGGCACGAAGCAACTCAGAGATCTGAAACAACCTATTCGACCTAATCCAGGTGAAGGCCCAAGTCCCAGAGATCTTGAGATCGATCAAATTTTTGTAAACTTAGTTATACATGAAGGCCGAGCAAAATATGATTTTCTCGAAGGTAGATGCAAGCAACCCAAAGTATTTCCAATACCTAGGGTGGATCAGCATGACGGTGAAATATGCGTAGAAAATATCATTGATGGCCGACACAAGAATATTCTTGTGGTCGGTTGTCCAGGCATTGGTAAAACAATCCTTTCCACAAAGCTGCTTCGAGTCGCGGCGTTTGATACGCTTAAGGACGGAAACTTTGATGTAGCTTTCCTTATAAAATTCAAGCGATTCAACTCGGTAAAGAACCTCAACCTTCGCGAACTCTTTACTGGCTCAGAAACAGTAAAGAATCTGAATGATGACGTGTGGAAGTACATTATCCAAAACCCATCCAAAGTTCTATTAATTTTTGATGGAGTAGATGAGTTTTCTGCCAAAGAAGACATCTGCCAAGATGACTCGGGATACAAAGACATTGAGGAAGAGAAGATGCCTCTCCAATGTCTTTACTACAAAATAGCGTCGAGGAAACTTCTCCCTGGTGCCACAGTTATCACGACATCAAGACCAACTGCTGTGTCATGTGTAAGACAGCTGAATTTCGATAAAATTGTTGAAATTCTTGGATTTTCATCTGAAGAAGTTGCAAATTATGTGAAGAAGTTTACCGAGGGAAGTAACGATCCCGTTTCAAGAGAAACAATATGGCAGCACCTTCGTACAAATATCAATCTCTTCACCTTTTGCTATATTCCTGTCCATTGCTTCATCATTTGTTCCTGCTTGTCACAACTGCATTCTAATGGTTGCAATTTACCCACTAAGCTGACCAAGATATATAGTTTGGCCCTAAAGATTTTCTTCTTTAGACACAATGATGAATATCGTGGGTCTAAGGACTCCAATGATCAGTTTATTTTTACAAGATACTGCGAATTGCCCTCCCAAGTTCAGAGTGTTTTTAGTAAATTGGGAAAGATCGCCCTTCTCGGACTTGAAGAGGGCAGACTGACCTTTACAGCAAAAGAAGTTGAAGGAGTAAAGGACTGTGGATTGCTCCATCGTCTACCTGACCTGAATAGCCCAACTCCTCTTGACGCAGGTGAAGCTCAGTTCTGTTTCCTGCACCTAACAATACAAGAATTTCTTGCCGCTAAGCATGTGGTAGATACCATGAAGAAAACTGAAGAATTGCGGAAATTTGTTTCAGATAAAATCAACCAAAGTGCTTGGCAAGTAGTGATGCAGTTTGTGGCAGGACTGTTAGACCCCGATGCTGCTGGAGAAATGTCAGCGGTGAAAATGTTTACAGAACTTCTTCCCATGGCCACAAGTAAGACGAATGAAAAGGAACTCATGAATGTTGCTTGGAACTATGCAGTTGAAGAGCCAACTACATTGACCTGTTGGCCAACTGATGGAGACAAAGATTTAGCCTTGCGCATATGCAACTGTTTGTATGATCTCGAATTAGAGCAGCAATCTGCTGTGACAAGCAAAATTGAAGAAATTGGTTTTAATGCAGTGGATTTTAGTGGTTGTAATCTAGCACCTGTTGACTGTGCAGCTTTAGTGCATTTCCTTAAAAACGCTGGAACAATCTTGTTAACATTAGAACGTAATGAAATAAGTTGGTTGGGTTGTATGGAGGTTCAAAAGTGGGTTGATCAAAGTGATAGTAGTAAGTGTGTATTCAAGTTACGTAGTTTGAATTTGTCTCGCAACGAGATAGGGTGTAAGGGAGCGCAACAACTGGGTGACGCACTTAAACACCAACATTGTACACTAACAAAGTTACAACTCTCTTATAACAGAATAGATGAGAAAGGAGCAAAAACAATATGTGATGCACTGAAAGAAAATAGCTGTAAACTAACCACTCTGGATCTTAAAGGTAACAACATCGGAGAAAAAGGAGCTAAATATTTAGCTATTGCACTTAAAAATAAACATTGTAAACTCACGGAGTTGCACCTTTATGGTAACGATATAAGAAACAACGGAGCAGCACTCCTAAGTGATGCTCTTAGAGACGAAAATTGTAGACTGACTCTGCTTGACATTGGCGATTGCAAAATCGGAAACAAGGGATTGTTTAGTCTGAGAGATGCACTTGAAGATGTAAATTGTAAACTGACCGTGTTGCGCCTTCCCAGTAACAAAGCCAAAATCACAGGGGCAACATATATTTCTCATGCATTAGAAGATGTAAATTGTAAACTAACTGAATTGGAATTTGCAGGTAACGATATAGGGGACAATGGAGTAGGTCACCTAAGTAGAGCACTTAAAGTTGCAAATTGTAAACTAACTGTGTTGGGCCTTAGTGGTAACAGCATAGGACTCGATGGGGCACAACAACTTTGCGATGCACTAAAAGATGGAAATTGTAAACTCACCGTGTTAGACCTTGGTAGGAACAATGTTGGAGAGTATGGGGCAGCATATTTGGCTGATACACTTAAAAATGTGTCATGTGAGCTAATTAAGTTAGACCTTGCTTTTAACAATGTAGGAGAAAGAGGAGCGGCACACCTAGCTGATGCACTTCAATCGGTAGAGTGCAAACTCACTGAGTTGAACCTTAAGGCTAATGACATTGGAGATAAGGGTGCAGAGCACCTGACTGATGCCCTTAAAGAAAGAAACTGTAAACTCACCGTGTTGATCCTTGAAAGAAACAATTTAAAGGATCAAGGAGCAGCACATATAAGTGAAGCACTTAAAAATGTGAATTGTAAACTCATTGAACTGAATCTTTCTGCCAACTGCATAGGAGATGAGGGAGCAGAAAAGCTACTTGAAGCATTTAAAAATGAGAATCGCACACTTACTGAGTATAACGTCGAAGGAAACAATATACGCGAAGAACAACTCGCACGTCTATGGAATGCCTTCTACAAAAGTTGTGCATAACATTTCAGCCTAAAACGGTTCCTTAGTGCAAACTTTTTGGTCAGTGTATTTCGCTTACTTCTAGCTGAAAAAGGAAATAAAGGAAACGATTGTTGAAAGTTTTAATTTTTGTGTGTTTTCTGCTTCATAAACTCGAATTTCCCGCTACTTTGAATACTAAGCCACTTCCCTTGAAGTACAACTATCAGTTATCGGTTTTTCGGTGTCAGATCTGATTGGCTAAAAGTATGCAGCTAATTCTTGCGGGCAAAAGCCTCGTTACGTCAAACCTACAAGCAATATTTTTCACAAACGTAGAAGTGAATTAATCTTAACGACACAAGAAGTCGAAGAAGACTGTGGATTGCTCCATCGTTTACCCGACCTAGCTGGCCCAGCCCCTCTTGACCTAAGTGAAACTCAATTCTGTTTCATGCTCCTTACTGTTCAAGAATTCCTCGTTGCTAAGCATGTGATCGATACCATGAAGGAAACCCAAGAATTTCGGGAATTTTTGCTGATCATATACACCAAAGCGCTTGAAAACTGGTGATTCAATGTGTGGCCGGAGCCCCGGTGAGGCTCAAGAAATGCGTAGCATCGATGTTTTTATCAAGCTTCAACATTGACTTGTTGGCCAGTTTACGATGAAGACAAAGAAGTAGCCATGACCTTGAGCAAGTGTTTGTAGGAGCTTAATTTAAAGCATCAATCTGTTGTAGCAAACAGAATTGAAGAAACTGATTTTGATGCAGTCACTTTTACTGCCTGCGGGCTGACACCCGTTAACAAGAATCTGCAGTTGGAAGGAAACGACCTTGGTAACTGGGTTGTAAAGAGATTCAAAAGTGGATTGTTTAAAGTGAAGGAGATTGTAACTAGAGGAGCTTGGTTCTCATTAGGAGTGAAATGAAAATAAAGGAACAGCATATCTGCGCGATACATATAAAGATGTAAACTGTAAAACTCGAAGTCTGGCACCTGATCTAGAACGTTGTAGGAGACGAAGGAGTAGCAAACTTGAGCGATGCAACTGTAAAGTCACGATATCATTGAACCTTGCCGAGAACAATATAGAGAAAAAGGGATTCGCACACCTGAGTGATGCACTTAAAGATGTTAACTGTAAACGCACGATACTAGACCTTGTTAAGAGCAATTTAGGAAACAAAGGAGTAGAAAACTTTGTGCGCTCAATGGAGGAAACAAAGGCGTTAAACACCTGAGTGGTGCTCTTCAAAATGCCAATTATACCTCATAATAATCGTCTAATTGACAGCGGAGCAACACACCTGAGTGATGCACTTAAACATGGCAATTGGAAACTCACCACGTTTTTCAAAAGTAATGATCGTCTTATTGACAGCAAGGTTGCACACCTGAGTGATGCACTTAATGATGGCTATTGTAAACTCGCCCTGTTATACCTCAGTAATAACCGTCTAATTGATAGCGGCACTGCACACCTGAGTGATGCACTTAAACATGACAATTGTAAACTCAAAGTGTTATACCTCAGTAATAATCGTCTAGTTGACAGCGGGGCTGCACACCTGAGTGATGAACTTAAACATGGCAACTGCAAACTCACCCTGTTATACCTCAGTAATAATCGTCTAATTGACAGCGGAGCAGCACATCTAAGTGATGCACTTAAACATAGCAATTGAAATCTCGCTATGTTATACCTCAGTAATAATCGTCTGATTGTCAGCGGAGATGCACACTTGAGTGATGTACTTAAACATGGCAATTATAAACTTGCCATGTTATGCCACAGTAATAATCGTCTGATTTACGTCGGGGCCGCACACCTAATTGATGCACTTAAACATGGCATATGTAAACTCGCGGTGTTATACCTCAGTGATAATCGTCTAACTGACAGCAGGGCGGCACACCTGAGGGATGCGCTTATTTAAATAAGGCGTAGTTGTTGTTTAACCAAACCACGTTCTAATCTATGTTTTATTTAGCCGAAATTTTTATCTGAACATTTATATTTATGTAACAGTGTCAAGAGGACCGAAAGCTAATCGTGGAAATAACCTTTATTGAATTAAATCAACTTTCCTATAGAGATTACCCGAGGTAACAACCAGCCTATTGAGTTGAACCTCCAGATAACATCATGTTAGTGACAAGGGAGAAAATGCTTGAATGATGCACTTTAAGAAAGAAACGTATACGCCAAAAAAAAAGGAAGACGAAAAAAAAAAAACGTGTTAAACAGCGAGTCACTATTTTATTATTTATTGCGTCAACACTGATCACGCGAGAAGCACGAGAAGTTATCTATATTGACGATGCGCATTCAAACACCAAAGGATAAATTATAATAGCCTCTTGAGCAATAATTTAAAAGACTTAAGCGCTGTAACATTTTTTATAGACAAGTGTAAGCGTTTGTCTTTGCCATCTCCTCAGGGAAGTAGAATGCTGGGCGGCGCACTTCAGACTTTGACCTTTGCCTTTTAGGGGTCGATTTGGCAGCATCTGGCTCGACCAGGGAATGATGAACTGACATTGACTGAAAAGAAAAGAAGGTCACAAGTCATCAAGGCCCGATTGTTCGAAGATTGGATAACGGTACCCACTGGATAAAACTGTATACGGTGAATGACGCACTACGTTTTGCTATCACTCATCAGTCGAGGAGCAATTTATCCTCTAGATAGCGTTATCCGATCTTTATAGAACTGGGCCCAGATTTGAAAATTTCTGTGACTCGCATGACTGCATTTACTTGAAATCAGGTTGTGTCACCTAAAAAGAACCTGAAAAAGGTTATGTGCTTTGTATGCCGTTGAAGGACCTCGCCTAGAGCGGACCTTAGGAGTACATCGTTTTTCAATTTCCTCTCGGTTTCGTAACTTTACATTTTTAAACGTATCGTCTTCCTCTACTTAAATGGGATGACCAGGTATCATCTACTCCCAAAACTGTTCTTCAGAAATTTAAATGAATAAAGGGGATAAGTTTCTAAAACAACTGTGGTGCTGCGTCAGTAGGGGGAGGGGAGGGGTAAACAAGGGTAATCTGAGTTGATAATGAAAAGTGGCCACTGCACAGAGTTTCTAAAGCTAACATTTCGAGCGTAAGCCCTTTGTCAGAGCGAATACCCAAGGCTAACGGTTGAAACGCCAACTTTGAAACTCTTTACGATGGCCATTTTGCATTATCAACACTGTTGATAACACCAAATTATCTCGTAATAACCCTCACCGACATGACACCATAGTTTCTCTAGAAACTTGCCCCCTTTCCTCTGAATATTAATTGAATCTGGGTGGAAAAGACGTTCTTAAAAACCTGTCGACATTTCCTTGCTCCAAGCCCTTTTTTGCGGACAATGCATAAAACTATACCCTTTTAAAGGACCAATTTGTAGAGTCTATACACAACTTCAAACTGAACGATCGAACGGGTCAAAGAGTGTTTCCATGTGCAAACAACGATTACGCAAGAAGTATCAGAATTTAATTCCCTAAAAACCAGTGCGCATATTCTCCATATTCTTCGATCTACATTTCCCATGGTCTTCACAAGGAGAAGTTACTTAAAAATCGAGAGCTTTTTCAGGTTAATGATCATTTTCCAAGTTCCCATGAGCCTTAAGTTTGATTCAGCAGTGATGCCATAGTGAGACATAAGATGCTAGCCACCCTGAATGTTTAAATGGTTAAAGATGCGCAGTTAGATACTAAAGGATGAAGTCCGTAGAAAATACTAAAAAAAAATTAACTAACCAAGGTTTCTAGAGTTCTAGAAAACACTACATTTTTGCTAGTATTACCCAAGCTATAGCTCCATGCAAGTCTCGTACCCAGACTTCTCACGACCAAGAGGTTGTTAGCTCCCTTCAGTTACAGTTACAAGGTAGGATCTAGGTACGAGATTAGCAACATGCTTGATATATACACTCAGCTTGCTCAAGTGACATTACTCACCACGTGATCCTGAAGATGCTGTATGATGTCATTCCTGTTATTCAGCTCAGCTTGTAAATTACTCTTTTCACCCAACAGAGTGTCACGTTCCAACTGCACTGCGTCACGCTCACACCGCAATCGGTCACATTCGTGCCTCAAACTGTCACGCTCTTGTCGCAAATTCTCCATTTCCTGTGGTTGTAGGAAAAGGTCGAGACGAGTAAGCCAACTTAAAGGTAGTCGCTGTACATGTGATCTCCTTTTTCACCTCTTATCAACGTAGCCTCTATTAGAAGCGACTGGGACGAAATTTTCAGTTATCATGCTAAAATCAAGAGTACGCTCAATTTTGAGGATTTTGGTCTGAGTAAATTAATTCTCATGGGCTGAACCCTTCTTTGATTCATTTCCCAGAAGGTTTATTTTAGATACCCTTTGTACTTAACGGCACAACGCACTGCAAAGTGATCATTTATCAGCCACGCTTAAGAAAGGAATCGAACTTGAAGGGTTTGTTATAAAAAAGAAGCGGTTTTTGCGTAATGTCATCCTCAAATGTATTATGCATGCATTCATCTCGCGAGAGCTTTAATGAAGATACACGATCCAAAGTCGCTTGCTAAGAACCGATTAAAAAATTTACATTCGTAGAGTAAATTTCAAATATTCTTACCTTCTTTAACGCCTGATAATCTTCTTCTGAAGCTGTAACTTTTTCCACATTCTAACCCCGAAGAACAAGAAGTAACTATCAGACATTACACAAAATAAAAACTACAAGAAATATCTAGGAACTAGAATTCAAGGGCCCAATGTAGGTTTCTAAAGTAAGTCCTCCCCCCACTGAATGACAACGTTTGCGGAAGTAAAACAGACTCGAACGTATAAACGAAAATTATACAACAATTTCAAAATTGAAGGTCACATGATTAGTCCAAAATTCCTTGTTTCTGCTTTACAATGCTCTGTGATTGGTTTGGAAAACTCGCGACATACTCTTCACGAATCATTTGCAGAGCTAAAACTGATGAATACCAGTCATCATCTGGGTTGTATAGGCTTACTTAGAGTCCTTGTAGTTCCTTTAAACCGTGAGTTTTATTTTTCTGGTTTTCGTTTGAGGACACACGATCTAAAAGTACTCTACTGCAATTTAAAACAGCTGTTTACAGCTAAGGCAACTAAGGAGCACTGCTTCACAACTAATCTTCGCAATTGCGATCAAGGACTGCTTTAATATGTCCATTTGCTTCGATTATGAGATCTTGAAATCGTACTGTCTTTAGAATTGATTTTCAATCTTAATAATGAAACGCAGTGGCAAAATGTGTTACCTCATTGGACTCTAATGTGTGTTTCCGAGAAAATGGGCGGTATTCTTTTCCCTAAAAGAGCCCCAGTTGAGAAGAAAATCGAGCTGGCGTGACGTGTGACGAACTGGCGTGACGCGCGCTAATCCGTAAGTTCGCAGGCAAATGACGTAGGCGACAATAGCTTGTGCGATTGGCAGTGCTTTTTGTTAGAGTCTCATTTTAAGGATTTTGTACGGGCAAGTTTGCAATCACATTAACGAGTGGTGGATTTTATGGCCGACTTTTTTTTTTGTGACCGCATACGAACAGCCTCTCAGTCGCTCAGAGGTAAAAATACCGGAAAATTGTCAGGGGAACTTGAACAAACCCTTACGGGGGCTTACCTACGATGGAAACAGGGCTAAGCTATTGCTGTATTGGACATTATTTCCAACCTGGATGCATTTTTATGACGCGCATTATCATTCTTTTACTTCATGCACAAAAAATTGGTGTGAGGAAACAAATTAACGCCATATACTGCCTTTAGGATTACAATTATGGCCTAAAGCCGTTTAATTTTGGCGAAACGCATCGTTAGCTATTGAAGGAAGTACAGCTCAGGGTAGAGGTTACTCGCCTGGACGACTAAGCAAGTGCGGAAGCGAATTCTAAGTATCCCATCATGCAAAGCGTGTCAACACACGGATTAAGATAACAATGTGCACAGGCGTAAAAGTGACAGATGAAAGCAAAGTAAACCCGATTGCTTACCAAAAGATGTAACATGCTTGAACAAGAAAACTTCCTGTTCGGGCCATAATGATTCTCGAGACTCATTCCTTTGTTGACACGAGATTTAAAATGCTTGCACACTTTTCTTCAATGGAGTCAAATCGTAAATAGCTTTGAATCCTTCTCCGTTCTTATTGTTTTCTGTTAATTGGAATTTTATTCCATTCGCTCAGCAGAAGAGCAAATAATTAAAAAATAATTAATTAATTGCGAGAAATTAAACCGACCGATGTTAAGTTTCATTTGGGGTTACCTTGGAAACAATTTAAGTAAAAGTTACTCAGGGGAATTATCAGTGAAACATAAGATGGTTTGCCCTGTTCAGTTTACGAGTAATAAGTCAGCTTTTATTACCTAATAGAGTCATTTCTTGTGAGGGTTAACCACCCTTAATTTGGAGAAGGCTCTGAGTATAGATTCCGCCAGGAAGAAAACGATAGAAGATGCAGTAACAAACTGAAATGGGACATGTATTACTGGAGTTCAAATGACGCGGCATTCAATCAAATCGTTGCTTATCCCTTGTAAACAATAAACTGAAGTACGATACTGATAATTAAAAGATATTTACCTGGTCTTGTATCTCTTCGCGACTTTTTCGTCCAGATCGTCTTATGCAATCATTTCTACTGTCTGGAACCTGAAGGTGCGAGTGAGAGAAACTTGATCGAAGACTTCTCATCTCCCCACTCTCTTCCTCATTGTGTTCGGACCCAGTGAAAGATCGCGATCTTAAGCGATATTCGATGAATCTTTTCACAGGCGGCGTTGAGATTACCAAGCCCTCGGGACTTGCGGAAAGCTTTGACTGACTTGAGATCGGAGACAGCACCAAAACTTGCGGTTCAGATGCACTTCTTCCATGGACTTCGGGTCTTTTAAGGTTCGTCATTGATCGGGTGTTTTCGGGTGGGGTGTGACACTCTTCTGTGGGAGAAGAGTCATTTGAAGTCGGTTCCCTCGCTTTGCGAAATCTTTCCCTTGCATTATGCAATCTTTGATACTGTTGATCTGTTACGCTTGAAATTCGTTGTCTTTCGCTGGAATCCTCGCTCGATCGCCAGGAATTAGATCTAGATGACGACCGAGATGAATCCACTTCGAAAACCCCACCACTTCCACTGCTACTCGCCACGCTGGAAAAACTGCTCTCACGACTAACAGAATTCGATGCGCCTAATTCGACACTGCTGAAACTGCTCTCCCGGCTCACTGAAGTTCCAAAACTTGATTCTCTCGTTGATTTGTCAATCTTTAAATTAATGGGCATCGTTTCGGTTCGTTTACGCAAACTGTTTTTGCTCATATCATTAAAAGATGCTCAAACTTAATTCAACTTATAACGCGTAGCATGTCTTCGCCTCAAGTAAGTTGTAAACAAAGAGTAATCGGTGCTACGTGCAAATATCATTTGCGTTTAGTCGTTTTAGCTTCCTTCAAGCCAACTGTCAGAGTTTGTTTACATTACCTCAATGCTAAATGTACTCTTGTATGATGATTGATGGATTCACTAATAAACTTCTACTCTATTTCCATACCGGTATCTCGAAAGGTAAATATATTGTCATATTTTTCTTTAGAGAACCCATTTGAAACAGCCATGTGTTTCCGGTTTATTCTAAAACTATTTTTAAAAATGGACAGTTTTATGCTTTTTTGCGCAATTTAAACCATTCAGGATTATTGTAGGTTTTGCAAGAGTCCAAAAAAAACCGTAGTCAAACAAACAATCGTGCCAGACGATTGTACACTTTTTTTCTGAATTTAATACAAAATGATACCTTTTTCAAACAAAGTGGTCGACAATTTTAAAGTTTAAAGGACGAGATAACAAAAACTTTTAAAAGTCCTTGGGTGAAATTTTAATTTTTTCATTGTTTTTTTTTTACGAATCCCGCTTTGCTTACTTTTCCCACGATGCTTAGTAACCTCTCGCTTTCAAAAATAATTGGTTTTTAATCGCAATTTGTAAAGAAAAAGAACGAAATAATTCTCAAGATTTCTGCTAAGGTTTAAGGACAATGATTAATTTAAAGTACAGAGTTGAGTGTGCTGTGAATTGAGTCAGAGACTTATTTGCAAATTTTAATTTAACGACCTGTTCAGTTTCATTAACCGGAACTGTTACAAAAACGAGAAAAAAAGAATTCCTTCGTCGCTACGTGTAGTGTTTACCTATCAGTATTCCTATAGCGCAATTTCAGTTGCTGCTCTTTCAATACTGCGGCAAACCGGGAGTATTGTGGCTCAGCCTATTAATGGAGGATGTGTATCCATTGGGCCACTCCTGCTCTGAATCAACAGATGTGACGTGATATGACGTCAATCGATTTGATTTGACGTGTTTGTCTGAGGAATGTTTGACGGGAACGAAAATGCGTGGTTCACAAACAGTTGCTATTTCAATTCTTGACCTTAGTATTTTCACGCAGCCTGCGCTCGAGCGCAGCCATGCCGCGAGCTTAAATCTGTTGCGTTGAAAGTTAGAGGCCAGGATGCTAAGCAATATTCAAAATGGCGGAAGAGGCAGTCGAATATTTAGTACACTTGAACTTAGCTATATCACTTCTTGAAAGGATACATTAACCTTTTTAGCTTAAAAACAGATCTCACAGTGCCTCATAACCTTTTATAACTGATGGCAGCGACAAATGTTACATGGTTTATGGAGCATCCCTTTCGCTTTCTAAGTTGTTCACAGCGAGATTTGATCGCGTGAGCGATAATCGCGAACCCATGAAATTTCGCTTATGATCGATGTAGTTCTGCTTGGCCAATAAAGCGTATGGTAAAGTCAAGTAATTAAATCATCCAACTTGAATGGTTGACTTTAAAGGAGATTCTTATCAATCAACATCTGAGAGACATCAGAATCCTAGTTCAACATTCATTTAACGTTTTCATGTCCACGAGTGACCAAGACAGAATTTCTCCTTACATTTTCAGTACAATATCAGGCAGACAGGTAATGAGAATTAAAAAAAATATCAATAAGAGATTTTTAGTTGATCCAATATCAAATTCTCCAAACTAACATCATAAGAATTGGATGGCAGACAATAAGGAGAATTACTAATAAGATCTTGTGGGGTGAAAGGGTTAAATTCTAGTTCCATGAGACGAAAAAAGCGCCAACAAATTCATAAAATAGACGTTTTATTGATTTAAAATACCTCCACATACTTTTACATTTTTTAGAAAAATACAATTTACAAAATAAATACTTCTGCGCGAATGCAATGCGTCTAGAAAATTCGTCATTGAATCAAAAAAATTGCTTGCTGGTACCAAAAGGCTTGCGCTGTAATTACCGGTCTTTTAAGTTCTCAGAACACTTTTGTTAAAAAATACAGTACACATGTTCAGAGACGTTGGCAGTTTATCAAAGTTTGTAAATCACTTGACTAGATCAAATCAAATAGGTTCCAGAGGGAGTTTTCACGTATTGAAGGTGAAAAGGTGTAGTTTTGCATGACAGACACACCATTGCCTCTAAGAAAAATTAACGAAAGGATTATCGCTAAACATTCTATGCTCTCGCTTGTGACAAGCTCTCTTCCGATACGTTGATGAAAAAGGGCGGAGAGTGCGCGTGCTCTCTCACTAGTCTCCGCTGCCTGACAGCGTACACTCCATCATTGGAAACCTTGCGTCAAGTGTTTACCTCTACTTGTGTTTGCTGATTAGATAGGTCCATCGTGGCACCATTTTCCCCAGCTCTCCCACGAACACTCCCAGCCTGGCTCGACGCAACACTAGCTGTCTCAAGGTCCTTAGTTTCCTAGGAAAAAAAAAGCTATCCTATAAATATAAAACAATGTTTGATTTCCGTTTTTCTATTATCGTCAAATTAACTGGTACCCCTCGAATTCACGCAATCGCGATAGCTTCTCCCTATACCTCTCTCTAGTATTTAACATTTATTTCCTCTTTCCGCAACCGAGATTGATGAGCTCGCCAAATTAGCTTCGGTTTGATGGTCCGAATATCCTCGTCCAGTGCCAGCGTAGATCACCTAAAACTTCGTCCGGAAGATGATAGTCCGGGCAAAGAGAGACTGTTGTTTATAACAGAGACTCACGTTTCGACAATTTGGGAAGAGGTCATAATCGGGGTCAAGTAATTGATTTAAGGCTTCTTGGCTCCCTTCACTTTGTCAACCACCAGTTATTCTTGGCAACAACAGAACTTTTCAGGAATACTTCTACCGCGAAGTCATTCTTTCTTTTATTCCATTATTCCGCACGTACCCCATCTCAACAAAAGGAAGCTGCTTTCGATATGATCTATCATCGTTGTTATCTCTCAGTTCGAACGTGCGTAGTATGATTGGTCAATTTAGCTGGCCGTAATTCACTGGGAAAAAAGCTAGTTTAGCTTGGTCGCCAATTCCAAACTTCTAACCCCTTTGCGACAGTCGTAGAAGCATAAAACCGCTACATCGATCGCAACTGGCTTTAGCTCGAAGCCTTATGGGATCTCCTTAGTTTTCCTCGTCAAAAATGTTTGCCTCTTTATTCATATATTTATCTTCATTTTTAGATAAAAAAAAAACACTGTCTCTTGCATACCTTCCATTTCATTCCGTCTGAAACAGAAAAACTTAGCTCGCTCTTGGACTGACCATGTACACTAGGTACCAACAGGGGTAGAGTGATAGTCTTAGTGACTGCCGGGTATTTCAGGAATTCTGCGTAGCGTTTCTGTAGGAGTTTCTCCTGTTTAGTAGCTGAAAAGAGAAGATTATATTTTGATTAATTGATCAGAAATTTTATCATGATCATTATTTTTTATAACTGGAAAGAAAGACAACGAATCAAAACCAGCTTGATCGGATACAATATGAGGACAAAAGAAGACATCAGGAGGCCCCAAAAGTAGCCTGCCAGTAGGCTGTAGTTGTGCGTTTCTTTACCCGCGGGAAAGTATGACGCCTGGAAAAACGCTGGCCAGCGAGAGGTCTGCAAGATGTCTGGCACTGATCATTAATGCCAGACCCCGAGCAAACCTTCCTAACTAGTCTCGAATCTTCGCGCGGGCGAAAAAACGCGCTTCTTTAGCTTGTAAAGATTTCGAAAAGTAGCATCCGCGCACGCGCAGTTCCACACTTTTCAAAAAGACACTTACGAGGTAACTTGACATTTGCCCCATCTTCAGGTGGAGTGTACTGTTTACAAAATCCTGCCCAATAGGGGAGCATTTCCTTGAACAAGATGCTTTGAGCCTCGTCAAAAAGCCCTGGCTCCTTTTGTTCCCTGGGGATTTTCTTCCCCGACGAAAAGACCTGGGCCTTGTGTATAATACGAGAAGCAAGCTCGGGACCAATGTCAATCTATAAAAAAGAAATTCACAGATTAAGATGAATGAATATTTTTAGAGATTTAAAGGAATTCCTTTTTTTTCTATTTCTATTGATTACAAGAAACCAGTCATAATCTAATCTCGTACCCAGATCTTATTGTGTAACTGTCACTGAAACAACCGCTTGGCCGTGAAAGGTTTGGGTACGCAACTCAGAGGCGGATCTAGGATTTTAAAAAGGGGGGGCACGGGCCCCCCATGCCCCCCTCCCCTTGGATCCGCCACTGCAACTATTCATAATCGAACACCTGCTCTATCACCTGCGGTCGGGGCTTCGGGGAATTTATAGGGGGTATCACATAGTTTTTAGGGGGGAATTAAGAGAAATCAGTCGACACCAACGGAGCATAAAGGTGGACTGTAGAAATTGAGTGTTAATTTAATTTCTTTTTTTCAAGCCTTATTTTCACTTCTGCTCAAGTGGTGTCCATTACCGCGAACATCGGTTTAATATTCACTTCTTTATTCGTAGTTCACATGCATGATTTATATATATTGATAGTCAGTTATAGCCCAGAAGGCAAAATTGTTAAATGCTGATTTGCTGGGACAGAGGACATTTTTCCTTAACATTGGTAAATCCCCCGGGAAATTACTAAATTTATAACCCTTAAAACGGCTTAATGTCGTGTATTATAATTTTCTTGGATGGCGAATGTTTTTTAAAAGGGCTGATTCGCGCATTTTACAATTCGTTAACGCTAACAAAACAATGAAAAGTCCTGTATTTAACACGGCCATATGCGATTACCTATCCATCTTCGTTTCGCTTTCGGCCAGTAATTGTTGTATACTTTCATAGACGCTTCGTAGTATAAAAGGTTGCGAAATATGAAGAAGGATTTTCTAGCCTGACAAAATATTCATGGCCTCCAAAGCTAGTGGATGGCATCTGTAAGGTTTGGTAGCGCTTGCGAAAGTTTTTATGTGTGAAAAAATCATTTGTACCAAAATTGACTTAAAGTTGAAAGGTTTGTTTTGCAAAACAAACACTCAGTAACCTCGCGTAGTGCCACGTGAATATTTTTCTGACGTCAGAGTTCACATGAAGATCAGCAAGTCTCCTTCACTTCAAAACCATGCTAAATTTATGGCGGTGGATCAGAAGAGGGCCAACACAGCGTAGATGGAGGCGACCTGCATTTATCTCATTGATTATGTTGATAGGTACATGTGTTCTGGGATCGCTCTTGATTACTTCGCTACCTAAACGAGGCGTTCGCTTGCAGGAATTAGACTCACGCCGTCCAGTCGCATACACGAAGTTAGGAAAGTGTCAAAATACTCCAAACGGCGACATTGACTGCCCAGATATCCGTCAGTTGGGTTCAACACCACTTCGAAAAGCTCAGTTAGTGCTTACAAGAATTCTTCGAATCTTTGATCTGATTGCAAAAAAGCACGGTATAAAATACTGGTTGACTAGAGGCAGTCTTCTCGGAGCGATTCGACATGGCGGCCACAATCCTTTCGACGATGACATAGATATTTGCATTCCTAAAGCAGACTTTGAAAAGTTTATTAAATACGGTCTGAAAGAACTTCCAGATGATATATTTTTCCAAACAGAAGACACCGATGTATTTTACAAAATTCCGCCTCAAAGTGGAATGTTGGGGAAACTTCGCGACACCAAGAGTTGTTATAAGTATTGTCTTCGTAACGGCTGTAAGTTTGCGGATGGTTTGCAACTTGATATGCTGGTACTAGAGACGGACTCTGATGGCAATTTTTTAAACCTGTTCAGTCATTCCTCATGGTTCGTACGAAGATTTATCTACGGACCGTTGAGAAGAAAACGGACCGACATTTTCCCTTTAGTTGTAGTGAATTTCGATGGATTTGCTTTACCAGCACCGCGCGAATGGAGGAAACTTCTGATATCATCTTATGGTGATTTTATGAGAATTCCATACGAAAAACCGTTGGCCCACAAAATAACAGATGCACTGCGAAGTTGTGAAGAGATAGAAAAATTAAGGCTATAACTTTAAATTAAAGTTTGAGCTTAGTTTCATTTCATCTGAATTTTTTAGCATATATTAACTTAAAGTATTTACACAAGGTGACACTCTGGTTTATCGCTCATCAATTATTAAAAGTTTTAAAGCAACTTTTCATAGGAAAACTATGAAAACTTAACATTTCCTAACACTTTATCAAGAAACGTTTCGAAGTTTGGTAAAATTTCCCCATACTATTGTAAAACAAATCTGTTTTCCCAGTTTTCTGTTTTTTTTGTTGTTGTTGTTGTCTGTTTTTTTGCGATCCATTGTTTTTGTCATTGTTTTCTCTATCCAAGAACTGAATGCGTACTGTAGTATGGGGCTGTGAGGAAATTTTACCCGAAGTTTAGTTAGAGTTATGAATTTTTCTGAAATTTAAGCGAGAGAGTATTACCATGTAAAAACAGTTCATTACAGACTAATGAAATGCTCTTCAAACTGACAAAGGTTAATGTTTCATCGTATTAATTCTTAAAGACGCTTTTAAGGGCTACTTTCCGAGTTGACATCAAACCATTCGTAAATGGTTTATGACGGTTTGAAATTCCAACTTAAGTAAACGGTGACGCGGGAGTTGCTGGGGGTTTCAGGGTTAAAATTTGGTTTGCCATGTAAACGAAGTCAGCACTCGTAACGGAGAATATTTTCATTGTTTAGACCACCTTGGTAACAAAAGTTGGATGCCGTATGGGTAATAAATTAACCACATGTAAATTACTCTAGTAATGAAATGATGTTGTCGAATGAATATTTACTTTCAAACCATATTCTTTCCGGGAGCATCGAGAATACATTTTATTTTTGAAGGAATAGGATGCTTCATTTGTAAGAAAATGTGTTAATCTCAATTCCCTCTATGGTGCGCCATGGCAGTCCAAACTAGTCTACATACACACATTTTTTTTCAATTTGCAAACGAAATTTTACTTTGACTTTGAAATGTTTTTCTTTTAATTATGTGGTCTTTTCACGCGTTGCTTGACAATGCGAAACAACACCTGCTACTGGAACAATGCATGGCGTCAAAATAATAAGCCTGGTCTCCTGCTAAAGATAATTAACATGAATTTTCCAATGGGCTTCATCCTTGATGGAGCATTAAGTAAAAGGCATTTGAAAATGGTGTTGAAAAATAAAATCGTGGAGAGATGCGTGGAAAAAAAATACCGCAAAGAAAAAGAAATCCCTCTAAATGCCCGTCTGAACTGTTGAGCGGTATAATTTATTCTTTTGTGCACATGCCAGCAAATTTAAACGAGCACATATTTCAGACTGATATTTGTTCATAGCTGAATTTTAAGCCTAGCCTGCTGAACAGACAATTTCTTCTTTTTCTGCGTTGTCGAACAAAGGCAAGCGCGATGCTAGCGCAAAGTACGAGTCACGCAAGATGAGAGGGGCACGACGCAAACAAGCAAGTTTTGTCTGTTGAAGGGTGGGGAGGGAGGGAGCAAACGACAACGATAAAAACAAAGAATTCGATATGTTCTCACCTGTAGCCAGGGAGGGGTAGCTGAGTCCAAGAAACACTCGATGATTGCCTCTACTTTACGATTTAGGGAAACCTAGGATATGAAAGCAAACACTCCATCATTCAGAATTGGGTGCAAGAAGCTACTGAGAAAATCAACCAGTTCATAAGACTTACATCGTCCATGTAGTTAAACAATTCCTGTATGTAAAGAGAGAAAAAATTAAAATTTCATTAAAAAAAATTCAAGAAAATCAGTAAACTATGGGATGGTAAACGAAATGGGAGTAGAGAGTTATGAATCATAGAAAACAATATGTTGTGGTGTTGTTTCCGTGCTGGCAATTAAAGCACACGCTCTGTTCCAATAGAAACAGTCACGCAAAATTCTTATCAAATGGGATTGCCGATCAGGCTTTAGAGCCATAACTGCCTTGCATAATGTTTTGCGGTCCCACATTTTTAACCTGCGATTCCTCGAAGTCTCAACTGAATCAAAGGCGTCAATACCGAATTCACTGTAAACCATACTTGGTGTCTTCTGTAAAGTGGATGGTTTTTATTTACATTAAGTTTTCAAAACATTTAATCATATTTTCAAGCTTGCGCTAAAAATTTAGTACATACCACACAGGTGAACAATACTTTTCTCACGCGCTGATTGGCTGCTTCGGAAGCGATTACCAGGTGCTATTCACCTTCGAGCGGTCGAAGGGACAAAATCGTGCGTCAAAGTTTTGAAATTTTCCGACCATTTTCCGGTATAATAACAAAAATTAACCGTGCATTCTCATGCTTGCGCTAAAAGTATCCAAGTTGAGTATACACCATACAGGTTAATGCTTTTCGCGCGCGCTGATCAGCTAGTTCGGAAGCGTTTAGCCAGTACCCGTCACCTCTGAGCAGCCGAAGAACAAAATCGCGCGTCAAGTGTTTAATTTCTGACCATTTTTCGATACATTGACAGAAATAATTTATCTCTTTAGGTCTCTGTGTGGTTTATAATAAAACCTAAATTGTTCGACTCTCGGTGTGGCTGAAAGTAATAGCTATTTACCTCAATGCGTCGCGTCTCGCCCCCTTTATCTACCCTCACTTTGGCAAATAATTGTTAATTATCCATCGTAATCTATTATTGCAACATATTTTGCATTTCCTCTTTCTTTGTTTTTGCAACAGTATCTTGAATTTCTAACCTTGAACTTCTGAACTTCCAAATAGAAAACAAGATCGTTCTCTAAGCGAGGAAAGCCGTCTGGTTCACCATGGGCCTGTAAATATCGCCGAAAATATTCCATTTTAACCGAAAGACGTCCGTGTATAGACTGCAGAACTTTCTTAAAGTTGTCTTTGTCTTCTTTAGACGGAGCGGATCGGCCAGTGCTCTAAAATATACAAATATACAAAATACAAATAATATTAATATAATAATAGATAACTTAATCCAATAAATGCGTGAATGAATGAGTAATAATAGAATAGAATAGGTAAATAGACAAATAAATCAGTGCGAGATTGCAAGTACTCTAACACTGCACATAGGGCACATAAAGCGCGGCCAACGAGGGCCATGGCAGGAAAAACGATTCCGCTCGTTAGATGATTAAGTACTCCTGTTGAAGCTTTCTTGTAGATCTCAACGCGTAGTCTAACTTTGCTGTTGAGAGACTTTAACTGGTAGTTCTGCATAGAGTGGAACCTCAACAAAGAAAGGAACATAGCAGCAGGCAAGCAAACCTGGGTAGACAAGCATCTGTCCGCTTGTAAACTACAATGTAGAGTGCGTCCACTCTGCTTACCAAAATGCTAAGAGTATAAAAATAAACGCTGAGCACGAAATAGCTTTGTTTGTCCAGGTTTTTACGTGACGAGATTTTACGGCGATGTTTGACGTAGCAGAGAGAAAGCCCCCGTCCAGCCAACGTGAAAGAAGACGCTCTTCTGTATACGAACCTTATTTTTTCTCGCTCTTCTTCTGTAAAGCTGAAGGAAACTCTGTGAGCTCTCGAATGTGTCACCCTTGTTAAAACTTCCAGGAGTGTTTGGTGTACCTTCTCGTCGGCCAGCAGTGTCCTGCGCATGCTGAAAGGGACACCAGTGGGAAAAAAACAAAGTTGTACCTCATTGATTAGTATATGAGAGGGTTTGAACCTCGCCTGAAGTACTTTCACGACTGAGTGTCACATCAGCCAATCAAAACGCACAAAAATATCGCAAAGGGCCAATGAGAGCTCAAAGTATATACATGTACACGGCCTTCAAGGCGAGAAAACGTAAGTACTTATTCATAAATAGTGAGAAAGTTTAAGTCATTAGGCTTAAGGATTACTGGAATAATACCTAATGAAAAAACTGAGTGAGCAAAGCGAGGAGCCCGGTTCAAAATAAGAAGTCACTTAGACTCGGCCTATTCGAGACTTGTCTAACTAGAGCCAGCGTGTATACTTTCTAAGACTTATTAGAAAGGTCTTTTACGAAAACACTGCTCAAGCCAAGTAATGTGCCATAAATATTGGATCAACCTGTCTTATTAACCGTGGAATTCTGATAGGTTGGGAGATCTGCTCTTCCAATCCAAAAAGCTTAATGCAAAGCGCAGGCTCAATTTCCAACGATTTCTCGAATGCAGTCTGACTCTCCCGAGCAAATCTTCGGTACGGGGAGGAAACAGCGGTCGGTAATCGAGCCTTTACGAAGCGTTACCCGATAACATTATCCTTCAAATCTTTATACACAAGTGCCAAGCATAATTCTACCTTGAAAAAACTTTTGAAGTAAGTCTGGACATCACCAAGCACGAATTGCTGCGCCGCGGTAAAGACTGGAGACGTGGGTCTCTCTCCATCGACCTGGTTGAGTAAGGACTGGGGAAGACCCACCGACCTATCCACGAGAATCAGAGAAAGACAATCAATTAGAGAGAAGTCGATTTATACAAATATATTAATGATTAAAATAATGAAAGAAAACTATTCAACAATTACCTTCTAGATGTGGGATCAAAATAGGTTCTGGAAGAAATCGGAGAAAAAAATCAGAATGGAGCACAAATACACTTCTTTTAGGAGTATTTTAAATGTTACAATATCAGCAAATTATCCATCAAACAGAAGATGAATATTCTACTCCAGCGTCTCTGAAACTTATGGATAGATTGTTTTCCAGTCAGCAAAGGAGTAAAACTCGATATGCAGACTGCGATTCAAAAATGGATAACACAAACTGCGTTTTTGAGTTATAGTCACAAATGAAATGTGTTTCTATGAGACTCTGGCGTTGCTTCAATAATCATATATGCCAGAAAAGGAATCACAACTCGAGTAATAATAAGGCATTTCTGATACGAATGCACCATAAAGTGTGCTAGTGTCGATCCAGCAAAGAATTAGTCGTTAAAATAACGTCATTATTCTGAGCTATCCCGATTTCGGCAACTGTAAATTGGAGAAAGTTTTAAGAGAGCTCTTTTGTTTTAAGAGAGCTCTTTTGAGAGCTGAATACATGAAAGGCTCCTTTACAACACTACCAACTGAAATATTTTACAGTAACATTACTTGTAAATGTGCGTTGCATGTTGCGTTTTCTGGACTTTTTTGGCAGGTAAAATGGCGTTGTATTGTTCGATTTCCAAGTACATTAACAGTTGGTTCAAAGACTGCCTTCCCTCCATGTTCTGAACATATTGCTTGAAGGCCGACATGGTTCTATAAAACAATGATTCAAGTTTTCAATTTTGCGAAACTGACCGCAATGTGTGCCACTCAGGAGTGGGGGGGGGGGGGACTAGGGTCAATTTTTCTGGGTATGTGCCGCTGACCACTCAGAACCCCTTCTGCATTCTAGTCTATTCCGTGGCCAATTTCACAGACCCCATTTTATATACTTTTAGTCAAACAGTAACAAATTTTCAATCGAGAACGTTTTAACTTTTTAATCCCTACTTACCTGAATTTTCTCACCCCCTCAAAATACAAATGCTGAACACATGAAGGTGCTTTTGATTTTTAAGTCCTGAATGAAACATTAGTGTGAAAATTCAAAGGAAAGCTACTGAACAGCAAATTCATGCTATATTGCTTATGACAAAGTTTACATATCTTCGTGGCTTTTACGCTTGGATTTGAAACAGTGGAGAGTGATTCAGTAAAAAAGAAAAAAAAATCGATTCCAGATACTATTTTCTAAAAGTAACACTTGGTAACACACGGAACCACGGAAACCCATAGTTAAACCAAATTCACGGCCCTTAAACAAGGCAGAACGTTAGGTAAAGGCGATTGGTTTTCAATCTTCAAAAGAATCTGGCATAATTTTTCAGAGCAAGTAAAAGCCTCTCAAACCCAAGAAATCCCAATCTTTCCTCGAAAATTGATTGAAAAATTATCGTTACCGACCCTTTGTTCTCTAATACGTCCACAAAATCCGGTACAGCGGCCTTGGCAGGTTCTCCCTGTTTTTTCTTATCACTGTCAGATCCATCCTCGTCGGAATCTGTCGCTTTCTTTTTCTTGGAGTCGAAAGAAACATTCTTTGATGCTTTAGTCTTCTTTTTGGCTTTGGGTTTCGCCTTCTTGGCCTGTAACAACAAAAAAACTGTAAGATAAATGGTTTAAAAGGATAATGGATAAGTAAATAACAGTATGTTTGCTTAAGCAGAATTTTGCTTTGAGACTCAAAACAGAGACTGAAAACAGTCCATTGACAGAGCTGTTTATCTGTTCGTGGCATTCACTTGGTAAACAGGACGCGATTTCAGGACTCAGCGAGGAAAAGAGGAGGCCTGGGTCTGGTCTCAATCCATCCAACATTTCACTCTTTTGGCTCTACGCCGCAGTCGCTCCCTGTTCAATCACTGAATCCTATAAAAGGCCTCAGAGCTATGGGAAAAGTGCTTCATAACAAAAGAATATTGCTTACGACCTTAGAAAGAGATTTCACATGGGATTTCTCCATTCGTTTCCTTTTTTTGACTTTACTGTATTTCTTTGCATAACTTTACCACCAGAAAGAGTTTCTCCGGCTCTTGAGGAGTCTTCCTCGTGTTAATTGTTTTGTTTTCACGCTTTTCCCTCTTTTTCATATTGACCATTGTTATATAACCTAAATAACCACTGTAATGTTATTTCTTCCAATTTAGTATCTCTTTCTATAGCGTGTTTCTAATCCCCTCCTCCCACACTCTCCTCCTATGGGGCCTCTGCTTTGGAGCGCAGCATACCTTGGAGGGCTGTGGGATTGACGGCCGTGTTGGTGACTGGGTCCGAGGAGACGAACGATCAGCGTCGATTTCCTCAGCCATTGCTAATGACGTATACAATCGCCTCTGTCTCTGGGAGGGCGTGGATCCCGGATGTCTTGAAAGCACAAGATCAAAATAAGATTAAGAAAACAATGATAAGGAAGACGGTAATGATGACGATGATGATGATGATAAAAGAAATTAATGCATGGATACACATGTAAATCCTTTCAAAAGTTATGTGATCGCATCTTCAACTGACCATTGCCATCCTTAGTGGCTTGTGTTTTCCTTTTTTTTTATATTATTTCATTCTTTTCTTAACTAAAGGAACTATTAGTATTTCAATCTCATCTTAAGGGTTGTCCTTAGGAGGTTTCTTGGTCACTTTTAAAAACTAGGGGCCACCTAAGAGCGTTTAAGTTGCCATCTTAAAAAAAAAGCGATCGAGAAACCTTGGGATTAAAAAATAACAATTTCCTGTTTCCCTCACGCAGAAGATAGTTTGTCAGTTTTGCATCCGCAAAACCGAACCGAATAGGCATGCACGAGCGCAAAACTGTGCAGCCTTCCCCTAATCTTCCACACTCAATAAATCTAATTCATTCTTACCTTTTCACCCAGCGTCCTGATGTCGGCGAGAAATATCGACTCTTCTCTTCAACCTTCTCGCTGGAGATGTTGGACATACGATCAAAAGGTCCCTTGACAGGCCTGGAAATTCCAAACAGTTAATCGATCAATAAAACAATTAATGCACATTAGGATTCTAATATTTTGTGCGCCTCTCTTAGTTCGTTCAATGCGCAATAAATCAATGCCATTGCAGTTCGAGTTCCGACGGAGAGGGCCGGGCTGCAATGATGCGACAACCTCTCACCGATAGTTGTGATCAGAGCATCAGTATAGTTTACAGTGACAACGAAGGAGATCTAGGTAAGAGTTGCAAAATTACCTCACCATTAACTTACCTCAAAAATGTTTCCTCTTCAAAGTGTTTGAAGGCTTCCCAGCTTGGTTCAAGTCTTTTCACAGCATGCTCCTGTCAAGAACAAAGTAAAACGTTCATCAGTTGGTGCGTGGGAGAAACGGGGGCCTTTAAATGGTGAGTGCGCCTGGCTTCAAACGGCATGTCGCGCTGTGGTTCAAGCCCAACGGATGAAACTGTGTCATGTTATTGGCTTAGAATACTTATTCTTTCAGTGCCTCACTCAACCCACGAGTGTTAAGTGAGCAACGACGAATTGAAGGGCATTGGAACATACGTTAAAGGAAAAAGAAGGGCGGAATAGAGAAAACAACTTTAAAAAAATAATGATTCCCTCGTTTTCCTTTTCACGTATGCCTCCGTTCAAAATTAGGTGGGGTTGATCGACTAAATCGTAGTCTAAGGCACATATCCTGCTTTTCCGTTTAAAATGGTTTTTCGCAAAAATCTCCTTTGTATAAAAACTACTCCTATACAAAAATCGTGAAAGGTGGGAATGCCAACAAATATAGCTAAATATGGCAAGGTTAAAATTGAACTTGTTACCTGAGCCGGCTTGAAAAAGGCCAGCGGCAGATCTTCGGATGAGAGGAGATTGCTTTCTAGTTTTTGACTTTCACTGTTGTGTAATCCAATGTTCATTTCAGCATCTAAATGCCGCGAAAAGGCAACTTCGTTTAGTGAGCAAGGAGACTACAGGGTCAACGGTGAACTAACATAATATTGTAAATCAAACATTAAATACAAATAGAACACAAACGTAATAAAAAAAATTAATAAACGGTTGAACATGGAGATCGATACACAGATAAATAAGTAAGTAAATAGATGTACCATATGGGAAAGGATAAAGTTTACCTTTGGCAATATATTTGTTGAATATCGCCCAAGCATTGACCAGTCTGAGGTAACGGTCACCAGACCTCTTCTCGGCTGCATTGAAATCAGTTACATCCAACCAAAATAGGAGGTTACATAATAAAGACTTGTCAACACTGGTGTTACTGTAGATTTGGAAAAAGACAAAGTGGAGAAATTAGAACTACAAGTGAAATTCTCAAAAGTGTCGGAAGTATTTGGGGTTCGTTTTAGTATTACTTTACTGCGTAGTGTGACTTTTCAAGAACACTCGCGCATTTCCCTCAACCAATCAGAAACAAATTAAAAAACTCGGTCGCTCACTTTTTCCCGCGTTTAAACCCGTTTAGGGTTACTTCCCACCTTCACAAGCGTCCTTCGGGAAAAAATTCGTACGCGCGCTAGTTTCACTTAAATCCTAGCAAACTATACATCAGAAGAAAATTTAATAACTGCAGTTTGCAATGAAAATATAATTTAAGCGACTTTTCTTTTAAGGAAATATCAGGAGCCGGTAAGGCGTGAAACGACCGAAGGAGTCCTCATCATCTCCTGGTGTTTTTACTTTGTTGGGACTGAATTGGCTGTTGTTATAACTTTCCTGTTGGTTTAACGACACTCAACCGAAAAGCGCCACCCTGAATATTCTATCCTGTAGGTTTTTTCCTCAATATTAACCAAATATTCGCTCATATGTCAAAGAGTGGACCAGATAGGCCTCTGTGTTGAAACCTGACTGAATCGATTAGAAAAAAAAAGCCACTTCCTTAGTAGAATTTCTCAGGCTGAAGATCATCTCGCACGCTTACTCTCAAAATTGTATACTTTAATTCTTTGTGACAACCTAATAAGCGCTAACGATAACACGCCTTAACTGTCAATCTTACGTGTCAAATGGGTCACGCTCTCTTTGCCACGCAACGTTGTTGCATAAATCACAACATAGAGATAGAAATTACTGTTTTTGCACTCAAGTTAATTAGGAAATTTCTTAAGTACCGCCAAGCTTTCTACAAACAGCTTGTTCGAACAGCTAGGATTTTAAGAAAAAACTTACTTTTCCAAATAGCGTTTAAAAGGACATCCAGCCTCCTTCTCTCCGCGAAGAGCTGCAGTGAATTCTTCTTCGTACCTTTAGAGAAAAAAAAACCCGAGAAACAGCATGGAGGGATTAGTTAGAGTGCACTTGGCAAACTTAGAGTTTATGATGGAGAAAGCTTAAGTGTTGATAACTTTGACTGGTTTATCTGCTCTCATTGGTTTAGGCTCGTCATACATAATGTAAGAGTTGTCAATTTTTTTCCTGTTATGAAGGAAGAAAATAATTTTTCCATGTTAAAATTGTTTTTTGGTCATTATTTTGGCGAGAGGTCTATTGATCAACCTGCACGTGCGGCTTATGCAATTAGGACATTGAACGTGCTATCCTATAATAGTAAGACGTTGTCATTTGGTCACTGCGCAAACCTACCTTTCAGGTATTCGGCTCAGTCTTCTCCGCGCTGATTTGTTCCTATTCTCCTTCACCATGATGTCACGGTCCCATTGGCGTGACCGAACAACCTCTCGACACCATTCCCCTAGCGGTGGTAAGGAGTGAGCGAACGATACAGTGGGAAAGAAACTCAAGCCTGATGGTGGGCGGTTGAGATCATTATATCCCATATACTGGTCTCTGCGAGAAAAAAAGAAGAAAAGGAACATGTCCAGGATGTAGAGATAAACGCCCTTTCATTTAAGAATCAACGTGGCTTGAAATATCAGATTCAAGCATCGAAAATCAGACAATCACCGCACGGAATGACAGAACTTAACTACATGACAGACCGAGACAGACAGACAGACAGACAGACAGACAAAAAGCCAGTCAGGTCGACCTACGAACAGACTAACAAATGAAGAGAGAGGCAGAGAGACGCACTAAAGGAAAACTCATTATTTATTGCGGGGGGGGGGGGAGGATTCTAGGGGATCACATGGCTTCCAGGGTGACGGAGGGAATCAGTCGACATCAACAAAGTATAAAGGGGAGGGGGAACTATGGAACATTGACTGCTAATGAGGGGCAAACTTTAAAATACTACAGAGCCTCGGGGGGGATCAGGTAAATTTTATTGTGACACTGACACAGCCAATATCTCCTACCCCTCCTAAGAGATAAATAATGACCAGACTCTTACGTAGGGGGGAGGGGAGGGGCGGACGGACAGACGGACGGAAAGAAAGATAGACAACCTTGCACAAAGAACCAAAACAAACGAAACGACAAACGAACGAATCCTTCGTTTAACGAATCACACAACCAGGCACATTGCTACGAAATTCAAGTTTGGGGATTTAGATATTAAATTTTTGCGTGACAATTCCTGCAGCCTGGCTGGGTACACTAATCCCCCCCAGTAGAAAATTTGAGGGAGAAGTTTCCCCGAGGAGTGGAAGGTCGTAAAATTATGACCATAAACTATTCAAAGACGAGTTTTCTGGCCTAAAATGAAACAAAACCTCAGAACTGGGCTAAGGTCACATCTTTCAATAATTTATTCAAAGATGCAATCACTTTAAACTCTCTTACCCAAAGTCACTGTTCCTTTCCACATGAACCAGGAACCTTGGGATCCAGTAGGAACGTAATCTCCTCAGCATGTCGTACTGGGTCCTCGCGAACAGATCCTGTGTGAGCCCCCCTTCATATAGTGCTCTCTCTATCTGTTCCTATGGATAGATTTTATATGCATTATGAATAAATTATAACTTGACAGAGGAACATGAAATAACTTTCAAACGGACAGAAAATCGTTTACCTTTGCGTCTACTGTCAGGAAGTTTTTATACTTGTCCTGAATTTCTCTGAGGAGGAAATAAATTTAAATAAATTATGACTACGCATTGAATTATTAAACTGAACAGGCAACCATATCTCTTCTTACGTTAAAAACCGTATCTTGAAAAGTCACACAAAACCAGTGTCAGCAGAATAAACGTTGCGTGACATACTGACTGAAGTTTGCCAAAGAGGCAACGGGGACATTTGTTACATTTCGTTGCCGGATCAATCTCAGTGTCTGAGAAACTGCGCAGCTACCCCTCCCTTAACCCAACAACAGTCGACTGATAACAAGTTAGGGCTATTGTTGGGTTAGGGGAGGGGTAGGTGCGTAATTGCTCAGATATTGACATTGATCCTCGTAGCCTTTACCAATAATGAAAAGAAGATGAAAACTTCAAAAAAGCGTCATCTTACCGGAACAATCTTGTCATCTGTTCTCGTAGTGTATCCTCCGGTTCAGACTCTAAACTGTCTTTGTATCTCTCGGCGTCCAGCCAAAAATTAAACAAATGTTTTCCAGACTTGTCTTCTAAAAATGTCTTGAAAAGTTCCATGCCTTGTAGCTGTGAAAATGTCACCAAGGAGAAAAAAAGGTATCATAACAGATATAATTACATACCAATACGAAACAAAGTAATAATTATATCATGAGCGTAAGACTTCAGTTACGTAATAATTGATGAGGGCGAAGCCCAAATCAACAGTCACGCATAGAAATTGAGAGCGAATAATCTAACTGGTTTAGTTTAACTCATCTATTAATTCAAAACTTTACATCAAGAAAAGCTCATGGACCTATTTTTTCCTGTTTACAAAATCAGGCTGTTTGGCCTCTCCCTTACTCACTGTCAATCACAGGATCCTTTGTAGAAGGGGCACGACGACATGTGCCTCACTCCCACAGTTCCGCGCGGTGCATTAATATCAATTTGTTTTCTTTCACGTTTTTTTTTTACTCGCAAGGATTGACTGCTGGTAGTTTAGGAAAATGTTTCTTACCGATCCCAAAACTTCTCTCTTTAGTTCTTCGATTGTCATTTGATGTTTGCTAGTAATGTTTTTAACATCAGCTTCTGTTTGTGCTTCATCCAAATCATCTTCGTCAAACGCCACAACAGCACCAAGCTCATTATCCGGGAAATCTGAGAAGTCGTCTTCTGCCTCAGGTTCCTCCGTTTCTTCCGGTTTGATTTCCAAATCCTCGTTATTTGGGGGATCTGCGAAAAAAAAAAAACCGAAAGAAAATTATGAATAAGGTTCTTTTTTTCCATTGAGAGAAGATTTCAATTTATTTTATAACTAACTTATTTTTGTTCATCATAAATTTTATTTTCGAGTTAAGAATAGAATCTTCCCCTCCAGTACCATGAAGTGTTCTAAGAACTTAAAAAGGAAGGAATTAAAACATTTTAAAAAAATCGCTTAACCTTTCCGACCAAAATATTCAAAATTAAGATCGATCACTTATAGTGGGCGCTGGATGCGTTTTCAAAATAGAGTAGGTTCTCATTGGTTGCTTGTGATATTCACCATTGATTTGATTGGCTGTTGTTTTCGTTGTGATTACCACACCCTGCGTAGAAAAGCGCTTTGACACAATGACACCTGACTTACCGTGAGTCTTGGCCTCATCTTTAAGCGTGACACTTTTTGCTCTTGCCTTGCGCTTTTCGAGTGTTGATTCGTCCTTATCGATTTCTTCGTTTGTCCTGGTCACGCCAGTCACGTCGTCACCATCAATTCGTTCCTCAGTGATCACGGCTCCTTCAAGAGAGGAATCGGATTGAATATCAACTTGTTTTGATTGCATCCTCTAACATCAGTCTGTTTTCTCTCCATCCCCTGGTTCAATGTTGTACTAAATACAGGGAGTGGGAAAGGTGGGGGGGGGGGAAGAGAGGTGGGGTTGTTGAAGCTGTTTTGAAGGGGGAAAAGCTATTCTTATCAATAAATAAGGAAATCAGGTTAAAATACAGCAATCAGTGAATCACCTGAATATTTTTGCCGGTGATGTTACCTATGGGGTATCATAATACCAGCTCTTCTCCCAGTTACTATCTGTGATACTAGGCCACGTTATCACCACTTCCGTCTACTACGTGTATAATAGACTATGGACACTCAACAGTCTGACTACTAATCTAAGGAACCGGAGGGAAGGGGGAAGGACAGAGGATATTGGTTGTATCACAACACAATTTACCTGAACTAGCCCCCTTTCCCTCTTGTCTCTCTGGTATTTTAATAATCCCCCCCCCGCCTCATTAATTGTCAATGTTCTATAGTTCCTCCTTTTAAGTTCTTTTAGCGACTTTTGATCCCCCCTTCGTCCCCCCAAACATCCTCGGAACACCCTTCCCCCCCCTTACTTCGGCGATAAAAATAACTGATTCCTAAAATCAATGCTGGTGACGTCTCGTTTGTTCGATTTGACAAACGGAAAATCATATTTAACAAACACGGGAGTCAAACAACAATACCGTAATGATTCGATTTTAACACCAATAAACACCCCCCCTCCTCGAATTTGTTTTTTATTGATAAGCGCCCCTATTCCACTAAACGCCCTATTCCACTAAACGCCCTATTCTGATGGCACTGTTAGGATACATGTACATGTCTATTGAGATCAACCGTGGTTTACCTTCTTTTAACAGCTCATTTATAGCCTCACTGCAAAAAACAGCTGCCCTCGTCTCAGTTTCTCAACAGAGATATGTGCGCTCACAATCCATGTGAGTGCACAGTTCTTTCAAACGAATGATTTCGTCGGCTTTTCGTTCTCGCCAGGAAAGATCGAGAAATAACAAGCCCGTTTTCCAGTTTTCTTCATCGTTTTCAAATATACAACAAGCTCTGTTTCGCATATTCTTCTGTTTCTCGAAAAAGAAATAAGCACTCTGTCCTTAATAACCGCCCTCCCTTTACGTACCAGAAATAAATAAGCGCCCCGGGCGCTAAATCGAATCACTACGGTACATCCTAATAACTCTCTTTGTGACGCGTTGCTCACCTTCCATTTTTTCTTCCACATCTTTATTGCTTTCTCTTCCATTTTCTTTCTTCTGAATCGTTTGGCCGTTAGGTGCCATTCCCAAATTCATCATGGCAGGCAAACTTGTCGCGCTGCCCAGCGGCCTCCTTCCATAATGACGAATCAAAATACCTGGCCATGATTGGTTAGAGGCACGACTTGATGGACGGACTACATTCCCAACTGGGCTAAAAACGGTATAACTTGTGGCACGACTGTACCCACCCAGGCCCCGACTGCTGACACGCGCTGTTCGATTTTCGAGCGTGCGCAGAAGGAGACGGCAGAGTTTGTATTCGAGATAAAGACGGGTTCTAAACAAGTAAATGTTAGGTGAATAGTTAGAAAAACTGAATAACTGATGCAAAAGAAAAGATTAGAAATAAAATATTACAGAGACAAAGAATTGGCACGTTTTAGTCCTGGCTTATTTCCCCTCAAGAAGACGGCGAATATTGTGGATAGCAGAAATAATGTTGAGGAGAAATTTTGTAAGAGATAATGTGAATGGGAATATGTTGAGAGAAAGAACAGTGGTCAAATTTACACTGAAATGATCCCTTTCGATTTCAGTCTATTGGAAAAAAACAAATCATATAGACTTCTTTCATAAATGGTGGGCTAGGCCGCTGTTCCTTTCCATCCATGTTCTCTGGCTTTTCTGGTCTTAAATTGCTTGTTTAAAAACAATCGAATCTGCACTCAAATTCGAGGCCAATAAAGCTTATTTGCAAGCACAAAAAAGAGTAATAGTCATGTTCGACAGAGAACTCTGCCATTTTTTTTATTTTCCCGCCAAAATAGTTGCCAGTAGTACCCCCACCCCACCCCCACGCCGATTGGACATTTACTTCTTTGTCTTCATTTCCCAGTTAAAAAAAATATCGTCAGTTAACAATTTCACTTGAAATAAAGGTTGAACTTCCTTCATTGAACATCCCTACAACCAATAAACTAGCGTAAAATAATTGAAAAAGTAGCGGATTTATGTGAGAACCTGGCGCATTTCCCGCCATAAAGACACCGTGAATCCGATCAGTTGTCCCTCAAACTGTTTCTTGAATTACAACACGACGAAGTGCGAGAGAGTTTTCTGCATAAACTTTCTAGTTTAACCTATTTTCTACAGGTGAGAAAATTATTCCAATACCACCACCATGTTATTACTTCAGCACTGAGCACCGAGAAAGAAACTTATAAACGGCAAATAATACGTAAATTTTCGATTGCTTCGAGTATAAGCACTCAGTCCTGTTAAGTTAAAGACACACTATTTAGTATAATTATACGTCTCACAGTCCCGTGAAATTTTGATATATCGCTGTTCTTCAGGGACGAAACAAGGTAGTGAAATAAACATTCGCCGCATTTGTAAAGGAGCCATTATAGCTGATAAATGCAAGCAGTGACTTGGAAAATATCGCATAACTTAGGACCGCCTCAAATTTAAGAAAAAGCATTACTACAAACTTCGCCTACTAGCTTTTTAAGGCTTTCGATGACATATTTTAAGTTTCTAGAGACACAATAATATCTCGGCAATGTTTCCGATCTTTCCACACTCTTATCTGTTCATAGATGGTGGATTTCAACACTTCACGCAACGAAATCTACTCTTTGAAGTACCCCCAAACTTTTTCCTGGGTTAAAACATTTTTTCTTGTAGCTTAGGTTAATAATTTGCCAGTTTTTTTTTTTTAAATTCAAAGTTCCCATAAGTTATTTGACATCAGAGCCTCATAGAAACACTGAGAATTCTTTATGGTGCATTTGGCACCATGTACGTGTATATTGGTCACCTGGGCCACCAAAACACAACTGACAGATGAAAGAGTTTTATAACAGTTTCACGGTAAATTTTGATTCTCACACAGGGTTATTTAATTCACTGGGTCAAGCAAGAACTCCATTTGTAATTTTCAAAGGGAGGTTTAGTTGAAGTGATTTATTACATGCTTCATATATTAATTAAAGTACAGTATTCACCGGTTCTTTGTTCACTGACCCTTTGACCCCAATGAGTGACTAGCCTGCAGAGCAGGAATAATTTTGGCACGAGAGAGCTCAGTATTTTCTTAACGAAAATTATGGCTGCCATCTTGATTTTAATGGCAGCACAAGGCTGGGGAGAGAAAGAAATTTGCACCCAGGGGGCGTTTGGTGATCAAAAATAAGGAGAAGGGTAGGGGTAGGGTGGTGAAAATTGTCTTCTTGCCCTTCCACCACCCCCTACCCCTACCGTCCACTCTAACTCCAAATTAAACATATGGCTGGTCCAAAAATTGATTGCGAGTTTGTAAGATTAGTTCAACCTATTAAGACGCCTGCACTGCAAGCTAAGGAGTGACTAGCATCTTTTTTCTGACAATATCACCTCTAAATCACATGTTAAGGTCACAAAAATATGATCACCATGATCATAATAAAATAATCACCATATAAAGAAGCTCTTGATTGTTAAACAGCTTCTCCTTATCACAGTCCTTAGTAAATGTATAAAGTTCAACAATATGGAGAAAATACATTCTGTCTGCTGCTAGGTCATAAAGTGTTAAAAATGCAGTCCTTACCTCACAAACAATGGCAGTCTCTCTGTTTTCACCCATGTAAAGGACTTCTCTCTCTGTTTTGTGTCAGCTTCTGGGTCCTGACTTGGTTTTAAATCTTTGAAATCGCTGTCAGTCTTTCCAGTGAAATCCCTAAAAGTCCCAGATAGTGGATCATACTGCAGTTGCTTGGTGAAAGCCTGATACAAAGAAATTGCAAGGTACCTTAAAGTTATTTAGAGAAAAAAATTTATTGTAGAGTTTTGGATACATCTCTTAAAAATAATGTTCATATAGTTCTTTGTTAATTGCATAATTATGAAGTATCTTCGGTATAGATTTCTTTGATTTAAGGGCTTTAAAAAGAATGCACAACTTTTATATTATGCAACTGACTTATACAATGTTGCAGAAAGAGGTCTAAAATTTATTTGCTGAAACTGTGCTTTAAATAATTTACGTGTACCTTGAGACAGGTTACTCTTAAGATTACTGGTAGTTCAGGAAAGACTTGCATAATTAAATATAAACTTTTCAACAACACAATATACATTTGTACGTGCAAAATTCATGTTTACTTAATAATCCAAGGCCCCATAGGGGATTAGAAAGGGAAAGATAAACCAGACTTATTTTATTATGTGAATTGCTGAAAGGGAGTCCCTGGGTGCATGTTAGGCACCTGTGGTATGAAAGAGTACTGCATAGGTAATGGTAAAGTCAGCTCAGGAGACTATCATCCTCCTTCAACTTAATCCCCCTTTCAGAAGCATGAAGCAATTACAGGGGAGTAACAGGGTTATCAAAACAAGCTGGTGTCACTGCTGAAGTTCCAACGGCTACTTGATAACATATTGCTGGGTACTCTGTTCAAAATCATTACCTTTTGGCCCTTAATGAACCCTTTACAGTCACTTACTTTTGTTGAGTCTGACACCCACTTCAAAACCATTTGAGACCCCTGAGTAAGTCAGTGTTGCTTAACTCTGGGCCCTGGATAGAATGCTTAGACTCCATTGCAGGGTAATTGCTAAGAGTTAGCCAAGTTACTCAGACAGTTTTTCTATACTCATCTATACTCCTGAGTGGAGAGTCAGGCTCCGTTAAACAGGAGTACTCCCAGTAAAAGATGAATTTAATTGTTGAAGCTAAACTAAAAGACTGCCCAAAAAAGAAATGTAGGTATATCTAACAATATTTGTTGGATTATTAAGTTTCCTTGTGAATAAAAGTATGTGGCATGATAAATTAAATATAACATAACCTGCGTACTTACCGGCAATGCTAAGAAAGCATTGAAGTATTCCACAAAAATCTCATCAAATGCCAATCTATCTTCTAGTGTTTCATCAGTAATTTTAAGCCCTAGAAACATTTGATAAAAATGAACTAATCAACCTTTAAACAACCCTAATTCTCTAGCTTGTGAGTCTGATAAGAAATAAGTTTTAAGAAAAACTTCAGATATAGGAATTATTTCCTTGTTGTTGTTGTGTTAGCTTTAGACAGATAACTATAGACAACAAATATTTTAAGTTTGTGACTTTGTGGTTTATTCATGGTCCTGATCTCCATGTATGATAAGTCAAGAAACAAAATTACTACAATTTTTTCAGGCGTTTATGGTTGATATAACGGTATATCCCAAAAATTTAAACCCAGTATATTTTTGAGGAAGTGCTGGCCATGAATGATTGTGTACTAAAGTTACATTAGTCAATACAGAAAACCCAGATTGAGGGTTGTGGTGTGGGGGGAGGGGGGGGGGGGAAGAAGGGAGTTGCCAACAAAATTTTGTTTAGACACCTCATGGTTGAATCCTATCATGCCCCTTGTTTAACCTTCTATTTAGAATAAAGACACTTCATCCCCTTTCTACCCACTGGCAGATCAATACCATGTTGTAACAAGAAAAGAAGGACAATTAGGCAGTTTTTTGGTTAATATCTTGTAATAAAAAATGTCGTTATCCATGTTTGGTTAGCATAGAGTACATGTAGTTGAGGAATGTGACTTCCTCAACCAATACTCCTTCTCCTCCTTTAATAGGAGGTTAGGATTCATTGCTGATCAACCATGTCATGTTTTACCCTCAAAATTTGCCCTGATCCAGTTATGGTACAGTGATTCACCCTTTAAACTCTATGAGTGACTAGCATCTAATTTTTCCCTATAATATCACCCTGAATCACACATTAAGGTCATGAGAATAAAGGAAATGATCACCAATGAGAGAAACATTTGATGGTAAACAAATTCTCCCTGCCAGCACCTTAGGAAATGTACAAAGAACAGAATGGAGAATATGCATACTGATGTGAGGGTGTAAAGGGTTAACTATAAGAACCTGATGCAGTGAGATGTATAATTTGTGCTTGTGACATCCCTAATTGGAGGGGGAGGAAGGTAAGGTACTTAAATCCCCCTTCCTCACCCCCTTCCTTATAAAATTAAATTATCCTTCCTTAAATTATGTCTCCAGTTTCCCTGGAACAGATGAAACATTTCAATTAAGCTTTCTTAGTCTTCATAGTTTTTAGCTGCTAATTTTTCCGCATTCAGTAGTGCTGTGGCCATAATCAAATTTGGCCACCATAAAGAGTTAAAAGCTGACATTTCAAGTGTTTGCACTTTGTTATCACTCCGACAAAGGGCCTGTTATCCTCTACCACCAACGCAGCACAGTTTCTTTCAAAACATACCCCCTTTATTTGTTTGCCATTAAATGCCAGCCTGATTCAAAATATCAATCTTAAGCTTACTGAATTTAGCAATTCCAAATGACTCATCTTAACATGGATGCAAGTTGGGTTCACCTGCAAACACCTAGCAATACATTTGTCATGAAGCAATTTGCCTGAAGGTGCACTGCATCTGCTTGATCTACAGAATGTGACATGCTGAGTTCGCTAGGTGTGCTATACACTGTTTGTGTCTGTCAACCTGTCTGACGTATGTTGGACAGCTGGGAAAATGTTTCTGACAGTTTGACTGAATGTGTAAAGAGTTCCTCACCCTACATTAAAGATATTTTGGAAAACGTTCCCTTATGACTTTGCTGCTTTCCGAAAACACGCAAATCGGTGACCGGAAATGAACAGAAGCACGAAAGCACAAAAGCAACATTTTCAAAACCGGAGGAATTTTCCAAAGAACAACTCTATCTTACATTACTCGTCTTGCCTAAGATACTCGTTTAAAGATAGTCAATAATTTCCATTCTTTCTGCGTCGATCAACGCCACACAACTATGTAAATAAGAAAGTATTAACATATTCTTTCGAACTCTATCATGCGCTAGCGTGCTGAAGGTAAAGGAACAAGACTAATTAACGAAGTTTTATTCAGCCACATGCTAGAATTAACTTCTATATCGTGTGAGGGCTAAAAGAACAGCTGCCCTTAACTTTTTGAAATCATTATGAACCAAAAGAGGTGTAAAAATTATATCGCAATAATCTGTTATTGAATTTCGAAACGAGTGTCTGTTTATGTAAATACAAAGACAAATGGTATGAGTATTGTTATTCATCCTGAGGGTTATTTAGTGTATGAGGGAATATGGTTTCATATCGTATAAAATGTTGTTTCTATCCATATTAGATGTGAAATCGTTTGAATATTAACGCAAGCGGATTGTAGCGGTGAAATCGCGATAGATCTTCAAAATCAAAAAGCCACAAGGACACTAAAAGTTGAAGCGATCCTTCAATAACCCGCTTCGGAACAAACGTACCTTTCATGATAACTGATCTTTCCTCTGCTCGTCGCGAAACTTCTGTTGAAGGATTCGCTCATATTTCCTCAGCCTGAGTCGCTTTCCCTCAACAAATTCATAATTGTAATTTTCCTAGTTAACTTTCAGACCATCATTGCCCCGCGAGTCTGCCGCTATGCTTTGGTGGGATCTGTTGTCAGGGCGACAAGAAGCTTTATTGTTTTAGCGCTTGGAATAATTAATCGCTTGAGTTGATTTCCCTCATTCATCAATCTTCATTCACCACGTTAGCCATCTAGATATCAATTCTCCGTCACTGTCTGCACACATTTCTTACTTCTTAGTTTTAAGAACTTAACGTTAAATAAAAAAATATTTGAAACAATAAATTGATCTCTCCTCGTCACCTTCTTCGCTTGACAACTAGTTCATATTGTGAGGAGAAATTCGTTTTCGGTCATTCCCCGTCGTGAATAGTTTATTATAACCTGGAGTCAAATTTCCGTCAGTTGTTTTTGTAGTTCACACTGAGTTGGAGAAACTGGATAGCCTTTCGTAGTTTTGTAGAGAGCACGTGAAATGAAGCATGATCGTGAAACGTTATGCGTGAATTGGTTAAACCCATGCGCGTGTTACGTGACGTGAAGAGCATGTTGGATTGACAGGGGGGTTGGTAAGGAAACGTTACTGTTGACGAGGTACATTCCTATTTTATTGTTAGGTCATTCTCCCCATTTTTTTTTTTCAATTTTGACATTTTTTTCTCTAAGGGTCCTCATGTTCCTACGTGTCTTAGTATCGTGACCTGTATCCTGTTAATTGTTGTCATTTTGAATTCGTCTCAGTATTGCGACGTCACACATGGCTGAACCAACTTCGTCTAAAGATCAAAGGTGACCTTGTGTTTCGCGATGACTATGTACGTGACATTCCCTTCGGTCAATGACGCATGCGGTGGATTAAATGTAATACAACTTAAATCGTAAAATATTCGTCATCAACCTTTAATAAAGACTGGTTGCGAAAACTGACTAAATGCCACATAACTGCAGCGATTTCAATAAATTTTTCCATAAACGGCTGCAGCTGACGATGTAATAGGCGGTTGCGTCCAGAAAAGGGAACGTAAAGCCTCTTTCCCTTTAGGAGTCAAGGGGCTGACAGACGGCCTGCGGTAAGAGGTCTTACGGGCGGCGTTTGGCCGCCGGTAACCGGCTTTTAAAATAACCAGAGATAGTTTATAATCCCGTGTTAAAATTTTGGCATTTAGCCATAGTTCAGTATTAAAATTAAGGCTTTATTTAGACACTGCGGCGGGATCACTGGCAAAGTTAATCTATAAAAATTTAACCGCTGACCATTATTGTATTCGTGTCTTTCCCCCTTTCCCCCCCCCTCTCCCCCCCTCCTTACCCCTTTACCCGTGTAAAAAGAAACTGTGGTGCTGCGTCGATGGGAGAGTATAACAGATAACAGGGTAATTTAGTATTATCAACTGAGTTGATAACTTAAATTGGTGCAGCTTTTAAACTCTTTACGGTGGCTGATTCCTCTTACTCGAGTAGTCAGTCTGGTCAGGGCGAGTGGGTGGGTCACCATGAAATGTGTCTATACTTTCCAGTTTTGTACTACACGTTTAGGACTATTGAATATGGATTTTAGTACTCGGATGGCTGGAACCCAAGTAAATGGCTTCTGCGGATTGTTTATTATCCGAATAGGGTCTATCCAGAACTTACTCTGATTTTTCTTTTTTCTCACCTCTCAAACGACGCGCAAATTGATTCGAGTTCAAGAAGAGGAATGTCAGATATTTAAGGTGTATGATTTGGCAGTGACTTGAAAACAAACTTATACTAATGTGGTTTATCTACATTACTGAAGTCAAGCATTGTTTGTCGCAACGAAGGTTTTACTGATATTTTGTGTTCGTTTGCGTTCTGTTTTGGTTCTGTTTTGTTTATGTTTTTTTGGAGTGTAAGAGCATTTAGCATTTCCTCTGGTTATCACTTTTTGGTAACATCATTCAATGTGAATTGTCCTCTACGCCTTAGAAAATAGTAATTACTGCGCGTAATTAAAGCGCTAAACTGTGATCTGGAGTGTTAGCTTATGCAGGTAGAACACCAGTGTAGAAGTTACAAATCTTGTAAACCTCTGTAAACTGCGTCTCTTTCGCCCCGTTTATAAGCAGGTTCATCGCACTTGTGTGGATAAATGTAATTTTCAAGATGGTAAATTTTGAGCGTGCTGATAAGTGAAAGATGATAATGTTATTCAGTGAGTGACAGGCATACTCAACGAATGCTCCCGATTGGACTCAAACCTGCGACCTTCGGATTACTAGAGCATCTGAAGGACTTATCAGAAGCTAGAGACTATAAACTGTTCATAACATCTTATCGGAAGGTCATAGTAGCTTTCAACTCTCTTTGGGAGCACTCTGAGTTCTTTTTATCCAAGTATGCTTGAGTGATTCACTAAATAACATCATCTTTCAAATGTACATTTCTTTCTCATGGTCAAGATATTGAATCAAAATAAAATCACAAAAGGCACTAATTGCTCTAATGCGTTTGGAATTTTGGTGGGAGGATTGAAGGCATGATGAAGTAGCAGATGATTTCATCTTCGTAGATTCAACGGCGAACTTCATGGAGCAAAAGATATTTGATCGCAAATGAAATAGGATTTGTTCACTTGAATTCAATGCCTTGGCCGTGAATGAAAATCTCTTTTTTTTTTTTTATCTAGAATACCCTTTACTGCGATCCGCCACTAAAAACACGCAATTATAATGTCAAAGAAACAATGCTGACGCACGATGACCTCCCATGACAACGCTTCCTTTTTCATAATAAACACTTCTAACCGTGAAGAGTTATTGGCACGTGACCTGTTTCCATGTCACAATATAATTGAACTGTAGAACAAATCAGCTAGAGCAGGTGGGCGAGTCGAAATCACGAAACGGAAATTTTATATTAATGTACTTCCTCTTTTACCGGCCTACTCAAAGTTTTTTTCCTCTTGCTTTATCCTTTACAGCGAAGCAGCAATCGTGGATATATCAGTTTTACTTTTCTACGGTAAAAACTTTTAACCTTTTAATTGGGTGCTGTAATCAGTATGAATACACCATTTGGGCATATCATTTTCCGCTGAGAGCTTTTTTCCTGTCCTCTATGACACCATTGGTGATGCTGCAATCAATGATTTTATCTCATTAGATTAGGCTACGTAGGAGTTCGTTTTTCTCGGGATACGACTATCAGAGCAATTGAGTTCTTACTGCCGTGACGCTCAGTGGTCTTGGCCCTGATTGCCAATCAAGGGTCTGAGGCTTGAATGTAACGAGGAAATCAGATTTTTCTCCACGTTTTTTGAGATTACTTTTTGAAAACAGTAATGCTTCTGGAACAAATCATAAGCTAAATAAGATAGTTTCCTGTCCTCACCTTGAAGTCCAAAATTTTATATTTACCTGCAGGTCTAGCTTCAAAGGAGGAGCCTAAGAGCGAATAAGATTTATCAAAAATTATATTTACAAATGAATATATAAACAATAAATAAACATCTTTCACCATAGAACGACCTAGCTTAGCATCCAATGGCTGAAGGCTCATTTTCAGTTTTCTTCAGGACTCATTCGCTCCAGGCCTGTAACATATGACTTGTAAATATTGTCCAAGCATTTCTATTCATCATCAAAAGCTGAGAATCTGAGAAAAAAAAAACCTTTTTTTCCAAAGCTTTCATCTTCGGTTTCACTCTTTAATAATTTTTCTTCTCGTTTTCGTTTTATTTATGCTGATAATTCTTGGCGTTGCATGTGTTGTCGTGTCACAACATAGCCTGCTCTCAGAAATTGAATGTTTCTTGGAAAGTATTCATTTCCCACATCATACGAATAGTTTAGTTTTTTATAATTCGAAATAATTTTGGAAATCAGGCCTGCCATCACAATCGCCGATTTTGTTATAATAGGTTTCAAAACGAAGTAGACCACACTCACATACACTTATGTATTATTTTAATACAGGGGGTAAGTTTCTAGAGAAACTGTGGTGCTGCTTTGGTAGAGTATATTACAAGATAATTTGGCTAACTTCTCTCAACTGAGCTGATAGTGTAAATTGGCCACTGTAAAGAGTTTCTAAATTTGACGTTTCGAGCGTTACTGAGGCCTTCGTTATAGCGAAGGGCTAGGCTAACACGAAACGTCAGCTTTAGAAACTCTTTACAGTAGCTAATTTGAATAATCAACTCAGTTGTTAACACCAAATTACCATGTTTATTTTGTTATATTTGTGCTTAATAGCGCTATACTCACGAGAATTCAGTCTCGGGAGATTTAAAAGAGAATGCAAGCCAACTTGCAAACGCGCCCGCCGAGGTTCAATGTAAAACACGGTCAGAATCGGGAACTGCAATTGTTTTGCAATACCATCGTTTAAAATTAATTTTTATTACAAATATACTTCTTAAAGAAACTGTTTCTGGACAATTTTAGTTATTTACTCAGTTTAGTTTTTTTTTTTGGATTTTGTCACCCTTTTCAATGTGATATCCATCTCAATCTAAAAAGACCTAAACGGGGATCCTGGTTCTGATGGTTAACATAACTCGTTGCTCCTTGAGAAGCGGAGAAAAATGTTATGTGGCACTAGAAACTTAACGTTTCACTGATGAGTCATTATGGTCCATAATCGTGACACATCATGTTAAAACCCTTCCTTTACACAACATCCGTCCCCAATTTAATTTTTCCATCTGAGAACAATCAAGGAACATCACGCGGCGAACAATAAGTTCTGTCAGGAGCTCATTTATGGGCTCCTGTTTGTGTGGAATCACGATATGATACCTCATCGACAACTCCCCAATCATCATTCAATTGTTTAACTCTTCGTAGAAGAGCAATCAAGGAATATAGCTGACAATAAGTTCTGTCAGGAGCTCATTTATAGGATCCTGTTTGTGTGGAATCACAATATGATAGCACATCGAGAACTCCCCCAATCATCATTCAATTGTTTTGTCGGTTGGTGAGAGCCAAACTTGATATTAACAATGAAAACTTAACGCCTTTCGCGAAATTGGTCGTTTTATTGCAAACAACTCTTGAAAGATTTTGTTTGAGGTTTATTTTTTTCTCGAAAAGCTTTGTTTCGTGACGAAGGGGTCTTGCATGTTTGAAAAGATTGCGGGACTCAAAAAAAGGAAAAACGCAACGTTCGTAAAAATATTTTTTTGTCAGTATTGCTAAACGAATCAAGTTAAGCTTTTTGACAACCGTTATAGTGTTTGCGTAATTAATGGTTCTACGTACAACACCTGCTGATTTGGCGATTATATATTTTTGGTAATTAATTTCGCTTTTGGGTTTTTTTTCAAGCATTTTACATACTTAAAAGAACCCTACTTGATCTTACCTTCTCCTGTCTACTGGTAAATGCGGATAACTTTATCATTTTTCGGTCAAAACCCTTGAAGAAGTATCTTGTGAAAATAAATGAACAATAACTAAAACCAAACTCTGTCTTTTGTCGATTATTTGAGTTGCAAATTTTTTTAAAATTTACAATAAAACGTCATTAATGGAACATTACCCAATCAGGGAGAGAGCGATTAAAGGCGAGCCGTAAAACAATAATTTGCAAGCTATTTTGGTCAGTGCAACAAACTCCGTCTTAACAAAAAGACAACAGTCGCTGAAAAAATTGCACTTTTTGTTCGATATTAGCACCTAGAAAGTTGAGCTTTAGGAAACTTTGAAAGCGTGCTCCTACTCTCTTCATGTAACACCTCATTGAATCTTTTGTGCGGTTTATGCAGTGAAGTGAATCGAATCTGGCATATTTGAAGTCGTAACATATTTGATATTTGAATGTAAATGCCGCAAGAAGCGCTGAGGTCATTATCGTTTTCCCAGATTATCGTGGAAAACGTGGGTCAACAAAGACCTTAGTGGGTCAACCAATCGATTTACTTTTCTAATCGCCGACTATCTTTCGAGTCACGTAAAAGTAGACGAAATGGAACAGTTCTAAATTAACAGACTGTAACTTGAGATCGATTTACGACGTGTTTATGTTGTGAAGATTAGTACAGGTTACATCTGGTAACGTTTTAAGCTCTACGTGAACCCATCCAAAGTCCATAGGTTGGTCAAACATTTCGCTCCGGTCACATCACGCGCAAGGTAGACCCTAAATAACTACACGTGCACCCCTGGGAGACAAAACAAACCAAAAACACTGGCGCCATCGTAGTATCAAGAAGGACAAGGTTCCCTAGAGATGGCTGATTTGAGCAGTGAGGCAAACTTAAGTCACGAACATGCCGGTATCCAAAAGCACGATGAAGGATTCAAGATCGCAATCTTAACGTGTCTCGGTGTCGCTGCTGTGGTGGGACTTTTGGGTAATGGACTTGTAGTCGCAGTTATTTTACGAGCGAAAAAGATGCGTTCTGTGATGAACCGCTTCATACTTCATCTAGCAATCAGCGATTTGATTGTGAGCACTGTCGCTATCCCGTTGTTTTTGGTGGTCAACTTCAAAGAAGGTATCGGAATGAAAAGCTACAGTTTGCCCATTTGTAAGGTCGCCAGGTTTTTCCAGTACCTGTCACCCGAAGCGTCCATGACTTTGCTCATCACAATCGGATGGAATCGCCACCAAGCTGTTGTGCATCCATTAAATATCATGTCATATGGCACAGCGAATAAGCTGATTCTCGGCGCTTGGGTCTACGCGCTTCTCGTCGTGTCGCCAAGCTTGTATTTGACTGTATTAAAGGACGCTCCTCTGGATCCCAACACAAACGAGACCTTCACCTATTGTGCAACCATTCCTGCTACTACTTTACCAGGTCTCATTTACGTGATGTTCCTCGGGTTGTTTGGGTATTTGTTCCCTTTGGCTACCTTAATCGTCCTATACGGAAAAATCTACCGGACAGTTTGGAGAAGGAAGAGTGGCCAGCTAGGAGACTCGCGTCCGGTGGAGGCTTTCATCCGCAGCCGTAAGAAGGTACTGAAAATGTTCCTAACGGTTATTCTAGTTTTTCTTGTCACCTGGCTGCCGTTGTTGATTTATATTAGTGCGATTGAATGGACCGTGAAAAGTACCACGAGTCATGTGGATTATGTGCGACTTATTACGTATTCGTTGGGATTGTGTAACAGCATCTGCAATCCTTTTATTTACGCGCTTTTTAACGGGAAGTTTCGAGCTGGTTGCAAAGACATGTTCACGTGGAGCGTGAACGCTGCGCAACGCGGAAAGAAAAGCCCGCACGGAGAAAACGTGGCGGCGAACGGGGCCAGGCGAATACGAGAGGCGCAGAACGTGTTTACCAGACGGGGCGGTTTTCATGGTACTAAGGGAGATGAAAATAAAAAACCGAAAAATTCATCCAAGAAGGAAGAGGAGTCGACGAAAGAGTCAACGCAAAGTAGCTCCTTGTCAGTAAATAATATTATTGGGCGGCGTTTTAGATCACTCACTGATGTTGACTGTTATAAAGGCAGTGGCTCGACAGAAGTCATTGAGTTAGTACGCTATAAAAAGACCATGGATCCTGACGAAGTCTTCACTGACTTTTCGCAATCTTCACCGAAAAAAAACCGAGCAAAGAACGGCGATAACCTTGTTAGATTTGCAAATGAGGGATATTCACCCATCATGACCAACGGTGACTCTGATGCCTCAGGGAATCGGAAGGTTGAGAAATCAAAAGACGGATATAACATCTTGAAGGAGGATCCTGCTTCCCTTATTGCGGAAAAAAGAGAAAGAACAAAGAGCGAAGGCTATGATTATAAGAAAACCAAGCGAGGTCTCCCAGAGCAAAGAATTTTCAGTATGCCTGCTGCATTTCATTAACTTGTTTTGGCCAAGGACTGCTGTAAAGATTATTCTTTGGAAATGAAGACCTCCTTCGTCGATTAGAAACGAGCGATGAATATGAACTAATCGAGGACAAATTAGCGTAACAAGAAGATGAACGCGATTTATTCCCAATATCCGTTATAGCTGTGAAGCAGGATAGAATGGTTTATAGTATAGCAGGTTCAAGTTGCTCGATGTTTTTTCTCGATATTTACCGCCTGTAGATTGCAAGGGCATGGAAACAAATATTTCAAGACTTTTTTGGCCTAAGATCGTTAGAGATAAGATCTTTGCTTTTCTTTTGATGTCCTGCGAGGGTTCGGAGAGTAGAAAAAGCAGATTACGAAAGGCTTATCTCGCTGATTTTGATAAATGTCATTATTTGTCCAGCTGCTATGTTTGAAAGTGTTTCCTTTATGCGTGAAAACAAAGCGATTCTCGCTGCGTTAGGAAAAAAATAATCGCGTGGTCCGAATTTGTTAATTTTGATATTTGTTCAAACATATATCAGTTTTACGCTTTCAGTACTTAAAACTTGTCTTACTGCCATCGTCAATAATGGAAATCCGTTGTTAAACAACTCTATCATTAGCGAATTATCTGCCGTGATCTTAAAGGAAAACGTCCGCTGTGTTTTCGCGAAAGCTGTCGTGGAATCATCGAAAATTTAACTTCAAATTTAACCTAAATCACTATGTTTCGTAATGTAAAGTTTTATTATAATTGAGTTAAAAATCATTTCCCGGAACAGATAAAAATCAACTGACTTTTTCCGATAGCATCGCATGATTATGATTCAGTTAGAATCTTCGTAATGGACAACGGAAATGACTGTTTGGCATTAGCCATTATCTTTAAATTATTCCTTATTGTTTTAGGGCCGTGAATATTATTGTGACTATTTTTCCCAAGGCAGATTGAGGTCTCCATTATTTAAATTTCTTCCTATGTACAAAAGATACTTTTTATTTATAATCCTTTGTCGATACACGGTCGTGAGAAGATCATTCTCACTCACGGTGCACTCAGCGCGGTAATTACTAAATAAGAACCTCCCTATGTTTGGCACGGAAACTAAATCAGAGGTCACTTAAAGTTGAAAAATATCGCTAAGTAGTTCTCCAAAGATGTGCCATATCGAATAATCAAATTTTGGTTCTAGTTCATTCCAAACACAATATTTGGATATTGGAAATATAAAGTTTGTAGTTGGATGTTTACCATCAACATTCGTTACTATGTAAACGTAACTTTAAAGTTAGAATTTACTCTCGCGCAAACTAAGGGAAATATTTGTTAGCAAGTTTCATTTGAGTTATGCCAGGTTGTAAAAACTTGTGGAACTAAGATGTTGTTGAAACTTTCCTATTGTGATATTGTTACTCTTGTAGAGTTGGTAATTTAAGAAAACTCGAATATTGCCTCTGTGTCGTTTGATTACGGTTATTACTGAGACGTGACAATCTTGATCAACCGTGTCCTAAATTGTGTAATTCATCTCACGTTTGTCTTGTATTTTTCGCATAACGTAACCTTCACGATCACGAATCACATCCTTTCACGAATAACTTCCTCCTACAAATCACGTCTTTTCCTTTCTTCATACCTTGTTACGTCTAATTTCCCAATACGTTTTGCTTTAGGTTTTCCATTTTTAGTTCAAGAAAAAATAATGAGTAATAAAAAAAAAACAATTTTCCATTCTGAAGCCAGTCAATTAATCTACAGTCCTCCTACAAAACTTTGTTGGAAACGCAGGATAAGAATTACAACAAAAGAGAACGAAGATGTATATTTTTTTTCTTTCCACGCCATTTTTTGTATTAAAAGTCTAAAAAAATAGCGTTCGTGCGAAGGGGTTACTCTCCACGATCGTTTGCGTCCGTGACTGACGTAAATCAGTGATGTAAAATGCTCATGTTTGTCTTTTGCGGTCCATGTCAGTCTTTTTCATTCTCTTTTCTATGTTGAGTTTTATGAAATCTTTTTTCCGCCGCCTTACCGGCCTTTTTAGGTAGTTTTTTTCTCTAAAAAAAAAGGGACGCCAATTGTGTGCGGCAGGCAAAAAAGACAAAGCTATATATGCTGATGACATTTGAACTGACTACTAACGCGTTTACTTCTACGGCTAATTACTTTATTGGTTTGGTCTCTATTGCTTAAACTGAATTCAACGTCTTAATTCCCTAACTTGGTGTGTAGCTGTAGTTAAAATATCAAATCGATGAAAACGCGCAATGCCCTCTGAACTCTATAAACATGGCGTCATGCTGGGGTTGTTGCGCCCCTGAAGAAATCAAATTTGTGGTCGACATCAATCTGGGGAAATCGCTAACTCTTCTGGATCGATAAACTGTTAGCATAAACGACGGCGAAAATGCAAACTCTGCTCAGGAAAAAATAGCCGAGGGAAACAATAATGATTACGTCCAAGAGTAAATTATAACGACTCCATATTATCAAAAATACTGCTTTCGGTTGAAGTAAAATAGTCAAAACTATTCTAATTGCATTAGGAATTCAGTCTCAATCCCTTTTTCTGTTTTCTTTCCTCTTTACTTTTACTCAGAACGCGATATAATTTTGTTCTTGAAAGTTGGTGAGAGCCTGTGCAGTCATTTACAAATCTCGATCAGATTTACTGGATTGATCTTTCAGAGTACAATCCTGCGTGTGAACAAGCTCTCGTGTTTGAATTTCGACTTACGGCACAGCCGCTCCCTCACCAACAGCAGCGCTCATTATGGAAAAAGTCACCATTGTCGAGACCCCTGCAATTCCCAGACGTGTTAGCTTCAAACTCAAAAAAAACATTTCTAAGTGTCAGTAACCACGATGGACAGTTATGGTTTCGACCGACATATTACGAGATATTGAGAAGCATACGGATATCTAGAAGGTAACTGAAATAAATGAAATCTACTGGGTTCGTCTTCTGTACTAAAACAATGCATTAGGAACACTAACAAGATATTCCGTGAGAGAACAACGCTAAAATGCTAAAAAGCAAAAGAAAAAAATTCTTCGATATGCATTTTTTATTAATTTCCATGACGTTCAATTTTTTTTAAATCCATGCATACCCTCTAAATTTTTAAGATATTGTAGGATTTAGTAGCAATATTAAAATGTCTTCAGAAAGTAATCAACGACAAATATGAAAAATAACAATACAAAACTATAAAAATAAGTGAAGTGTAATTAGCTAAGCGAAGAAGCCCCGACCACATTCAATTTACCAATTCAACCTGTGTTTACTCTCTTTACCTTATTGTCAAACTTTGAATCAATGTCAGTATCTGAGCAACTACGCACCAACCCCTCCCCTAACCCAATGACAGTCAATTGCTAACAAATTAGGGTTGATGCTGGGTTAGGGGAGGGGTAGGTGGACAGTTGCTCAGATACTAACATTGACCCAAGTTTTCATAAGAAACTGAAATATTGACATGATAATGACTTTGTTTTTAAGTTAAAAAGATCAAGTACATTCTCAGACACATTGATGTCTTGTCCCGCCAGCTCGCGAATGAGACTTCTCAAAGTGGCCTGGTTTCATGGGCAAGCTAACTACTGCCTGACTTATTAAATGGAAATTAAAGTTTCTGTGGGACTGCAGAGCCTTAGCATTTTGATTCCCAAGATCTGATAGTTAATTCTCCTCACTAGCTGGTACAAATTTCCAAGTAAATAAGTTACGAGGATTTGGTGTCATATCAGGATAACAACTTCTACCTGATAAGTTTGCTTGTTACCTGTTTGCTTGATAAGAAGGTACATATGAATCACTGAAAATGGATCGTGCTGTCTCTATCGCTCAGGATTCTACGACTTCCGCGGCCTCTCTAAAGACTCACTTTTTTAATCTTACATCGAAATATTTCTGTTTTGTTCTTCTTACAAAAATCCATTCCAGTCAGTGTCTATGGCATGCAAATTTTTAGACCTGGAAATGAAATTATTAATTTTAAAACCAAAAGGTTATCACTTCCCCTAAATTTGCGTCAGTTGTTGGGCAAGACAATCGAGTCAAATCTCGTCAATCAGTAGGTGTATGGAATCACGGTTTTTTTTTTCCCGATTGTCGCTACATACAATATCCGCAATCTTCGTTCAATATTGTTGAATAAAGGATATTATTCTGTTTTCAAGGGCTTTCAAAGTTTAAGAACCGAGCTCGACGAACAATCGGAGTCCAGCAGGATTCACTCGAGTGTCACAAGATAACACCTTTGGTTAAATTTATCTTGACAAGGATTGGGAATACTTGTTGGAAAGTAAGAGACGATATTAATTTGGTTGCTGGTTAAAAATGACGGCAATTTGAGTTTTAACCACATAGTGTCAGCTACTTTCACTTGTTCCGTCATCATCTAAAGATTCCAACAAATGGTCCATATGGAAATATTCCGGGGGAACTCCACCAGAGGACGAAGACACACTGGACGTAGGAGAGGAAGGTAGGGCAACATCTGGTACTGGGTATATCTGTGAAGAGAATGACAAGATGTGTTTGAAAAAAAGAGAATACTTTATGGATAACCAATCAATTCAAGCTCATTATTGTCACGTCCTGATGTGATTTGTTTGTTCACCTCAGCAGAAGGGCCCGCTCCTCTGTGCAGGTAATCATCCGGAATACATGAAGGCGCCTCCATGGCTATATCCGGGAGAGCAAACTCTCTCCCTGTAACTGGCGTGCCACTAATGGCAGGTTCTCTTTCATCTAAAATGGAAAAGAAAAACGATACCAAGTGAGATAAACAAAAGGATACACAATAACGTAGACAAAAAAAAACACAAGCTTCCCCTTTCTCCTGGAATATAATTCTGGGATGTGAAAACTACGAAATATTTCCAAAAATTCGCAAGAAATATTTGGCTCGGTTGTTCGAAAGAAGTGCAAAAATTTCAGTATGTTTACTCCCCATCTATTCAAAGAAGTTATGGACTTCTAGACCTGACCTATCAGCCGGAGACAAAACCTTTGTTGTCATCACGATTTCAGCTTAAAGGTCAGAATACCGAGAAATAGGACGAGTAAGTGGGTAAGAGCTTAAACCAAGCTTTGAATGAAATTTGATTGGTACAAAGGATGGCAGAAATAGCCAACATACCGGGAGACCCTTCGTTCATTCCTCCACATCTCATGTATCTCTCCAACTCGTTTCCATCCCTATTAGAGCCCAAACCCACTGTTGGACGTCGTTCGTCTCGTTCCAATCTACCCGCTGCCGAAGAGGCGAAGAAGATCGCTGGCGCAGTGTAGGTTCGTTTGTGCGATTCCACCATATACAATGTGTCAGGCATGTTGTGTGGTACACGTGACATACGATTTCTGATCAGTTCTTTTTCCACTTCTTTGTGTTCCTCAAGGATGGCCTGCAACAGTGAGAATGTCTTAGAATGTTTAGCCGGCTTACAAAACGGAAGGAGGGTGAAAGTCAATTAATTTGAGCGCAATGAGATCTTTGTGCCACAACCACCATGGCTGAAAATTTCTCGCTGGCTTACAAAACGGAGGAAGGGGAAAGTTAATTAACTCGAGTGCAATGGGATCTTTGGGCAACAACCACCTTGGCTGAAATTTCTAGCCGGCGTACAAAACGGAAGGAAGGGAAAGTTAATTAATTCGAGCGCAATGGGATCTTTGGGCAACAACCACCTTAGCTGAAATTTCTAGCCGGCGTACAAAACGGAAGGAGGGCAAAATTTAATTCGAGCGCAATGAGGTCTTTGTGCGACAACCACCTTAGCTGGAAATTTCCAAAAGTGCAGCACCGGCCTGGACGATCTTTTTAGCTGACTAGTCAGGATTGTTAATAAGTTTGAAAGCAGATGGCAAATAAGAAAAAAAGGCGGCTTAGTTATCTTGGACACCATGTTGTTTAGTTAGATTATACGCAAGAATGGGGGCTTTTCATTTAATGTCCTTAGCGTTTCAAAAAGTTCGCCTGACCCAATTCCAAGTAAAGTCTGAACGAAGAATCTATTCCTTCATCTATACCTGTCACCAGTAAATAATGCATTCAGTTCAAATCATAACTGGGAAATGGTTGCTGGTATCTGTGGTATTTTAATAAATGTACTATTTTCCACCAGCACTAATGGTAAAATGAGGTTAAAGTAATCTCAGTAACTGGCTCAGGATGGAAGACTGGCCGGCGCTGTTTGCCAGCTAACAGCTTTTACTGACAGCTCTGACAAGAGATTATCTTTTCCAAGTCAATGCCATCCCAAATTCAAATTTTTAACGCTTTTGCCAAAACAAGATGTCAATTAAAATGCCAACATTCTTATTTTTCGATTTCTGATCACCTTAGACCAACAGTGGATGTACTAAAAGTAAGATATATTGCAAATGAATGAAGGGGATAAGTTTCAAACGAAATTTTGGTACTGTATAAAATAAAAGCACTTCCCTCTAACGAAGGGCTAACGCTCGATCGATACGTCAGCTTTAGAAACTCTTTGAGTGGCCAATCCACATTATCAACGCACCTGATTACAACAAATTATCTTCAGAGAATTTTTACCTTTGCTTCTTCAAAGTAAGGCAAGAAGAGCCTTGGTCTGACAAAGTCCTTCTCTTCTCTTCTTCTCATCCAAGGCAGATTGGGATAAAAATTTCCTTCACCTATATCCAGGGGCATGCCCCGGTCAACAAGACCCCTGCGGAACACCCCGTCCAGGAGCTCGCTGTGCGGGGGAAGCACGTGACCAATTCGCACATGTTCGATAACACCTGCTAGAACCCTCTTCAACTGTTTGTTATCGATGTCACGTCGCTTAGCATTCTTTTTGTTGTCCTGGACTGGATCTTAAAGAACAGAAAAGAATACTTCTGAAACTAATGTAAAAGATTTGCGACGCAAAATAGGTTGGGGTTTGTCATCACGGTAAATAACACTTCCAGAAGAGAAGGATAATTGTTTGTCTCACGATATGGTCACTTCGGATGCAGATCGTGACGTTTCGACTGCATACTGCTAGTTTTCTGCAAGCGATGAGATCTATTGACAGACTTTATAACGTTCATTTCCTTAAATATAATTATGAATATGCTTAAGTGAATAAGGAGCTGCACAGTTCTGATGGACCTAGAATCGTATTATTACTTCCAATTATACCCCAACGCGAGGTGTTAATTATCAGTACTAATACACTTCTTTTTAAAATGGTCGCCATTATATTTTTTTGATATTCTGAGAAAGAAAATAAAAGAGAATAATCTGAATACCAGTGCAAAGTACAATCGACAGTACAATAGCAATTATATTGAGAGTGTTTGTAATGTGCATTTGTATTGTACAGTCTTCTAAGATTTTTCCACTGTAATAATTTTAAGAGTAAGGATTATTTACTTAATTAACCCTTTAACTCCCATGAGTGACCAAGACAGAATTTCTCCTTACAATATCAATACAATATCAACCAAGTAAGTTATGAGAATAAAGAAAAATATCAATTTGGGGATGAGTAGTTGATCCAATACTAAATTCTCTGAACTAACATTATAAGGATTGTATGGTTGACAGTAAGGAGAATTACAAATTTGATCTGGGAGTTTAAGGGTTAAAGAAGTTAACTGATCATTTTTAATATCCTGAACTATTTTTTTCTCCTCATCATTTTCTTATACTTTTCTCTGGATATTAGTATGTACTGCTTGGGGGCCTAATCAGCCCCATCAACCCGAGTTGAAATATAGTTATTTCCTTTGTTACTAACTTATTTACTTCATGTTCATAATTCAACCAGTGTTGAGTTGCTACCTCTTTACCTTCCAGTAGAGATTTTTCACTAGTTTTTAGCTCTTCTCTTATTCTCCACAAAAAAACAACAGTGAAGAAAAAAAGCACCTTAAAAAATTCATATTGAATGCTCCATGATGAGCCTTAGTAAGGACATGTTATCACTGACCTCCATCCATTACATTACAGTTGAATGATAGACCTTGATTCATGGATTGATTATTGATTTGAGAAAAGGAGAACATAATTTAATGACAGTTTTTATTTCAGAAATAATATTCGTGTCAGTACCTTGTTCATTCATTTGACGAATGACCTGTGCCTCACCCCATTTAATGACAGACAATAGAACATTGTGTTCACATGCCTAAAGGAGGAAAAATTGATCAATACTGTGTAACAACTAAGAAAGAATGAAATAGGACACTTATTACATTGACTATGGTAAGTAATGTGACCTATGAACAAGTTATATAAATAATTTATTACAATAAAATACTATTAACAGATTTTTTAAATTAAAATTCAACAGCTCCCTGTAGCCCAAAAAAAGGTTCAGGAGAAACTAACCTAGCCTGACTTTTCACAGTATGTGTTACAGCTTTGCACTCATGTTACATGAAAATGCACATTTTCAGTCAGTCAGATGCATGCAATTTTTTTTTGCATATTATAAACCCTTTAACTCCTAACAGTAGGAAATGTTCAATTTCTCCTCACAGTTTCACTGCTAAATTGAACTTTTAGGTGGTGAGAATGAAAAAAACAGTAGCACCTAAAGAAGCTGTGGATTGTCAAAAACATTCTCTTAGTCGGTACCAAAGAAAATATGTGGAGAGCAGTATGAAGTGTTTGTATTACACAGTTGCTGAGGTGTAAAAGGGCTAAGACCAGAATTCACTGGCAAAAGATTACATACACATACCTGCAAGAAATCAGATTTCAGTGCCTCTATCAAATACTTCCTTGGCATCAGAGTAAACATGTCAGACTGAGCGATGTTGACAAATTCTTCCTGTAGGAAGTGCATGGCTTGCCTGTAGACCCAGTCAGATCCATGAGGGAGGGAACTCCATTCCAGCGTTGGCAGAAGAGTGGACGGAGATAATTCCTCCAAGATGATGTCTTCGCAGCCTGATAAAAGAAACATGGAAAAAAACCGAGGTATTTTAAATAAATTGATAAGCTAGTAAAAAAGAATGATTTATGGTTCTCATCCTTAAGTTGGTCTTCATAAGTGCGTAATAAGCCCCATGAGTTGTTGGAAGAACACAAAAAAGACTGTAACTAACAAGCTGAAGGCAAGTGAAATACAAATCTTTTTCAGCATATCAACATAAGAACATCACAATGTTGTCAGGTTCATGGTGTGAACTTGTATATCTTGTATTTCAAAGCAATTTTTCTCAGGTCAAATGATTTCAAACTAGAATGATTTGCTATATCCTTCATTCCAGGTACATTAGTAAGGTCTTTTAAAGAACAAAGGAAACTAAAATTAAACAAAACTGACACTATTTTAACCTTATGTAATTTTAAACACCCAATATATATTTATGTAATAGTAACGCAATACAATATAAGCATAGGTCATACAAGTGACATAAGGGCATAACCAAGTAAAAATAAGGAAGATCATCACATCATTATGTTAGCAGTGAAATCCTATTTAAGTAACACAACAAAACAGACATAACAATATCCTGTTGTGCTGTTAAGTCATCTGTGTGATCTTGGCTTTATAATGAATAAATAAATTTATTTACCTTGGATCAGTACTGGTAAGTCGATAAAGCTTGCCACTTCAAATACTTCCATGGCAATTTCTGCTGATGTCAAAAGTTTATGAGTTCTGGGTGAACAATATTTCCTGTCCTCAGAGCTCCACTTAACTACAGACGACAGATCCACAGAGTCGGTGTACATGCATTGTAAAGCTATGCGAGTGTACTGCCTAGTTATCACTGATTCATCTAAAACAAGTCTTTTAACTCCAGAACCTGTCTTTAGATAATCATTAGAACCCAAGTCAGATTTGAGCAAAAGTGATCTAAAGTAGTGTGATCTTGCACAAAGAACAGCTTTATGGCACAAAATCTCATATGTCTGATCAGAAATTGCATTGCCATCTGCAGCCACGTATGTGTCAGAAGAGTCTTGAGCAGGAAAGACAAAGGCGACATCAGCATATTCACCACATTTGAAAAGCAAGTTTAAATCCTGTTCCAAAACATTGGGTGTGCCAAACTCTTCACCCAAATTTATTAGAACATCAATGTATTCTAAGCCTGATTTTTTTGTCATAAAATCTCCTGTGTACAAGTAACATAGCAGAGCCGAAAAAATTTCTGTAGTCATTCCTTCCGTTTTAAACTCCATTTGAATAACAGGATGCTGCTCAGTATGCTGTGATAAAAGATCCTTGAAATAAGGACATCTACACGTAAGAATAGCCTTGTGGACATGGAATTGAGTGTTCTCAAATATAAGTGTTGTGTCAGCACAAATCCCTTCTTCCAGAAGCCGTAAAAGGTCTTTCTTCAAACTTGGCGCAGATTGCCTTACAAGATTGGTCTGATTCTTTAACTCTTTTACATTCATCATTGCTTCATATTCTTCAACTAAAGCATTGATCTCCTGAACTGTCCATGTTTGTGTCAACTCTCGTAGCATTTTTCCATGATCATGGCTCTTGAAACCACTTTTACTCCTTGAGAGCTTTTTTTTAAGGGTGTTAAACTTTGATTGTTTTTTCCTCTTCTCCTCCAAGGTATATCGAGGCACACGCACAAGGGTTGGTTCCGATGAACTCTGCTCTAAAGTGGAAGTGCTTCCCCCCATTGTAATCAATAAATCAAGGTTTTTGTATCAATTTTTGTTTCATTCTTGATCAGATCCACCGTAAACAGATATTATGGTATCTTAAGGGCAAGTCAAAATACTCTATCACTCCTTTCATACTTCAAATTATCAGGAAGTCTCTCCTTTCACAACTAGATAATTGTCTATAGTATTTCATGATGTAAGGTATCAGCTGACCAATGTACAAGTCTGTAAAAGAAAAGATGAGTAATTAATACAGTAAATATGTAAATCCCCTACACAAATTTTCACAAGACTCTGTCAAAAGACGAAAGCTCCTTCCCAAAAACAAACTATAAATTGCAAGAGCTGTACTTCCGTATCACGAGGTTGTAAGACCTCACACTTCCAAGTACATAAAGGTGATCTTGTGCAAAATTAGGCCCAAACGTTCTTCATTGACTGCAAACTTATTTCGATATTCCTGTTTTCAAACAACAAAACGTCTCTTCCACTGAATACTGGTGTATAATTGCGTTAATAATTGTTTTGTTATTGATCGATTTGAGTCATAGTTCGGGTTGTATTTCACCACAAGAATAAGCTATTTTTGAATCATGAATCGCAATTTCTATAAATGTGTGGAGTAAAAGTTGAATAAATGTTCATTATAGATTATTAAATGAAATTCACTAAGAACGATTTTGGGCGAGAAAACGACATTTTTGATATCTGAAATGAACTGAACATCTCTCAGAGCTTCTAGAGCGCTTTTACGAAAATCAATGACACTTTCAAGACTCCTTGATTGTAACATAGTTACAAATTCAACTTGAAATAAATATATCGAAGGACCTTCGCGCCAACGGCGAGGAAAACGTACTAGGAAACAAGAAATAGTATTTTGCAATCCCGAAAGTATGTCGGCTAACAATGCGATCGACCATAACCGATCAATTAGATCGCGGAATGTGTCATAAACAAAATATTTTGTCCTGAGAACATACCTTAAATGATATTCATCCCACTCTATGTATTTCCCGTCTTCCGTAAATCTCCAGATTAATTTCACGTATTGTTGTTGAAACTGAAGCAAACAACCAGCTGAAAACATTGAATACTCGGCATAGGCTTTGTAACCTCGCTTCATTCGTCCACTGCCTGTCGGCAATTCTTCGGTTCGTCTTCGTTACCACGGGAAATGATATGTTGTCGGATTTTACGAACGATGCTTAGCGAATCACTTTTTTTTTTCGTTTCTTTAATTTACTTTATTTTTAATTTTCATGTTTGAAATGGGACATTGTTTCCAGGAAAGTATTTTTTCGGGGTTTGCCTCGCTGGCCCGGAATCTGAGCGGAGAAAGACAGAACACACAGCCAGATAATTAATATTTATTTCACAGCCAAAAATGGTATTTGGATCGATTAACTAGCATTAGTAAAATTATTGAACAAGAAAATGTCTCCCACTACCACTTCTTAATGGGTTGTGAGTTCAAGGGATCGACATGATTTGATTAAACGCACTCTGACGGTCGAACGTGACAATACTTCTTTTCGTGACTAAGAACAGCAATGTAAAGTAGCTGTAATTAATATGTAATTGATTAAGTTATTAATTGATAAGGAGTAATCCATCGCTGTAAGAGCAAATATTCCCATGTTACTGACGTAAAAATAACGCAGTTGTCTTTGACATTCCCAAGTTGCTAGCCTCTCCATCATGAAACAACATATGAAAAGCGCTTCGAAACTCTCGCTTTTGAGTATTTTCACGGTCTCAATAACAACATGAACAACTTTCGAACAATACTTTTGCCATAAGAGCCAAAGGAACGGAAGCAGCTAAACTCAACGTTGTTGTGTTCTGTTCAAAAGAGAGGCATTTTCAACTCGAAATCAAATCAGTCGTAGTGAGTTGGAAGTTTGGCGGCCCGGCGTATGACGATGAAGTTTTTCCTGTTGCTGGCACTGTTAGACGTTGCGGCTATTATTCAAGGTAAGAGCGTGATATTTTTCGTATCGAAGCCTTATGGCGAAATTAAGAACTTTATCGGCCTATATTTAATTGTCTACAGAATTTTAATTGTCTACAGAAATAAAGACTAATGCCATTAGCTCGTACGATTGTTTTCGATAAGGTTCCTTGTGCATTTACACAATCACTAGAACATCATATGATGTTTGAATTGCTTTAAGGAGAAATCGTAACCCAACATCAAATTGTCATTCTAGAAATTATATTGCTATAAGTATGTGAAATAAATTTCTCCACCGACGATGATATTATCTAAGATCACAAATATCAATTTGACTAAATGATATCCATGGTGTTTCGTAAGAGCATCGGTGATATTTCCATGACTTCTCAGCGTCTAAAGTTGTCTACCTTACCTCTGCAAGCTATCGTTGACCGGATTGAAAAATTACTTACTTTGCTTAAATCTTACGTCATGAAGTTCTAGAAGTTTGCTTTGGGTCAAATATGGCGGTAGAGATAAGAGGGACCGTGGTTCTGTTCCACAAGCTTTAGACACTTAAGTCCACGAATACTACAAAAATTTAATACGCACATTAAACGAAAACTTCGTGTCTCTCTTCGCAGCTGAGAAAGTGATATTGATCGAAAAAAAGCTTGAAGTAAGGAAGAGAGGAGAATGTGTCACATTCAAAGGTGAACACTACTTCAGAGTGAACGGTACACTTACATGGACGCGCGAGTCAAAACCCTTGCCACGTAGCGACCGCTTTGTTATCTCAGATGGGGGCAAAACACTTAAAATTAATCAACTGGAGGAATCAGATACGGCCCTTTATTCATCCACGATACAAACTGAGGGTGGATCAGAAATAACTCGGCAATGGATTGTAGTAAAAGGTAAAGAAACATTTAAATCTACTCGAACTCTTTGGTCGCTATTAGGCGTCAACTTCTCTTTTCGCTAAAATGCCATGAGAGCTCTTTCTCAAACTTGCGTTGCATTTTAGATGCATTGTAAATAATTCCGTCTATCCTTCCCATGAAGTGCTTTGATTACCGTTTTTCGATTTCTTATTACTACAGGTTGCGATGTAAATGAGAAAATGACTGAACTCAACGGCTGTGAAAAAGCTTGTAAACGTAAGTGCAAATTCTGCTCCTTTGATTCTCACGAAAAAAAAAACGCGGAATAAGAATTTAGATTTCCTCACCTTTTCCATCCGATATTTGTCATTCTTTTCTAAGTTGCTGTAAAGTTTATTTAATTATTTCTGAAGGGGCTGCATCATTGCCACCGACACCCCTTAGTATATCTTCCGGTTCCTGTTTTTCCCTTCTACCGTTCCAGGCCCCTCTCAAGTCTGAGTCAGGTGATATGTATTTGAAGGAAAGATTCGGTTGTCAGTTTAAAGAAGTGGATAAAATGAGGAGAAGAATGGGAGTGAAGAGAATGGACACGGAGAAATGGGAAGGGGAAAGGGAAAAAGGGAAAGGTTGATTCGCAAAGAGTTGTGAACGAAGTTCCCGGTGTTGTGGTCTGGCCTTCATATGGCCCTCATTTAAACTAGCTTTAAAGCTGAACTGAGCCAGCCTGTCTAAATAGCGCCAATACATACATACATACAATTCCGTTTGATTTTGCTCGCTTCTCTTCTTTTCACTCTATTGAAAATTATAATTACGCTGAGCATCCTTTCCAGCTTACTCATGTAGCATTCGTTATCCTGTCATGTCTTGTTTTTGGGTTCATTTTGTTTGTTTGTCTGTTTGTTTGTTTGTTTTTGAGATATCACTGTTTTCGTCTTTTCTCCATCTAAGACGATTTTCTGGTTTCTTTCCAGCCATGTGTCTGAAAGATTGGCATTATTCCAATGGCAAGTGCTACCGATATTTCTCTAAACCGAAGACTTGGCTGAACGCTTATTATTACTGCCAGGGACAATTTGGAGCCAAACTTGCTACCATCGACAATAGCGTGGAAAACAAGTAAGAGGTGTTTTAATTAAGTTCACGATTACCTTTGGTATCATCTTTTGCGACTTCATATTGATAAAACATGTGAAAATTTGCTTCGAAAATTGTTTGAAATAGCGATTTGGTCAGTCCAATACAAACCTACTGTTAAATATTGCTATCTTCCGGTTCAGGAAGCTTCGTCTTGGTAACGAAAAGGTGGAAATAAGGAAGTAAACGGATTGAACATTAGGTTTGGAACAATTTCAGAGTGCTCTGATTCACCCTTGAACTCCCGTGAGTGATCAAGACAGAATTTCTCCTTACTATATCTGTACAATATCATGCAGACAAGTGATGAGAATAAAGAAAAATATCAATTATGGGATTAGTAATTGATCTGATACCAAATTCTCCAAACTAACATATTAAGAATCATTTGGCAGACAGTAAGGAGAATTACTCATGAGATCTTGGGAGTTAATGGGTTAAATTAATGATGTTAGTGGTAACCCTCCCCTCCCCTTTTCCCAAATTTCTGTATGAAAGAAAAAATGATTTTATGCCCATAATTTATCTTTATTTATTATTTTATTTATCATTGCACACATCGCATACAAATACTACGAAAATTAAAAAAACATATTTACAGAGAACAAGTTTCTCTTTTGTACCTTTGAGTCCATCTGCTTTTGTTCGCTTTCCTTAATTGTTATACAGCTTTTTTACGGTAACCAGAAGAAGATTTTAGATTACTTCTACTAGAGGCGCAATCGCCTCTATTTGTTCGTCAGGAACTCCCATCGGCTGCTCGACGGCTGCAATGTCATGCTCGTCATTCTCCTCTTCCATGCCCTGATTATCCAGCCCAATCAACGCTATCTGCTCCTCAAATTCTTCCCTTTGCTCATTCTGTGATGGATAACCTTGTGCAGGATGCTCATGGTGTCGGAAAAGGAAGGCGAAACAAGCACAGAAGCTTGTCGGTTGTGTCTCTTCATCAATTTCATGGTGGGGCACGCCGATAAGAGGAGGAGCCTCCTCTAAACCAGCGGGCAGTCGCTCTTCTCTTGGGGCCCCAAGTACATACACTGGAAGTGCATTATGACTCCTCCTTAGTTTGCGCTTTACATACCTTACCGCAGCAGCTAATCTTCTGAACGGCCCTGAGGTATTAGGTTGCTGTTGAGGCTGATTGCCATGTTGAGGATTTTGACCATTGGGAAGATTCTGCCCTTGTGGCTGTTGTGGAGGCGCCTGTAGTGCTGGTACTATCTCCCCGTAGGGTGGTGCTTCATCGATACCTACATCATTATTTGCCAGCAAGGCAACCTCATTGCCTACTACAGCACCTGGAACCTCGCCATCTCCATTCGCTGCTTCTATCTCATCTTCTACGGGAGGAAGTGGATGATATAAAAGATTGGCTCCCATGGGAGCTTCATCCTGTGGTTCTTCGTTTGCAAGGGCATCATGGGGGCCAAATAGAGCCAGATTATGGCCTGGAGCATGAGGAAGTTGCTGACCAACCCCTTGCTCTGCAGCTTCGTCCTGTGGTACAGGATTGAGTTGGAGTGCCTGTGGGTTGTATTCGACATTTAGTGCCTCATCTATGAGTTGCGCAGCAATAGCATCGTTTTGAGGTCCTGGTTGGTTTCCCTGTGCATTGACTGGCGCATTTGGCCAGGCGTGCGCCTGTACTAGCTGAGGAATGGCATGTACTAAGGGAACCATTAGGGCGGGGTATTCTGCCATGTCGTCGTTTCCGTTGGGAAAATTATGTTGCTCGTATTGTTGCACTTGCTCAGGGTCATTGTTCCCGACTTGCTCCCGTTCGCGTTCTGATTCAGTTTCGTAATCCGACCCATAATCAGACTCGCTTTCATACATGGAAACGTCACTCGACTCATTGTCATACATTGATACATTTTCGGAGTGGATGTCGTCCACTGAAACGTGGTCTTTGTCTTTATCGTTTGAGTTGCAGTTTATTTGGAACTTACTGTCAACATTATCAAAGCCTCTCTCAAAATCTTTCAGTTTAAAACGCTCGTGTCTCACGTGAGCATTTGAATCATGTAGTGCTTGGCCTACAATACCACTGTTGACGTTTTTCTGGTTTATGCAGAGTCCACTACTGTTTCCACCGAGAAGAACTTCATATTCATTTCCTAAATCCACGAAATTGTTGGTGTCTTCCCTTTGTTCAAAACGTGACAAATCCTGTTGGCACATTTGCTCAGGAACAGTGGAAAGTAAGGAAACGATTGGTGCGTGACTGCGTGACTTTTCGTCATCCGATATCGTATCATGTGAGATTGATGATATTTTTGAATTGGCAAAGATTCTTGGATGTTCCCCATCAAGGAGGGCAAAACCACAAGCTAGCCTTTCCGTTGGACTTTCTGTTTTCTTAGATTCCTGACTGGCTGGGGGTATGCGTTTCACAAAGTTTCCTGCATCACCCATGTCAGTTGACAGGGACAAATTTCTAAGAAAAGAGTATTTGCTTACTTTGCACCCAACGTGCTGTTGTCTAACACCACTATCGTTTAAAGACAAGCTTACGCAACAATAGTAGCGAGTGACGTCGCACTTTGGAGGCATCGGAGAGGTGCGTTCTTCCTGTTTAAGTGGCAGGACTAGTGCTCTCGAACCTCTGTCTTTAATGTATCGAGGTATATTAAGAAATCCAAAACAGTCGAATTCTGCATTGAATAACATGATCGAAGTCACATCTTGCCTAGATATGACTCGGCATTCCCGCTCGTCGACGAAAGCGAATGTCTCCTGGTGTCTACTCAATACTCGAGCTATGCTGAGTTTATAGATTCTCTCTGAGTTCTTTTCAGTAATATTTCCAAATTCTCGGGCTCTTTTAAATACGCCTTGAAGGAAAGTGAGTGGCATGTAATATCTCTTTGGTGTTAAAAAGACAGATGCATCTTTCTCTGAAGTAGAACGGCTTTCTTCGCTGTACGCGACAGAATGCGACGCTTGATTGGACGTTCTCAAATGTCTGTTTGATGTTACGCGGAGAATGGCGCGTGAGCCCAAACAGTCTGCAGTCTGAATGAAACAAAGCAATACGACACGTTCATCAAAGCTTCTGTTAGAATTCAGTCCTTGAAACCAGTCCAACACACAAATACGTACACCAGATAACAGTGTTTCTTTGGCCAATCGAGCATTGCGAGCCATGGATTTAAGGTTTCTTTGTCTCGCTTTTCGTGAGTCTTGGGCACCCCGTGGAATAATTGGTTCTTCCTCTGCTTTGGACCGTCTGGAAAAGTAATGACAACGAATTATGTAGGACGTTGTAAGGTAAACTTTTTGCGTATTACAACTTAAACATCTGTAAGTGAAAGAAACAATGGTGTAGGAGAATTCAAGGAACGATACTTAATGCAATTTTCCTTGATGATTAATTGAACTCTCCTAAATCATTTGTGAGCGACTGGAGACAATGCAGATTAAACACGTGAGCATAACTGTCGAGCTGTACTATCTGTCACTCTGCGAACAGCTATTAACTTTAAAGTTTGTGAACGAAGACATTCTCTGAAAACATTCAGATAAAGGCAATTTGTTGCTACATTCTGCGTGTGAAGTCTTGTTGTACTCTCTTGTACGGCATTGCTGTTATTTGACATGCATTTAAAAGTGTAAAACTGCTGTAATTACCTGGTCTTTTTACATCGATCAAACCAGAAAAATTTGATTGCCGCCACTACTGCGGCGAAAAACTCCATGGTAATGATCATCCAGTAGAGTGCTGAAAAGGAAACAAAGGATTTGCATAAAGAAAATGAAGAACGGTGGCAATTTTTTAAGCTAGATCGTCAAGTTAAGAAAATAGAGAAAGCCTGATGTTATTCATTTGTCAGATGTTTACTTCAAATGTTTTGACGTTGCTGATCCTGGCATTATGAAGGAAGCTTGTTTTAATCGAACTCTTATTTTATGTTATAGCTCAATAGCGAGTTCTCTGCGGCTCTGTGGTAGGACATCAGACCGCAAAATCTGATGGTCAAACTCTTCGTGGGAGCTCGTCGTTTGTCCATGTCCAAGACCGAACTCTTAATTTACCATCTTTCCTACTCTGTTTTCCCACAATTGCACTTTTGATTGGTCGCAAACTTACGCGCCGATTGAGAATGGTTAAACTCACTTACATACTGTACGAAGGTTGCTTTAGAAACCGCCAAAATCTCTCACACAGAATTCGGATTCTATCTTGCTGCATTTGTATGCTGTAAAATACTTCTCGTCTCTTCCATCGAATGTGTAGCATTTGGTTTTAAATTTTAAACATAAAACACCTTTTGCCTTTACAGGGTTCACAGTAATATATTAGAAACAGACTTCGGGAAACTGGATTGCTACCTATTATTATTTCCGTTAACGTGATGCGTAAGCTCTCTGATAATGGACGTCTTTTGTTTTATTGAAACTGACGTACACCGTGCGCGCGCTTTAGAAGGAGTTCTTTGAAAACAACTGTTCTTCGCGCATTCGAAGGCCAGTTCGAATGTCAGTATTCTCAAGCTTGCGTCAGATTCATTGGAAAGTTAAAATGAAATTTATGATAGTCGTAAAAAAGTCTTAAACGATTGGTGTACGAGAAAAGGAAAACTAAGACACAACCTCTTTGGCCACGAACAGAAATGTAATTTTCTTTCGATGACTTTGCAAAATCCTTTTCCGATTGCTTAACGCGTGCTATTACAGCATTTTTATCACTTTTTAGAGTTTGATACTCTCTTGGAAGGGTGAGGACGGAAAATTTTATCAAATAGTTCCTTTCTTGCCACGTTGCTGTAATTTGCGAAACTGAAAAAAATCTCCCTCTCAGATAAACTTGGGGAAAAATGGATTATTTGTAATTACCTTTGTAGCACTCAGTGTTTGTAACAATATGCTTTTGCATTCCATAATGTAGCATTGATATCACAGCTAAAATTATGCCAAAAACGTGGAACTTCATTCCGCACGTCTCCATTGCAACACACGGAAGTAGTAATTTAAAATGGCACGTCATCAAACACTAATATACAAACTACCTTTAATTAATAAACGCTACATTAGCAGATTGTTAAATTAGGAATAATTAAAAGATAGCATATCTCTATTTTTTCTGTATTATTCCAGTCAATAGCTTGCAAGCAACAGCGCCGGCAAGAGAAGGAAAGCTTAAAAAATGAAAACGTTTGTTTAACCTAAACTGTAAGCATTTGTCTGTAATCGATCTTTTGGTAAAGGGGGAAAGTTTCTAAAGAAACTGTGGTGCCGCGTCGGTGGAAGAGTATAACATGGTAATTTAGGATTATCAGCTGAGATGATAACGTCAATTAACGTAAAGAGTTTAAAAGCTGATTTTTCGAGCGTTAGCCCTTCGTCATTCGCTCTGATGAAGGGCTAACGCTCGAAAAGGTGGCCAATTTACGTTATTAACTCAGTTGATAAACTAAATTACCCTATCTTTTAATAGTTCTTTATAACCTGTAATATTGTCTACAATCGTCCTGCTGGTTTTGACATTCCTTTTATCTTAACTGCTCTCGTTATATTCCTTCTATCACAAGATTTGAGGATATTTGATGTACCTTACATGATATGAGTCTTGAACCCTCGACCTACCGCACGGCAGTTCGGCTCTTTACAACATGAAATAACCAATTGCGGTCTGGGTTTAGGAACTTCCAATGCACTGAGAACTGATGTAACATCCAAGGAGAGTTGCAACTCTACTGCTCGCTTCGAAAAACCGAGATTAGCTCTTGCTGTGATAAACTACCAAGTGCGTCATGTTTACTGCGTCATGTTTTTCTCGTGTTTATCTGCAGATTTGTAGGAGGGCTTCTTGAGTCAGGCGACGGTGCTTGGATTGGATTGAACGACAGAAGTAAAGAATCACGGTACTTGTGGAACTACAACAAGTTTGATACGCCAAGATATTTTGCATGGGACGAAACCAATCCCTCCAACACTGAACCGAACAACTTTAACGGACAGTGCAACGTAGAGAGTTGTGTAGAGATGAAAACCACCAATAAGAAGTGGAACGACGCGGTTTGTATAGCCCACAGGAATTTTGTATGTGAGAGGGAGTCCATAAAAGGTGAGTACTGGCATGTAATTTATCACAGATAACGTCAAAATGTGGTAAAAACGAACAAGAAGCAGTCACGTGTGTCACTGATGTTCTCACCAAATTTTTCCTCCCGACAAAAATGTATGCATTAACACTTAAAAAATAAATTCCCTACTGCCGAGATGACGTCAAAATGTGGTAAGAACAATATTTATGAGGTCATATTTCCCCAGAAGTGCTTCAGTGAAGTCATCAAGAAATTTTCCAGGAAACCAGTCTAGCAGCGCAACTCCACTCTGATTATGGCAGACACAAACAAACTTCCTCTTCGTGTTTTCCCCTCAGGTCTCTCTGGCTGGAAATGTCTAGATAATGGTATGTGTTACTGGTACGCGCGCGAGACTGTCACGTGGGACCGGGCACGACAGAAGTGCAGAGAAAACAATGCTAGGCTCGTAAAGATAACCAGTAGCTCAAAAAACAGGTTGATCGGAGATATGATAAAAACAAACATATGGATTGGACTCAACGACCGAGTGGAAGCTGGTAAGCATACGATGGGACACAGGTCGAACGTGAAATATTGGGAAGGTAGTTTCTTTAAATGGGGAAAGGCTCGTGTTTTTGAACGCACTAGCTCTTGCTTGGACAGGTCTAATAAAGCACAGAAGAGTGCATCTGAAATTTGTTCAGTAACTGCCGGACGAATTCTCGCACCAGATTGAATTGATCTTATGTGATATGTCCTTTTGTTGTCATAGGCTTGAAAACTTTTTTTTTTTGCGTTTTAGTTTGGAATCTAACAGCATAAGTTGGTAACCTGCGCGTAATTCAGTGTTTTTCGCAAAATTCGACAATTAAACTGTTGTAAGATATATTTGGACACAAGTCAGGAGGACTGGGTCTAGAACACAAAATCGAGGCTTACTGCAGTCCTTCTAAAGTGGAGTATTTTGAATCAACGGGCTCGTCTGTTTTCGCTTGCTTCCTTAAAATACCTGAAAAACTTTTCTTTAGAGATTTGTTAGAAAAAAAATAAGAGGAAATCCGTCTAAACATGTTGTACATTGGTCTCCAGGGCTTTCAGTTAGACGTACCAGATTTAGATACAAAATGCGCAAGCTCATCTCCTCTTCACGATAATGATTAGGGCAGAGACTGATACCTGATTTTTGTATATGCAGGGATATATGTATGGAACGACATAGGCCAAGGAGAATTCAACAACCGAACTTCATATTTCAACTGGGACAGAGACGAACCAAATGACAAACATTATGACAGCGGTACACCAACGAGGTGCGATGGCGAGGATTGTGTTAATATCCATATCAGGAATGGTGAAGTGACTTGGTTTGACTTAAACTGCGAGATTGCGCTGCCATTTGTCTGTGAAAAGAGCCGAGGTGAGGACATATCTCTTTTAACCCTTAAAACCCCTGAGAGTAATCAGCATCTAATTTCTCCTTACAATATTACCTCTGAATCACACATTAATGTCATGAGAAGAAAGGGAATGATCATCAACTAAAGAATTTCTTGATTGTTAGACAAATTCTCCTAGTAAGCACCTTAGTACATGTACAGAGAACAGTATGGAGAATATGAATACTGATGTTAGGGTGAGGGTAAAATTTCTTTATACCACCTACCCCCGTGAGTCAAGATATTTGATGGAAATTTCTTAGGTCAAACTGGCTTTTCTTCGACGTATCACAAAACAACCTCTTTCTCTTTTCTTTTTGTTTTGTTTTGTTTTTCGGTCGGGGTGGGAGGAGCTCTATCCAAGTGACGCACACAGCTTGGTTCAGCCGTATCAACTAAATTTCGGGCGGTGTTTACAATCCCTATAATCATTTATTTGAAGGGCCGTCCTGATCTTTCTTCTTTACTAACACACCTGGTGAACTTTAAGCTTAGCATGTAAATTTCATTCGTGCCAATTGCTTATTTCCAGACCCCTATCTAAGCTTTGCTGCTTGGATAGCCATTTCAATGGGTGCAGGACTCTTACTCAGTATAATTGGTGGACGAGCCTACATGGAGCTTATACATCGGCGAGGACGCAAGCAGGTGAAGCAGATGATAGGGGAAGCCACTGATAACGATGAAAAGGAAGACTAGAGCAGTAAAAAAAAAATTTATAAAGAAACGACTGTTGTTTGAAAGCTGGATCAGGACCTGGTTTTTGCAGCCGTCACGCAACGCGCTCTCTTTTCCGTAGTGTCTTGCATGACAAGACCAACCGACGGCTGTGATGAAGAGTTGTTACCACGATCCGCTCCTTCAAAACTTCCAACCCCAAAAAATACAAACAAGGATGACTTAAGCTCATTCTAGTTTAGTTTCTCAACTCCAGATAATCCTTTAAGAAACATGTTCAGATGACGTCATTGATCTCTGTTTCGAGCGTTCCATGTTGGGCATTGTTACTTTTTCGTCCATTTCCTTGCCCGCGTGACAGTTTCATGGTGACATGGTCACGGGTTTCGGAAACTAGTTGACTGGGTTATTTATTTAAGTTGCAGATCGATTCAAAAGTAGACATATGGAAGATATTCATGAATATGTATAAAAAATTTTTATCTATGATTGTGACTCAGATTTAATAGGATAAAATGGCATGCTGCATTTGATATTTAAAAAAGTTATTTTCAAGCTTCCAAAAAAATTTATTTTCAGACGCTACTTTAAGTTATTTTAATGACGTATCGAAACTCGGTTATCAAAAAAATCCACTGTTACTTCATTCATTCATCCTCGTTCTAACAAGGTTTTTTATTTTTACTATTAAATGATTCAAAATAAAATTATTTTAAGTGTTCTATCGATAAAACATCGATGTTTTGAGCATATCTAAAGTTACTATTCCACCTCAACAGGTTCGCCCTGAATTTTTCAACCCATTCATACATTTTTCACGAAGCAGTTGGTGAGAACAGTCATTAGATTGTTTTTCATTGTAAGGAAATGACAGTATACCACTGGTAAACTCGAGGAAGGCGAGTGTCTTACAGTCGAACGTGTATTAAGCGGCCATCCTGTATTAAGCGGTCATTTGTCAAAGTCCCGAATTCTTTCCCATTTAACACCATAATTTTCACCTTTATTAAGCGGTCGCGCTCACCCCTTACTAAGTTCCAACGGCCTGTTTGTAATGTCATCCACGTGTAACAAACGATCACTTAATTAAGGCGGAACCACCCAAATCACCACCCAGACCAAGAACAAGCTTTCAAGTATGTTTAATCCTTGTTCATCTCCCGAAAAATTTACTATCTTGGCACCGCTGCGATATATCCTCACTGTCGATATAACGACAAATTCTCTCAACAAATTGGCGGTGAAATTTATGTTAGCCAGAAGGGAGAATATCTCAGTTGAAGGTTTTAGATTTGATTGAATTTCGTAGAAAGTCGGAGATTGTCCGGCAGCAATCGTTGTCCGAGTCGCGCGACGTCGGCTGTGCATAAGTCACGTGACTTTGTTTGAGTAACCGCGGTACACCAAATCTTCTCGCATCCAAAGATGTCGCTGTTCAAAGCGAGAGATTGGTGGGCCACCTATGCAGGAAGCGACGAAGAATTCGATCTTGGATGCTTGTGTGTGGCAAATATCGACAATAACGGCTTGCAGTTGGGTAAGTCTTCGAGATGTTTTGCTTTCTTTAAAATCTGTAAGGCATCGGCCAGGTATTCGTGTGATGTTTAATGTGGTTGTCATTATGAAAGAAGGTAAATTAGTCTGTGGAAGCTTTATTGCCATCCCTAGGCTACAAAATAATCAGTTTTAGGGTTGCTATATTTTTGTTTTAGAAACTCTCTTAAATCAACGATTTTCAAAGTACGTGTTCATTGCGGAACAGTTGAAGATGACCTATATGTGATTATCACTTAGGTTACCTATCAACTCAAGCCATGTTTTTTTAGGCTCGTTGCTAACGGCACCAATCGCTATGTTTATGTAAGTATCGGCGTAGATTGTGGATCGTTAAAAACGAAAATACGTTATTTCTTAACAAACCAAAATTCTATATGGAAGAAATCTGATTATGCTCTTAGAGGTGCATTGTTGAATTCTCATATTTCTGTTGTCGTCTTTTATACACACTTTTAGTGCCCAAGCTTAATTTATATAGAATTGTTAAAGAGATCATGTGTATATTTTGAGCTTAAATATCTTGTACCTGACTTTGTTTTGGTGGGAAATTTTTTAACAAAAATTTGTTGGAGAACTGTGGATAGACTGTGGCAGAAAATCAGTTTACATTTTGTGCCTCAAGACAATACCATGTTAAGTGGAAAGAGTATAACAGAGGCATTAATTCACTTGACAGTTATAAGTAGATGTGTTCATTGAACATTGTCAATATTCTCTAGCAGCTGGGTTTTCACCAGCTACTTGTTTCTGTGTGACTTTGATGAGACAAAGCAAGCAACCCTGTCTTGATCTGAAGTAAATGAAACCTTTTCTTTACTTTTTGTACATAAACAAAAAGATTGATGGAAAGACTGAAAAGAAAACAATAGGTGATTGGAAGTGGAATAGATGCAAGCAGAATTTATGCTCCTGCTATTTTGACACTCACTTGTTTGTAGCAAGCTACTGTTTAAAAACTCTCTGGAGAAAACTCCATAGTAGGGAGAAAAAAAATTATGTGATAGAAAACCTTGACAATGACACAGTGTTATTGACTGGTCATCACTCTTTTTTATGTGAAAAGAGAAAGAAGCTGTTGGAAGAGTTGGTCCAGCTGTTGTTCCAGTGTTAATGTTGTGGAAGTAGTATTGCAATTCCATCTCTGTCATTTTTTGTCTGTTATGTTTCTATAAGAAAGTAAACATGTACTTGGCTGTTGTATCGTTGACCCTTTGAAAGATGTGTAAGAGTGGCTTGAGGCGTAGCTGAGAGCAACTCTGGCCTCTTGAGTGCTCTCCAAACTTCCCAAGTGCTTCATATCTTGATGAACGCACAGCTGACATGTGAACCAATTGTTTTATAACATTTTCAAATTTTTTTCTCAAGGGATTTGTTTGCTGACGTCATGAACGTGCACAATAGGAATATGAAGCATGCTCAGGCAATTGAATTTGATTAGACAAATTTACTAGCTATATTATAACTTAATTTGTTTAAGGTTTGTGGTTATGTATCTGAAACCAAGGGAAAAAAACAAGTCAATTAAAATTTTTACTTAAAGTTTGTTATTAATCATGACCATTACAATTTTGTCAACTATGATTGGTGCACTAACAGTGTTTTTTTCCACTAATTATTTTAAGAGTTATAAGCAGACAGTGTAATCAGACAGTTGGCTGTAATTTGACACCTGAAGCAGCCAATCATACTAAGTCCACTCAGATAAATCCACCCATCTCAGAATCGATCACAATAACCACAGCAACAACCACTTATCCTTAAAAAGAAAAAAAACTGGGGAATCTCCTAAATAGAGGAAGTTTTAACTTTACACATTGTCTCCTTTGGGGATATTTGTTCTAGATGTATTTTTTTTTCCAGAAATTGTAAAGGTTATGATTGATTGTAAAAGGTCTTCATGTCATCCAGTTCTGTCTGCAATCATACTCATTATTAACAGATCGGATTCCTGCTTTGCAGTTGTCCATTAGTTTGTTAGTTGCTCTTATGATTGCAGACTGAACTGGACTCCACTTAATCCTATTACCATTACAAATTCAAAGACAGTTGTTGTAGAAGAACCAAGTAAAAGTAAATGATTAAGTGTTCATGTGTGTATTTTTCAGATAAAATTATAGTTGGTAGTTTTCATGGAATCCTCAGAATTTATTGTCCCAAGCCGCCTCATTTTAAACCAGATAATCTTATGTTGGAAGTACAGCTACAACAGCCAATTTTGCAAGTGGAAGCTGGCAAATTTGTTTCGTAAGTCGATGGAATAATAATTGCAAATGTTTTACAACTTTCATGCTAACAAATCCCACTAAATACAGTGTAAGCTACGTGTGTTAAAAATAGCAATGTTTCATTGATTTCTATTCAGAGGGGTTGATCAGTTACACTTAGCTGTTCTTCATCCAAGAAAACTTGCTGTTTATAGCGTGTCAGGTAAGCCAGTGGTATCATATTTATTTTCCTGATTATGATTGTTTATTCTTTTGAAGTTTGTTTACCAGCTGAATGATTTATGCTCAGTCAGTTGTCATTCAATACACCTTCTCTACCATTAAGTTGCCGCATGAAACCAACAAAACCTGTGAATGAGATGGTTGACACACTGGTCCAATTTATTTATTAGCTGGTTTAAGTCTTAATTCAATCTATATGTACATGATTACAGTAACCATAAATGAATAAAGGGTGTATGTTTTGAAAGGAACTGTGGTGCTGCATTAGTGGGAGAGTATAACAAGCTTTCATTGGTATTATCATCTGAGTTGATAACATAAATTGGCCACCATGGAGACTTTCAAGGCTGATGCTATGAGCATTAGCCCCTCATCAGAGCAATGACAAAGGGCTATTGCTTGAAATGTCAGCTTTGAAACTCTTAAGGGTGGCTAATTTATGTTTTTAATTCAGGTGATAACATCAAAGTACCTTGTCATTAATTTATTATCATAGTTACCCAAAACACAGAAATTAGAATTGAATTTGAACAGAGGATAACATTAAACCACAACTGAAACATGTAAATGATTTTGTATACTGTTGAAAGGTGGGTATTTGTTGTTTCAGTTTATAGCTTACAACATTTTTCCTTTTTAGTTGTTTCAGGAGCTGTAGAACATGGAAATCACTACACACTTAAGATGATGTATGAACATATTTTGGAAAGAACAGCGTATAATATGACATATGGCCCTTTTGGAAGTGTCAAAAGTATGCCAATTTCATCGTATTTAAAAAATTATCATTGCGTACTGTGAAGTTAGGTTGTTGCATTTTCTACTGTTGTTTTTTTCCAAGCACTCTCTATAACTAACACAGATGTTGGTCATGTGAAAACATGTCTTCCAAGTAGGAGGACTTTGTTGTCTTTATGAAAATTGCAAAAGTAAAGGATATAATGAAGTATATATCCTTTGACTGTATTGAAACCATGTTATTAGGTGTAAATTTTTTCTGTAACAAGAAGGCAGTGCTTTGAAATTTGATAAATATATAGTACCACTCAAAAGTAAGTTGACAGTCCTTCAATCCTCAATCCTCGATCCTTGATTCCCAGTCCTTCCTCCTCGATTCTCAATTCTCAATAGTTTCGAGTATTGAGGATGGATTTTTGAGTTGAGACTGTCAATTTATTTTTGGGCAGTTGGTGGCGTTTAAAAAATTTCTGAAGGTAATTTGCATAATAATTGAGACAGAATATGCAGTTATGTGTAGGTTGTCTCTCTCAGTTTATAGTATTTCTGTGTGTTGATTTCTTTGGTTGGTCTTTTTTCAGACAAGGACTTCATATGTATCCAGTCCATGGATGGAATGTTGTCATTCTTTGAACAAGAGAGTTTTGCCTTTGGGAGATTTCTCCCAGGTTTTCTTTTACCTGGTCCTCTGAGTTATGTGCCAAAGACAGATTCATTTGTAACCTGTAGCTCATCAAGGCTGATTGAATCTTACAAGTAAGACTTTTTCCTGAAGCAGTTCTTATTTAGACTAGATTTTTGCCTTGGTTTGACCTTTACTGTAACTCCCAAAATGTTATTGTCAATTCTCCCCTTCAGCTGCTCCACATTTCCTTGTAAATTAGTTACAAGAAATTGGTGTTAAATCAAGATGACAATTTCTACCTGATAAGTTTGAGTATTCTCATTACATGTATGCTGGATGGTTTATGGATATTTTGAGGAGAAGTAACATGTTAATCACTTCTGGGAGTGAAAGTGTTAAGAGCTGGCAATGATTTCTTGAGAACTTACCCATATGTACACAAACTTGCTGTTTATTGAAACCCAATGTTAATTTTTTTTCTTATTTTTCTGTTCTCTTGTGTTGTAAAGTTGAACTTCTTTTCCTGTGGAATTTATTTCATAAGCTTAGAAGGTCCACAGCTCTCTTGAGATGTAGATATTAAAATACACAGCTTAAAACAAATTTGTTGATGACTGTGGATATATGAAAATCATATTTGTGAATTTTTTTTTTTTTTTATGAAATGAATATGAAAGCGATCTCTGCAGTGCAGTGCTCTATTAAGTTTAGTAAGAACCAACACAATGACCAGCTCCCAGTGGCTTGTTAGCTGACAGTAGAGTACTGCACCAGTATCATAGAGGTGACACATTTTTAATCCTGTGCAGGCCTTATTTTCCCCACTGCTTAAGCAGTGTTCATTACTATGAAGATGGCTTTCATATTCATGAATGTGTTGTGTGGAGCCTAGAATGCTTTTTATTTTGATTAGTTTATTTCGAAAATTAGAGTGGTGTCTGATTGTGAACCATCAGCTGTCTGAATTGATTCAAGAAAAGTGTCTGGAAAAAGCACCACTGCAGCTTCATTTATTACAAACATTATAGCTGGCAGGACCCATGGGTGATATAAAGTATATCTTTCATTCTGATTTGCTAGCCCAAGGCAAGAAGATGGGTCCATCTTGCCAGCTCAGGATTGACAAAAGAACTCTGCCAATATCCAGCCCATACTGCTTGGTCAATACCACATATGTACTGAACATTTTTGCTGTTTATTTCACAGATACCAGACTCTTGCTGTCGCAACAGATGCGAACACAAAAGAAGATATTGGAAATAAAAAAGTTTCAGGAAAGAAGTTAACTGTAAGTCTCCACGAGATGCAAAAGCTGCATATATACTTGTACATTATAACTTTAAATAGTGCCAGGTATTTTGTGTAGTGCTGCCATCTGTATCATTCCTAACAAATTTGTGAATGTAAGTCAGAAATTAAGAATATGCAGCAAACCTCCTCATACAATATCATACTTTCTTTTGAATTTTTACCGTGTCAATTTGCCATCATGTAGCATTTATTGACACAAATTATGATATTTTTTGACGTTTTAAATCACAATTTTTGCATTACCAGCCATTTGCTCAGTTGCATGTTTCTACATGTTGAATGAGATGCCACAGAATAGTTACATGTAGGATAGCTTTTAAACAAGTACTTCAGGTTGCCTGAGTTCCAATGAGGTTTATTTTGCAGATCGACTGGTCATCAAATATTGGTGAAAGTGCAATAGACATAGTTGTTTTCACCAGTGCAAATGCACCACTATCAATTTATGTTTTAGGTAAGAGATATAAAGTTGTAATGGTAATAATAATGATATCAGATATAGTTTTTATTAATTTATTATTACCATTATTGTTAATATTATTAGCATTATATTGATTTTATGCACCAATCAATTTGAAGTTTCAACTTCCGTCACCCTCCCCTGGGCAACACCACCAGGTAATCTCCCCAAAGGCATTTGAACTTTTGAAGATGGATTTATTTAAATTCCCACCCCATGTGGCAAAAATTGTGTTCAAATGACCAACCCAATTTTCTTCTAAAAGGCAAAGACTTTCTTCAAAGAGACCAAGCTTCAATATCTAGACCTTGCATGAATCTTTTCTTCTGAGGTACTTGCGAACAAAAGTGAACTGTTTACCTCAAACACCTCCATATTTAAATATTTGACACTTGTGTTTGGCTGGAAAGACTTGACATTTCCTGTTCAAATTCCTTGCCCCAGCTGCGTAAGGTTCAAATTCTCTACTCCCTAGGCACAGACAATGGTCAAATTCCCGTGGATTGTGGGAAGGGATGTTGGAACTTCTAACAACTGGTACATTAAAACTGTCACCTGTCTTGAATTAATTTGATTTATTATTGTCAAATTTTTGAAACTACAAGATGAAAGGTTGGATATGTTGTGGTTCAAAATATTATTTTTTATCGGTTTAAAAATTCAAAACCATGATTATTTTTTCCCAAGGTTCCTTGAGGTTTTGATAATTGATTAACGGATCTAAGATAAAGGAAAATCAAAATTAAATTCAGGATTGAAAATTGTTAAACCAAGGCAAATTCTAAACACAACTTACATGGTACAGTGTACATGAAAACTTAAATTTATTTTGTTTTGTCTCTAGGTGAACGCTCATTGTTTTGTCTTAATGAGAATGGATCAGTTAGATTCATGAAAAAATTTGAATATAATCCAAGTTGTTTCATTCCGTACAATTCAGGTAAGGAAATATTGTTAAATTTCCTATTAAAGATAGTTTTAGCCTAGACTAAACCCAGCATCATACCAGCCACAAAGTATTTTCTCACAAGCATTTAACAATTTTTCATTGAATAATGGTTTTACAACAATTCTTAATGATTGATGCGTTGTCCTTACACTGGTTACTTCCTTGATTTTTGTTTTTTAGTACAGTAGTTCTAATTCCAAGATTAAGATAAACTAGAGTAGTCCGCTCTTTTTACCAATTTTCTGAAAGGTACTGCAGCTTATCTCAGTCTCCATAAAGAGATGCAATGAGGATTGTTGCTATGCAGCTAGTCCAGTACAGGTTACCCTTAATCCTTTAACTAACTTGGGTGACCAAAACAGAATTTCTCCTTACAATACCACTACAATATCATGCAGACAGGTATTGAGAATCAAGGAAAATGTAAATTGGGGGATTGTTGGTTGATCCAATATTAAATTCTCCAAACTGAGATCTTAAGAATAGTATGAAAGAACGTAAGGAAAATTAGTTAATTTATGACAAAGAGTTAAACTTCTTGTTAGGCCTCCTGAAAGTTCACCGGGACTCATTTATTCTCCAAAATGGACACAGGCACTGTGATAGTTTACACGTGCGTGTCTTGCCTAAGAATAAAAGAATGACCATGGTTTTATAAAGAATTCTTCCACAAGCTCGCGTTGGATATAAGATGATAGATAGCTATAATCATCTCGTATCAAACGGGCGTGAGTGGAATAATTGTTTTATTGAAAACGCGCCAAAATATAGATGAATCTTCCCAACTCCATTTTGTAAGAACAAATGGAATGTTACAATTTACAAAAACGCTTCCGTTTTAACTCTTATTCATGCGTGCACATGCTATAACGGCTCGTAATCCACGAACGCCAAGCCAATGAAAACTCTCGAATTGCATTATCCAATGGTCCAGTTCTTAATGGAATATATTATTTTGACCATCAATCATTCCTTCTCTAACCTGCTTTTCAGTGGTGGAAGGGACAGTTAATGCTCTGGTAGCCACTTACAACAAGACGCTGATGATATACCAAGACGTTACACTTTCGTGGGCGGCGCAACTACCCCACATTCCTGTTGCTCTTAAAGTAGCTTCATTTCAGTAAGTTGATGGAAAGATTAAGGTGAAAAAAAAAACTGAGGCTACTTCATGTTGGTGTTTTGCTGAAACTAACTGTATTAAAAAAGACATTGCTTTTCATAGGTTTGTGTAAAGTCTTAAAAAAATACCATGGGAAAAAATATACCATAGGCAAAGAATCTATTAGTATTTTGAGAAGCTCCTTTTGTCAACAGAGAGTTTCTATTTAAAAAATGTCGCAGGGGTCTGGTCTGGTTCTTGTTAAGAAGGTCACAAGTACACAGAGCAGAACTCTTCTTGTATCGCACTCACTTGACTCGTAACGTACGCAACAATCGACATCTGTTCACGCGCCCGCTTGTGAAGTATTCTGTGAGATCTCCAGGTTTTGATAGCCACTTAAAGTCGGGACGGGTAAGAATCAATCAGTGGGTTGGGTGCGAAACTTCCGTGGGTGCGAAACGTCCGTGGGTACGAAACGTCCGTGGGTACGAAACGTCCGTGGGTACGAAACGACTGGATACCTAATAAGTTACGAAACTGTTCTCCGCAGTGAATAAAAAGAAAGTTTTACCCCTATGGATATTAAGGCAGAGAGATTTTGTGTCAGCGGAAGAATTTTCCTGATCTTGGATACCAAATGAGCTTTCGGTTGAGACAAATACAAATGGAAATTTCTGTGATCCAATTTTACGGTGAGAAAATTCTGTTACAGTGACAGATTTTCTCAATCATTCTGCGTTTCACCAAAAGTAAATTGTTGTTGGGACGTGTTGCTGTGGCATACCACTGTGATTTTTTCCCTAGTGTGTTGTAGCCGTAGCGATTAGTCAGTCACGAAACACGCTTACGAATGATCTTCTTCTTTTTTGTGAACTTTTACCACAGAGAATTACAAGGTGTAATAGTGACACTGGACGAAGGAGGTTACCTTCATTGTGCCTATCTGGGAACTGATCCCTCTATGATGGTGACACCAGCCCCTGAGGCAAGAGATATAAACTATGAGGTCAGTACAAGAGTGTTTTTTTGTTTTTTTGGTTTTGTTTTTTTTGCGAGTGTCATCGAAGATACAATGTAGATAGGGCAATTTTCAATTGAGTGTCGAAAATAATCCGCGATTGCACTGGCTTTGCTTTACGTCGTTCTGTGATTGGTCCAGGAAACCTCGCACCAATCTCTCAGTCAATCACATGCAAAACTGAAACCAATCACGACCTGGTCGCTAGCGTTTTCCAGCGCTTTCCCGCGCTCTAGGCAGTTTAGTTGTGTTTACCCTGGACTCTCATTGGCTGTTAAAGGCAAAAAAATTTACCGACTAGCCATTGCTATTACTTTGGTTTTGGTTTAACCACAATCAATCAAAGAGCGCATAATTCATGAATCCCGCAGACTTGTAAACCTCTACAATGATATGGTATTAAAATATACGTATTAGATTCTAACGAGGTGCAGTTGCACTTAATTTTGAAATTCAGGAGGCAGATGTTGAAATGAAAGAGTTGCAAAAAGAAATAAGAGAATCTACAATTAGTCCAGGTGAGGAAAGGACCAATTATTGCACAGTTGACGGATGATTACGTCTGCTTTAAGACTGTGGAGGATGTTTTGACTTTATGATGAGCATGGGAGATTCAGGATGAAAGAGAGGCAGAGTTAAACCCTGGTGGTTGTGTTGTTATCCTGCAGTGGGAGATCTAAGGGTAGGGTCCACCGGGGGGATCCAGACCTCCCCTTTCCCCCCCCCCTCTCCCATTTTACGTATTGTCTAAATCCAAAATTCTTCCAACGATGGGATCGCTTTTTTTTTTCTTTAATGCACTTATTTTGAAAATTTTCAGCTTATATGAGCTCTAGTGTACGTTGTGACTTCGAATCAAATACTGTATTTCCCGTCTGGCCTCCACTCAGCCAATAAGAACACAGTATTTGCCAGGCTATCCTAAATGCATACATTTGACTCTTTTTGTAGAAATTCTTCCCAAAGCACAGCAAAGAGAAGACCTTGTTATCTCTGTAAATGTACCAACAAGTTTAGACGCAGTATCGGTAAGTAAAACACTTACCATGAGTCGCTCATCTTTCATCTGTAGTTTAAGTCTATATGTGCTTACAATTTTGATGAAATAGAATTAAGCAACAGTAGAAAAGAAGCCAGGAAACTTCAGGCTTCAACGGGAGTCGAATCCAGGCCTCCTAGATACTAGGTGGACGCTGCTACCATCTGACATACGAAGCCTCACTTTGGGAGCGAGGCAAACAAAAGAGGGTTTTTCTCTTCCGTGGAAGAATCTGATCACAATTTAGTCAAATAAATTTCATTTGATTAGCTGATGAAAATCAAGAACAGCAACATTTGATCCTCGCAGATGTGCTGCAATTTCAGCAATTGTTTACATTTGCAATTGCTTAATTTAATAAGCTTAGACCAGCGCAACCTCATTATAAACATGACATTGATTTTACAAATTTCTATGACCAAATTCAGTCTGAGTCCTTGTCCAAATGTTGCCCCTAAGATGTTAGTTTCATAATCTATGAATTTATACGAAATTACCTTTCAATCAGTGTAAGTTGGCATTTTGAGAATGTGTTTTGTGTAAGAAGTATCAGATCAAGCATAACGCGGTTAGTGACGGTGGAGGGGACATGATATACAAAAAGGGGTGGGGAGGGACAGACACTTGTAAAGACACTCAGCGATACTACACACCATAACGTTTAGTAAGATATACTTACTGTTCAATAAACTCGTTTCAATTTTTTAATGGACGTGTTTTAAATCTGTGTTTACAGCAAAGTACAATAGATGAGGGCGATGAGGAGACATTCCCATCGATTACAGTAACGGTAAGTTTTTGACAGAAAGTAGATATAAATATATACGTGTAGCTGTACCCTCCCCTTCCCCAAGGGGGAATGTTACTCCTGGGGGGGGAGGGGAGGGTACGGCCACGCGTAGGTTAGAATTGTTAGCCATACAGTACACGCGTTTCTCGGCTCCCGCGGGTTGGTTTAAGACGAGTTGGAGATAGGTTTGCCAGGAGTCTGGCACTACAAAATCTGAGTTAAATTCTAGCCTGCAGTCAAGATAATATAAACAGGTCAGTTTCTCTTGCCAGCGGTATATTTGTCTTGTCATGGTGAGTTAGCGTTACGAACTCGCGATCGTATATCTTGCCGGCCACGTTTGACTGAGAGTTCGAGTAGACGATGGGGGGAGGGGTGGAGAAAGACTCTATTGCTTTACACCCTTGCCTCTTCTTCTTTTCTGACCGTCGTAGCTATAATTTTCACCGAGAAAATACTAAGCACTTGCTCGCTAAAATCACACCGGCATTACAGGAATCATAAATTCAACATGAATTGTCTCTGAAGTTTGTTTTTATGAAAATCACCTTCATCACACAAGGCGACTTATCGCAGCGACTTGACCGCACAACGATTTGTCATCTAGTGTGTACCGACTTGGAACCCGAGTGGGTCATCCAATTTTTATCCTGCTTTCTCAAAGGAGATGTATCGTTCGTCACTGTTAACAAGAGCCTGTCTCCTCCTTAGATCACTCTCAAGTCACAAGCACCAAGTCCCTTAGAAAATGTAGTTCTTAGTGTCATATCCAGTCCCCCCATTATGTGTAACAGATCATCCATTGTCTTCCCTATTATCGGTGAGTAAAAGTGTCATTGTTGATGAACTACGAATTAAAGATAAGCTTTTGATATTGGACAATAATTTCTCAGCAGAAATTTCTCTAAGTGTGAACTGTTAAATTTTTCACCGCAAAACATTAAAAATCGACAACCGCAGTATAGAAATTTCGCAAAATCATCATGCAACGGTAAGTCAGTAGTATCATAACTCAGGCGTTCTTGAGGCCTGATTCTTAAATTCGGGTTTGTTCGTCTCCATTCACAAATTACAAATTTGAGGCTTAAAAGCGCTTATGTAAGTGCAGATATTTTCCCAATGTAGGCCTTAAGGTTTTCAAGTTGAAAAGCAGGTGGAAACACAGTGTAAAAGGGATGGCATTTTTCTCACCCTTTTCAAAAGCTTCTAACATGTATTCCTGGTTGCGAGTTCCACATGCAGTTACATACATATGAAAACCGTCGGGAGATTGAACCTACATTTCAACCATTACCAGCGCTTGAGTACCCTTAGATATTTGTCGAGTTTGACTTCTTAATTATTTCTATGAAGATACAGCCTTGCTGTAAAGAGTACCATTATCATCGCATTGTTTCTTTCTGTCGTTGTTTATTCTCAGGAGATAGAAGTGAACCCGTATCTGCAGAGATCTCTTTCTATTCACGTGGAGGATCTATTCCTTGTTCGTTAAAAGCCCAGGTCACGGCAACGTACGTTACAAACTCTGGTGAGTTCACTTGCATCCCGTTCTCATAAGATTGAACTTAAACACAAGGACTCAGGGAGATTAAACGACAACAACAACAACAACAACAACATTGTTTTGGGAGGTAAAGGATCAATGGAATAAGTAAGGGATGCATTTTCCAAATATTCATCAGAATGTGTGAGTTCTTAAACCTTTTTGCGGCTTATCGTGGCTTCTGTCAAAATTTAGTTACAGCAGGGGGATTGCTAGTCATTTTGGTGTTGGAGATAGATGTTCCTTACTTTGAGGACTTCGAGAGACGAGTGTAACCCGTAACTGAATTTAGGATCGATAAAAATAATGAGCAATCAAAAAGAGCGCGGTTTACAGAAATCTACATTGCACATGTAAACTTGTTCTCACCTCAGTTTTTGTGTTCATAGAGGCTCCACGGGTCGCCCAAACAGACATTCATTTCCCATTAGCTGTTGTCTGTAAAGGATGTCCGCCTGTGAAAAATGCAACTCATAAGGTAAGGATTAAGGACGAAATTATGACACACTCTATGGGGGCAAAAGAAAGATAAATATGAAATTCTATACTCTGAATTCAAAACCTCGAACGGACGGGAAGTCTTGTATTTCCGTGATTTACAACTTTGTGTGCCCCACAAATGAGGTCTGACGCTGTTCGTGTCCACCCTAAATTCTTAAGATCGGAAGTTATTTCTTTAACCCTTTAACCTGTAAGAGTGACCCAGGGTTTTCATTTGAGGCCGGAGGCCGGACGTTTCGTCCGGTCGTTTGCCATTCCACGTCCGGTACTTTGAGATCAATATTGGCGATTTTTTTTTACTACGGCGCTCGCGAGGCGCCTTACGGCGCCAAGAAAACATTCACGTCCGGTGCTTTCAGAAGTATGTCCGCTACTTTACAAAACAGTTGAAAACCCTGGTGACCAGCTTCTAATTTCTCCTTACAATATCAACCCTGAATCGAACAAAGTGATAAGATTTAAGGAAATGATCACCAACTTATAAAGCTCCTAATTTTTAAACAAATTCTCCTTGCCAGGGCTTCAGGAAATGTATAGAGAACAGTAGAATATGCATACTGATGTTAGGGTGTACAGGGTTAATGGTTAGGGAGAGATAACCAGGTATTTTAAACGTTAACACAGGAATGTTAGTAATATCAACAAAACTAACAACAGTCAAAGGAACAAAAGTTTTCGGTCAAAATTGAATTATTTTTTTTCTCTATGCCTTAGCTTACTTTAGATACCAACAAACCTCCTGTGAATCTTGCTGAAATATTTCCGGGTAAGTCATTGGTTGCTGTGTTATCAGTTGCTCTGTGGGATATTTCGGGATGATTTTTAAAGCTATCAGGCCAGTTATTTGAAAAGCAGTTAACGCAGATGGTGCATCACTGAACAACCAAAATATCGAGTTCCAAATTGTAAACGCTACTTGGCAAAGAATACAAATATTGTTGATAGTATGGCATACAATGTCGACAAACAACTGAAGAACAAACAAACAAAATAATGATAGGAAAACCAACCAAAAAGCGATACTCCTCGGGCAAATTGCTTAACCGATGTTTTTGTCGGCGTTACGCAACGATTCCGTGGTCGTTTCTTGCTTTTTGCGAGGTAGATGTCACATAAACAACAATATATTATATTTGACATGATTGGAGAACACCAAAATGAAACAAACAAAGCATAAAAACAAACAAACAAACATACAAGGATGGAGACGATTACAACGGATTACAAATGGAGAAATTCGAAACTTTTGGTCCACTTTCGTTTCGAGTTCCACGAACTGCAACTTAACTCCTTGACTGTCCGTATCGTTTTCTTTTTGTAGATATGGTAAACGATGCTGTAATTCCGATGGCAGCAGTTGGCATAAAGTACTTTGGTGGACCGCTTGTTACAATCCTCGCTTCAAAAACATCACGTATGTACAATAGCGATATACACGAGATTGCAAAATTGTTGACACCTAAATCCCGTTACAAATGAACGATGAGACCCAACGGCTTTATGGGTACACATGTACGTGATAACTTCTTTTAGTTGAACGCGGCAAATGATAGAGGCCATTTTCACTTTCCTGAAAGAAAAAAAATATCATAGACAAAAATTCCTCATAAAGGATAGAAAAAGTAGAGCACTGACTTTGTACTGCGCAGACACTTCCCGTAAAGCCGTTGGGTCTCTGCTCATCGTTCATAGATCACGCCTTTAGTTGCCAACGATTTTGCAATCGAGTGCAAGTCAGGTTTGAATTATTTCTACCTCCAACTCATCATTTCACCTCTTGTTTCCCTTGTCACGGTATTGTGATTTACTACGTGAAGTGAAAAGAGCCGTGTCTTTTCTTTGTAGAAAGATACAGAATCCAGTGTGACGTGTTTCAGGGAATGTGGCTTGTTCTACATGAGGTTTGCAAGCGTTTAGAGGCGCACTTCAAAAAGAATAAGGTAACACCAACAAGACATTACAAAAAGATTTCACATCTTAATTTTCTTCTTTCATAGCCGGATGGTAACCTCATGAGGTTAAGGAGGGGGGGTGCACATTTATCGTTCCCTCTGTCTATCCTTTTTTGGCTACAGCTTTGCAACTTTTGGTTTCTGTAGTGATCTCGACGTTGGGCAAAGATTTTCAATAAAAGAGTTGTTTGTGTTTATAATTTCTATCATGTGATCTCTTTGTAGGACGCCGTTCAATTTCGTGCATCATTCATGGGCCCGTTGCCTTTACAGGAATATTACGAACTGATAGATGCTCATTTTGAGGTAAGTGCCACTCTCATTTGTCGCAGGCTTTATCGTGTAATGTGCTTTTTACCAAGAGATTATAAACGCTTTGTTATCTCTTGTTTCTGACTATTGGTTATATATTTCTGTCACTCAATACTTCTTCAAACCGTTCTATGAAGGTGGGTTTGAGTCAGCCGTGGCAATTTAAAAGACATCCGCCCTGACGAAGGGCTAACACTCGAAAGTTCAGTTTCAGAAATTCTTTACTATGGCCAATTTACATGATATTACTTATCAGCGAGGAAGCAACGCAAATGTAACGTCATATAAGTTTGCATCATCCAAGAGATTATCCAGTTTATAATCTCTTGCTTCATCTGATTCACAGCAACGCTGTAACCAAACGAAGTACCGCGAGTTGCTATCACAGCGGGCTCAACAGTTTCGAGCAATTCAAAGAAGATTGTTAACAAGGTTCAAAGACAAGACCCCGGCACCACTTGCGAACCTCGACACTCTTCTTGATGGGACTTACAGACAGGTACGTAGAATAAAGATTGACACTGGAAGGTGTTGATGAAAGTATAAGTTGTTTTTATTTTACTTAAAAAGTTAGTATGTTACGAGTATGAGTGCGAATTTATCGAATAGGAGGCGTTATATTAAGGAGGAAATCTTACAGCCTTCATAAATTTTCTCATTTTTCTTTTGGTATTGTACGAAAAAGCTAATCGGAATGTTTGCCCAATTAAAATAACGAATGAACAGGACGTAACTAGCTTTGATTATTAGGTCAACTTTGTTTTTCTCACACAAAAACATTAAGCCTTTATGTGTGCGGTATTTCTCTAGGATCTTATGTTCAATTGGTGTATTCCTGATTTTAATGGTTGAAACTGGGACATTTCAACTTTCTTGATGGTTCTTTTTGTACCGAGGAAAATTTCAAGAGATTTATAGGATTGTTTGTTTCGTGTAACTTACCATCAGTTAGAATTGAACGTAAGGTTACATTTCTGCTCTAAACGTCAATCAGCTGACATGCATTCTGGTAGAAAGCCATTTAAAGTATAAAATTATCTTCCTAGCTCCTCGCGCTTGGAGAGGCCGATGAGGAGTGCGAACGAGCCATAGAAGCAGCTTCATATAATCTATCATGCGGAACACGACTTATTAATTTCCTTATCAAGTAAGTGACGGCCCTCTTGTCAATAATAGAGCACTTGCGATTGCGTGTCGTAGAATAAAAACTAAAGTAATCCCGACAGCCAATCAGAAGATAGGAGAATATTACAACAAACCGGTGAAAACACAGACAAAAGACTAGAAAACTGCATATGACGCAAGAGTTCACGAGTGACCAAGTTTTGCGTTGTACTTTTGCATCTAATTGGATTTGAAGGTGGCGCAAGTTTTCTGGACCAATCATACAGTGACGCGAAGAAAAAAAAGAAGGCAGCCCCTTAATACCTCTGACGCTCACTTGAAAGTTGCTCTTTACGACACAAGAGAATGTGTAAGAAAACGTAAAGAATTTTTCTCGAGCGGGGTAAAAAGAAACATTCCACTTCGCGTTAGCGAGTTGAATTTTTCGCTCTTGGATGTGGTCATGAACGATGTGTTTTAGGCAAGGTTTGTGTTCTTTGCGTGACATTCCGTATGAGGATCGAACGCAACTTTATGCCATGTTACGCCATGCTGGCATCATATGTCACGCCATATAGGAATTTGTTCACGTCATCTGTTTTCATCTCTTTTAATTACTCCACAGGCTTTGGACCAACATGTCAGATAAAGATTTTGAGGTTCTTCAGACTGCGCTTTCTCCCGAAGTATCTGAATCACGGGAACAGGTATTTTAAAATCGTATTTTTTTAAATTTTATTATTATTTTTTTAATTATTATTTGTTCTTTATTTTGTCATTTTTTAATTATGATACATTGGTAGAAATAACAGAGGAATTACATTTACATTAATATGATATGCCTGAAGATTTAGCAAGGAGCGAGGAAACCCGTAGGGAAACCAAGAGGCTTATGCTCCTAATATTTGACAAAAGTGACGTATCAGTTTCATGGCGTGATTTAAGTACAAAATATTTTAGGTTAAAAAAAGAAAAGCCACACACACATAAAGGAACAACAACAAAAAACAAATTTTTGTCGCGAACATTGTGGTTTTCCCTCTCTGGCAATTTTTAAATCACTCGTCTTCTTTGCATCCGTAGTTTGAAATGTCAGGTGACATCCTAAAAAAAAAAAGAACAAGAAAATGAAAAAGGGAACTGAAAAGATAAGCTTTGATAATTTTATAGCATTCATAATTCTCGCAAACTTTTTGATAATTATGTGTGATCAACGGAGTTGTTAAAAACAAATCAAAACCAATACAACAAAGCAGACACAAACTAAAAGCAAAAAGTAAGTGGATAAAACGAACGTAAAAAGCGACTACTGCCAATTTCAAGTCGTGTATATGGTTTCCATTAAACAAATGGATGCCATGTTTCCGTACGTCTATTTAGTAATAGGTCACAGATGACGTTAAAATCTGGTAAGACCGAAAATTTAGCACACTAGGCGCAGCTGTGTGTGTCGCTGATGTTCTTACCACATTTTGACTTTTTTTGCGATCTTTTATGGTCTCGAGCCACCGCAACATGGAATCAATTTGTTTTCAATAATAAAAAAGAAAAGGTTGTTAATGGTGACGTCATCTATGCGTCTGCCCTCCAAAGCATCATGGGTAAGAACCACTCAAAACGCGTGTTTAGGTCAGCTTATCATGAAATATCAGCTAATTTTCCAGGAGTCGTCCTTGCTTCGGGGATTCATTTCTCCTCCTCCCTCCAGTTCATTTTCAATTCGTTTCGGTGAACGTAAACTGTGTCACTAGTACTCTTTCTTGTAACGGTGGTAAACAAGTTACATCTGTAATTTGCTGTTTCAGATTGTTGAAATACATCGCTTATGTAGTTCTGTGTCTTTCCTTGTGTTCAGGGCTGGGAGGAAATTACAGATGCTGCAATTACGCACCTATTGCGGACCTGTTTGGCAAAAAGTGCAAAGGATCAGGCTGGTTAGTGCCGCCGTTTAATTTTAAATTGTCTCTGATTTAATGAGTCTGAACGTTGAAATAATTTTTTGGAAAAAAAAAAAAGAGGTTTGGAATTTTTTGGAAAAAACTTGCACCAAACGTGTGTCCAAATCTCGCTCAGTGTTCTTTGACTCTGCCTACAGTTGGTGTTTCAGCCATGAAGATTCCTAAAGATACAAGCAAGCTAAAGAAACACATTGCACTGATGTGTGACAGGCTCAATAAGGGCGGCAAGCTGGATTTATCTCTATCATCGCAAACGGGCGAACCCCTTGTACAGCAGCAACAACAGAAAGCGGTCACACCGCTAGAACCGCTTAGCGAAATGCAGGAGGAAGAAGATGAGACAGGTATAAAACGCAACAGATGAGATTTTCATTTCTTTTCACAATTTTAATTCACTTTCTAACGAACAGATAGTGAGTACATCGTATAATGGAAATGATCTCAAAATAACGGCGGGTTCGAGTCAATTGTTCCACGCCTTACCTTTTTGCAACGGAGGTTGAACTTATGGCTTTACTGGGTAAAAAAAAATTGTTTGTCTTCCTATTTGATAGACCTACGCGCATGTTGGCGGGCCCACTAGGGGCCAAGCACAAGCGATATCCCGAGCAGTAGTCAGTTTATCCCACGCAACCTGGGGTAAAGCTTTAGCCTCGTGTGCCTCTGGGCTCGATACCAGACTTACTGACGATTATTTGCTTTGTTTCCAGATGGTTCATCCGCATCCTCCACGTTAGACAGCGACCGTTCGTCTGAGATCTCCGACACGGAGTCTGTGTCGAGTGGCGGAAAGGTGCCACCTCGATTACCGCAACTCAATCACTCACGGAAACCTCCGCCAGATTTGAACAAGAGACTACTGGTTACTCCTGGATCTGATGAAGAAAGTATGGTGTTGAAAGGAATTGGTGCTGCGTCCTTGGCGAATGGTTTACCTGAAGATCACGAAAGAGCATTGTAGCGCAATCACTGGCCTCTGATGGTCACACAACGCATGTTGGTCACTCCAGTCATTGTCACAGCAAGTCCGCTCCAACAACATGTCACACCAACATGTATGATACACACGTGGCAAAACACTCTTTGTACAGTCTCCTTGAGTTTGTCACGCAAAATTAAACAAGAAGCAATCTAATGTGGGTGCTTCCTTTAAGTATTTAAAGATTTGATGTACAACCATTCCGAATAATTTTACGTTCAGAATTACATGTTTTTAAAGTACAACGTACCCTTTATCGTGGGAAAACATCTTTTTGATATCCCGTGACTTACCATTTTTTTTTCTTGATCTCATTCGTATATGGCCTGCTTAGCAGGTAGGGCTCAATTTATCCAGGGGCGAGTGGTGATGATGATGTAAGCTGAGCGTACGCAGCGAAAGTTGATTCCCATCAATAACTGATTTTTCTTTAGATAAGCTCAGTATTTGATGGTAATGTAATGTTTCTGTTAACAAACAAGTAAAAGATCACGATGTATTACTATCCTAGTCCAAAGAAGCAGGAGAAAATGAACGGACAACGGTAAAATCTCCTGATCTAGGCACTAGGATGAATAATTTTTTATAGATAGTCCCTTGAATGGACACTTGGTGTACCGCATGAAGTCTTGACCCGACGGCAAAAAAAGGGACGATTATTTTAAACAATGGAAAAGACATTGGAAAGGAAGAGAAATGATCTTTTTTAGGGAAGAATTCAAGCGTTCTATTTGAGATAGCAAGCAAGTAGATTTACACTTGACCTAATGTATCTTTAATGGAGTGGACACATCCCAGGTAACGCCCTAATTGTTCTCTGTGCCCTCATTCCTCGTTTTTTCTTGCGTAAAGTTATTTAATGTAAAGCTTAGACTCCGAATGGAGGAGTGTACAATATTGTATATGGACTGAAGAATCAGTGATCTGTAATTTAAAGTTGTAGAATGTTGTAAAATAAGACTCAGACAGGAGAGCTCGTCAGAATACCACAACTATCATCCTGCTACTTTGTAACTTAAGCAAGAAGACAAAATTCTCATATTCAGCCGTTAAGAATTCTTATGTGGACTGTGTCATAGTGGATTAGACCACCATGTTTGATTTAGCCATTATTCGCCCCGAGAGTTGAGGTTGATGAGCAATTTTGCGTCCAAATTAAAAATAAAAGATTACGAGCAAAGCGACTTTTTTTTTCAAATTTACATCATCAACGAGTTGAAAAAAGGTGGTTTTACTATAGCGTCTCACATTCACACTACTGCGCCAGTGCCCACGCCTCAAATGAACACCTGACCGCAAGAGAGTTATAACTGGTTCAGAAAACTCGTGCCACTTCCTCGACCAATCAAGTATAACACCAAAACTAATGGCGGCTTGGCCTCTCACGTTTTCTCGCGCTTTGAATGGGTTCCTTAAATTGATCTGGAATTCTCGTCAGCTGTTTGTCATGAGTTATCGTCTGATTAGCCACTGTGATAACTTTGGTCGAGATTTTACTATACAATACATTCAATTGAAAAGCGCTCTCGTTTTATTAGCGAAACTTTATTACCTTGTTTGCTAAAAAACCGGTCATGATCAAAACTTACTACGGTGAATTAATTCACCTATTTTACGTAGTCGTCAGTTTGTATGGCCTCGTGAGTGTGTTAAATTAAATGCCTTTTCAGTTAATTAAGACATGGACACCACGAAACGTAAAGAGGTAGAAACGTAACTCCTTCTATGCTAAACTTCATTTCCTGAGAAAAGAGTGTTACACGTAAAATTGGACGTTTATACAATTCAATTACAATTTTTTTTTACATCGAATCATCAAATAGGTATGAAATCAACCCTTTACAGTTTTTAAACTAAGAATTAAATACCATCGGTCTTAATTCCAGTTTTAAGAGGATATAATGACAAGGTTTTCCAAGTGATTTCATATTGTGATCCCTTTTGAAATGACCCCAGCCTTTCTTTAGTATAAGGCTTGGTTCCTTAATAAGTGGAAAAAATTTTATGTGGTAAACTTTTTCACTAAAAATTACATTCAAATTTTGGGTTGTACTTTAGTTGAAACCAGGGCAAATGCTTACATGACACTGTTAAAAGTCTAAGGAAAATTTCAGTCTTATTTGGTAAAAATATTTGTAAGGTATTCTTTGAGACCACGGGTTAATAGTTATTGGTGCCTGATGCAACAGATGAGTAAGACAATTTAAAGATTCATAAATAATATACGTTGTCATTTATAGGATTATTATAGATATGACGAGGTTTCGAATGTCAACATTAAGCAATGTCAGTATCAAAGAAACTTCGCACCTACCCCTCCCCTAACTGAACAACAGTCAAGTGTAACAAGTTAGGGTTAATGTTGAGTTAGGGGGAGGGGTAGTTCTGAAGGGAGTTCTTCTATGGATGATTTGATATCCACCCCTCAGGTTTCGGTGAGAAAATATATATCCTTTGAGATAAAAAATATATATTAGTTCGATACGCGCGTGTGATGACTAATGCTACGCAACTGATAGCGATGTGTAAGATTAAAACTATTTGTGAAACCATAGACTTCGTTACATATGTATGGTCTCGTTGATAGGTTCACAGTCCATGGGTGTGATTTGTAAAGTTATTGTTGCTGCTGAGCAGTCAATGGAAACCGTCCATCTCTCCTTTCTCTCCTGTCATATGAATTGGACGAATCCTTGCGACTATGCGCGCGCATACACGTGTTTCATCGAAGTACTGACCAGCTGGTTCATATATGAGTTATTGAATGCAAATGTTGTCGGCTAAAACTATCTTTATCTTCCATCGTTATTCTTCATTTGTCTGATCATCCACTTGTGACTCCTCTTCAAACTCACAGCCGCTCTTCGTAGTTTACCCTGAATGGACGACAGCTGTTGGATTTTCAAGTTACAACAAAAGGTTAGATGAAGGCTAGTGAAATATGTGTAACTTTATCATTGTTAATAGAGACGTAGATTTGAAAAAAGCATTAAATTTTTATCTCCGCCATTTAACATTGTATATTGAAGTCAATTGATCAAGGTGTTCTGAGATTCTAAATAGTAAGCTTACGATTAGAAAAAATGTCTTCAGATGTGTGAGAAATTCGATCAGGGAAGCCGCCATTTTGAAAACAACATTGCGACAGGGCCGGCCACCTTTAAGGGAAAAGAGGAGTGACACGTTGTTACGTCGAAGGTAAGCGATCAGGCTGCCAAGCCAGATTTGAAAGTGACATAGATGTATGCTACTTTGAAGGCAAACTTCATCAGATAGAAAAAGTCTTTTGAAGCTGATAACATACTCGCGTCATAACGTAGGGTAGTGAAAATGATAAATGCTTTCTACGGCATAAGCGCCTTCATCATCGTTGTCACACAGCACTTTGCACCACCAACTGCGTGACCTTTATCAATTTCTCCGTTCTAGTAATTGTTCATTTGTCTCAATGTGTCTGATTTTTAGACAAGGCACTGATTGAAAGTTTCATTTCGATGTTTTTTCACTGAGCGGTGGTAAATGCTGCTTTCTATATTTAGAAATTTGAGTACTAGTGGTGTAATACGGAGCATTAACAATTCTTTGACGGTGGAAGAGTCTACGAAATTCAAAGTGATATGATTCATGGTAGCTTTTTTACGAAAAGCACCTAGTATGTTTAAATAACATCATAGGCGTTAAAACTTCGAATGCAAAACAGAATTTTTCGAGGAGGTGAGAAAAAGATGTTATCGTTCTTTTCTTGGAGAATGTTTCAGATTAAGAACTTGTTGGGTTTTCTTCTGCGAAGCAAATAGAGAGATTTGCCGAAAGGTTTTGGTGTGTTTGCAAGTTCTTTTTGCGACATCAGATTGTTTACTTTTAAGCACATCTTCCCCGCAGCCATCTCACCTGTGGAGGGCATTTCTCCGGATGAATACATTTTGTCCTTTGACTGTTCCATACAGTTCCCACCGGACACAGACAACCAGGCACGCAAGAGCTGCTGGGACACGGAACACTTACGTCATCCTTGTTGTCGCACGTCCGCTGACAGGCAGGAGCACAGTCGTCAAAGACGGCGCCTTTGACAGCGCAAGAGACTCCTTACAAGCAGGAAAACAGTAACTCAAAATTTATCTTGGAATTTTTTTTTGATAAATGTCGTGCAGTGAGTGCAAAGTGCTATCTCATTTATTTCTGTGCACCTGTCTTAGGACAGCATTTGCGAATACCTAAGATTTCGTCTGGTATGTCATTACGCGAACTGTATAAACCTATATAGCTCTACGAGCGTGGAAATTACTCTAACACTTACCACAATAACTTTTCCAATTCCTGCCCCAGTTCACTGTGATTCCTTCGCTTTTACACTTGTTTTTGTAAGCCAGAACAGCGTCACACTCGCACCGCCTTCCTGTACACTGACAGACCGCCGAAACGCACGACGAGTAATATGCGTCCGGCTTCACCTTTCCGTGACAGTTTGCAAACTGCTTCTTGATAACAGAGCATCGTTTACGACCACTAATGAGTCTCCGCAAACGACATTGTGACATCGTTGACTTCACTGGTTCTGAAGGGGCTTTCTTGCACCCGTGATTTCTTCGACCCAATGACCAACTTTCTCCAAATTCTTGAGCGGACGTAGCGCGCCTGCCGTTTTTCAGATTAAAGTCGTCTTTTGAGTTACCGTTGAAATTCCCACACAGCCCGTCGACTTTACCCATAAGACTCTTCGGCACTCTTATCTCAATGAAACCCTTACCATCCCACTGGACCTGAACTCCTATGTTGGACACAAGGGTTATGGTAAAACTACCCTTCGTTATCTGAAAATAAGGCAGATGATAGTATGGTAGCTTCACATCCGACTTATTCACTTTCACTTGCAGGTCCTTATGTAAAACAATCGAGGAGTCAACCAAATGGATCGCCAGGGCCTTGGACCAAGCGTAGACTTTGGTGTATCGCCGATCATTACGCATGCGTATGGTAAAGTTTGCGTTGTCTGACGTGAGTTGGTATCGGCAAGTGCCATGAAAGTTGAACATTTGACCATCGAATGTTCGATAATGTGGGTCTCCATACGATGTACAAACACCAGTCTCTAAAAAGGCAAACAAACAAACAAACAAGTTATGAAGAAAGCCTGCAGCTGTTTAAAAAATGATTTAGTTTCAATTCAAGAAGTTTAGACTGCGAGCAACTCCTCTCGAATAGCTTTTGGGGCTTCTATGGCCAGCGGGGAAACATATGATCAAAGAGAGCCAAGCTGTATTCTGATGCAATTTACACCAGGTATGGATTATTTTTCTTTTAATTTTTGCTTCTCCTTTTTATTTCTTTTTTTTTCTCGGGCGTCCACAGTAGAGCCCGAGTATTAAAATGAGAAGGTTTCAGTTTCTTCCTTTTGCAAATCTCCCTCTGACTTCTAATGCACGTGCGCAAGGTGTAAGAAAGGTCAGCGGCGGAGCAGATGGTGTTTGGCCCCGGTCTGCAGCGTGTCTACGCGCCTGATCAAATGAAGGGAATGTGTCTGTGTTCATTGGAGTTTGAAGCGCTTAGAGAATCATTACTACACTTTTGAAATGCAACGGAGTATTCGCGGTAAACGCAAGAGTCTTCTCGAAGATGCAGAGGACGCCACGAGAGTCCTACCAGCGAGCTTTTTGAGTGAATTTTTTATTGAGCAACCAAGATTTAGTGAGCTTTCTGTGGAGTCCCTGTGGAGTTGGAAGAAGGATCACATATCTGCCAAAACAGATGCTGTCGAACACTTTTAAAACTCTACGAACAACTGCACTCTTGAAATGCAACGAAGTATTCCCGATAAACAAGGAAATGAAAATATATTCTTTCTTTCAATTTTTGCTTTTGAATTGGTTTTATTGAATTCATCTTGCCTTCTTTTATCATGATCTTCCAGTTTTTTACTTTTTCCGTCGTGGCAATAGAGATGAAAAACAAGATTGAAACAGTTCCACCCCAACCCACCCCCTTTGGTGTTTTTTGATATTTTCCATATTTGGCGAGTGGATTGGCATTATGTCCATTTATGGCTGTTGTGAGAAAAAACAAAATGGCGGCAATGGGTGATGACTTTTCGACCTTTCTGGTAAAATTTCCTGTCAAATCAAACGGACAGTTCACGGAGAAACAATATTTCGGTGCACAAAAGCTGGTAAATCAACAGGGGACGTTTCAACGCGTCAAAACCGAGAAATTGGAATTCGCCTCGAAGCTGGTATCATTGGTTCTGCTTTCGCGGGTAAGACTACTGAATAGATATTGGGTATCCTATTCAAAATATTGCTGAAAAAGTGCTCTTTAGATTGACAATAACGGTAGCAAGAGGTATGTGAGGCTTCCTATAGTTCGTTAACCCTTCAACTCCCAAGATCTGATTGTTAACTCTCCCCTCTAGCTTCTAGAACATTTCCTCCTAAAATTGTTGCGAGAATTTAGTGTTAGATCAAGATAACAAACTCTACCTGATAAGTTGAGGTATTCTCATTGCCTTTTTGCGGAATAATGTACTGGTATGATTGGGAGAAGTTTACTCGTTAATCACTTTTGGAAGTTAAAGAGTTGAAGCTGGTTATAGTTGAAAAAATTGTCTTTCATGCACACCATTCAAGGTTTATCATTCCTTGTCAAACTGCAAACTCTCAAATATGATTAAATATTCCACCTCTAGAAGTGATCAAATGTAATTACTTAATACAAATGCCTTAAGTTATTAGGCAAACAAGTTACGAGAAGTTTGAAAAGCGAGGCAAATTTCCCAAATGAAAAAAAAACAAATTCTTGGAAATAAACAGCAAATAAATATATAATCAATAGATGAAAGAAACTTAAATTGAGAAGGGTGCTTTTTTGATAGACAAAAAAAACTCTCTGCCAAATTTATAAGGAAATGTTGTGCAGGTAGAGATACTCATCACATTGTGTGAGATATGGTGTTGGGATCACAAAGTCTGCTGTACTGACCAATTAATTCACTCCAATCAATTCACTTAATCTGGACTTTGTACATTTGACCAACAACAACCCTTCACCTCACTCTGATGATGACTTCTGCTCAAGTTGTTAAAATGTCGGTCACTGCTACTACTGACAACAGTGCTCCTCAGGACTACTCTCAGCCAGAGTATTAAACTACACAGTCACATGTTACTGCCATGTTCAAACCCTTTGCAGTGTAAATAGTTGCTGTATCAATAATTTGCTTTATAAATGACTGTAAATATATGAAAATCATATAAATGAACTGGGGATAAAGTAATGAATATGGATGCGATCTTCACAGTAATGAACACTACTTAAGTAGTAGTGAAAATAACGCCTGAAAAAATTCAGGCTTGTACAGGATTTGAACCCATGACCTCTGCAATACCAGTTCAGTGCTCTACCAACTGAGCTAACAAGCCAACTGGGAGCTGGTCCATATGTTAGTTCCAAATAAACCCATGAAGTGGTGAATAAAATTTTTAGGCCTTATTTTCACTTCTGCCTGAGTAGAGTTCATTACTTTGAAGATCGCTTTCATATTCACGTCTTTATCCACAGCTCATATATATGATTTTCATACATTTACAGCCATTAATTCACCACAATAAAAAACTCCACCATTACTCACTCTCTACACATTGAAGGCAGCAAGCCCCTGGAACCAGACCTGGTGCCTTGCCCTTAAGAAAAAAAATAAACAAATAGACAAATCAATTAAAAGTAAATAAGAGAGTGGACAGAAGCATTTTCATGATTTTTGAAGCTCTCTTTCCTCAGCAAGCATATCAGTATTCTATTAACATGGCAATTTAAGAGCCTGCATTGGTATTGTTTTGGGGGGGGGGGGTCGTACACAGGCATTTTGTAGAATTCAAGGGCATATTTGGCTGCTTCATCGTTTTAAATTAGTACTTGTTTTAGGCCACAGGAGACTCTATTACTCCTGAGAAACACCCCCTCTTTTAACAGAGAAAGGCATTCATAAAATGATCTCATGCCAGGAAATGAAAATACTCAGTGTGTGTTTTGTTGTATATTTGCCCACGAAAACGCAAACTAGTAAAAGCTGGTCAAACATTACATTTGAGGAAAAAATGGAACATAGCTGATGACAATGGACTTTCCTTTTTTAAGAACAGTACCTACCTCCGGGCATCTAAGTGAATTTTTTGGGCTGCATTTTTGAAGCTGGCATGAGACAGTTCCATTTGTGCAAAAGCAGATTTTGCATTCCTTTGCAAACCAAGAATCGTTGTGCTGTTTATTCATACAAAGAAAAAACGCTTTTTCAGTTTAATTACTAATGCTACGAATTTGCGTACAATTATTGGCTTGCATGGTCAGTCTCACTCATTTTCTTGTACTTGCTTGTTGGCCATGTTTGGGTTATGATAATTCTTTCCGAGCGCAGTTATGTACCTTAATTTTAACGGAAGTGAACTATGAAAGAGAAACTTGCCATGATTAAAATAGTTTTAGGAGTCCAAACTAGATGTTTGTTCCGCACCAAATCGGAGATTTTTGGAGTGAGATTTATTTATTACTTTTGAATACAGTAAGGGTCAAAATATGAACGAATAAGTTGTTTAGTGGGATGGGGACAACAAGACTGCATGTTATTCATCCATTGGTCATGCATTGCGTTTCTTTAGATAAGGAAAAATGTTTGTTTTTGTGACTTTAACCCTTTAAGTCCCACCAGTGACTTAGACAGAATTTCTCCTTACACTATCAGTACAATATCAAGGAGACAAGTAATGAGAATAAAGAATAATATCAATTGGGGGATTATTGGTTGATCCAGTTCCAAACTAACATCATATAAATTGCATGGCAGACAGTAAGGAAAATTAGTCATGAAATCTTGGGATCAACGTTATTCATTGACTTGATTAAAATTAGTGGTACCTTATAAGTTCTCCCTTGATGTGTACACGAAGCCGGTCCTAACAAAGGAAAAAGAAGGCACAAGTTTACTAATGTTATTTTGTTTTAGTTCTGCTAGTTCTCCCTTGTTTCTTTGCGAATCGCCTTCTTAGATAGCATGATCGTGGTAGGGTTGGTAGATGTGTTCTTATGAGTCAAACACTTAGACTTTTTGCATTACAATGGTCATCACAAGCACCTAAAACAACGAAGCTTCGAAATCTCTTACTCTAGGTAGGTGGTGGTACATACACAAATCGAACAGTCATGGATGTCACGCAAGGTTTTTATGTGGAAGAAGGGCTAAGTGTTAAACTGCTTAAATGTCAATTTGCCAGATACTTGGATGTGAAACACAAACCAAGGCGTTCCATTTCCGAAAAGAGTATATTCGTTCTAACAAAGGAATTCATGTTTACATTAAGCGTTTTAATAGATTTACCATATTTTACATTTCATCTCGTCCTGAAAACAATTCTTATAAAGAACAATCGGCCTCTAGGCCATGCCGATAGAGATGATCTGTTAATGGGAAGTCGGTTTTAAGAGAGCATCTTGGGTAATCGGTTTTCAATATATTTTCTGAATACAACAGGATAAAGGTTCACTTACTATTTTTTCTAGGTATCTAAATGTTAGGCAGAAATCATCAGAGTATAATTAGATGTTCCATATATTATTTCAGCTTGCGACCACGAATCCTTTAAGTTAAAGTCAACCAGGAATTAGAAATCCGTTTAGGCTAATGAAAATCACTTTTCTGTGCATTTTATTTTGAGTAATACTAGAACAAAGGATATCTGCTTAGCAAGGCTTTCCAGTTGTTTCCATACCGCTGGTTATAAATACTTGTGTCAGCTCGGAAAGAACATGTTTCGGATGTGCACCGGATTCTGTGTTTTTCCGTTAAATGTGACGCCACGTTAGCCCTTTATCTGCGCTATTTAAACCCAAAGCCGTTTATTCGTTCTCAAGGATAAATGCACGGCTCATTATCCTTCTTCAAAAAAAGGAGAGAAACAAAGTTCTCCATTGCTTTGTGGGATGAAGCTTCCGTATATTAAATGAATGCGGCGAAGTTCTAATGGAACAAGCGTCCGCCGTTTCAAAATTTGGACACAATAACAATTCGTGAGGCACTCCTCAGGAGCAGTGAATCGTCGCTATGTCAGGATCGCATGCAGCAACTTAATATGAAGTGTTTAAAATTTAGTTGTCTTGAAATGTTTCTAAGCTTATTTTGCCCATAGGGCCAATGGTGTAAAACAGAATTTCCGTGTTTTCTAGGGGGCTCTCAAACATCTCTGGATCAGCCATGAAGTGGAATAATGAAATTTGCTTTTGTTATTTATAATTCTTCTTGTTTGCAAAAGGATAAGAAGACATCTTTAAGACTTAGCATGATTTGGAGAGACACGCTTTGGAGCATAACATCGCATATGTCACTTTTCTGCAAAGATAATTACTTTCGAAAGTCAAACTAAATGAAAGGTGCAATAATTGAATGATGGATGGTGTCATCATCTCATTTTTTCAGCCCGTTTGTACATCAACATGGATGCATTTGTAAATCATGATCACACAAACGGCGGAGACCAAGAGGCGCCTGAGTTCAACCTTTAATCTGAGAGTATTGTAGTATTTATCTGTATTTATCCTCCCTCGGGCACTGTTTGAGCCATGAAATATCCTGTCAGGAAATGAGATACAAATTCTGCGGTAGATGGCAACAAATTTCCTGTAATCTTCTTTTAATGCGAAACAGAGATGAGCCAGAGGGGATCTAAACTCTAGGCTTTAGCTAACTATTTACCTCTTTGAAAACATAATAACAGAAAGAGAATTTAATTAATTATTCAAAAGAGATAGTAACATATATATGTGCCCTAAATTTGTCAGGAGACACTGAATTAAGTTGAGTAATCAAAACTGGTAAGTGAAATGTTTATTTGTGCGGTCAATTATATCGATATTACAGCTTGAGGCTACTTGGCCGTAATTGTTTGTTCAATAATTTAATTAGCAGATTAAATCGAGCTGCGAATTTAATTTCAAACAGAATTTATTGCAAGCTAAAAAAAAAAAGCTGTTTGGAATGCGTAGGTTACGATGAGCTTTGAGGGCTTTGTTCTCAGGTAGTTGAAAATAAACTGAGATAAAGTCTTAACTGACCAAAAATTTAATTTCCTTAAATAAGCTGTAAGATGAAGTAATGTGTCTAATTAACGGATACAGACGAGATACTTAGAACGACTCTACAGTCGACTTGTCGCCATGGGCGGTAGGATCAAACACCTCTCCGCAAGCACATTTAATCGCTCTAGCCGACCCCATGTCGGCACAAGAAATGATTTGTTTTAACAAAAGGCTATTATGGTTTCATTTCAAGAGGATCGGAATTGCCAAGTAGGTGTTTTAGATTAAAGGAGACATATTTGATTTTTCTTCTGTTTACGCTTAAAGAGAGCTTGCAAAGCGGGTTTTATGATACGATTTCAATTGGACAGCCGCGCTGATTGAATATCTAAACAAATATTTGTTCGGGCTAAATACTGACAAACAAACGCCTATTTAACCATGATTTAGAATAAACAATCAAATGTTTGAATTGAGCAGTTCATTCCAAAGTCCGGTCAAACGCGAGGGTTATTTAGGTTCAAATGTAACTTTAATTTGCGAAACTTTCTCGAAAGTGGGTTAGAACAAAGGTTTTTTAGGAGCAAATTTTCAGGCCTTTCCAATCAAAAGATTCATTAAAAAAAAAAAAAAAATATATATATATATATATATATATATATTTGGCATGGCTTAGATGATCCCACATGTGTGAGATCACTTGGGGTGGCTATATGGCCTCACCTCCATCCTAGCATCAGCACTGCACTGATGAGGCCCAGAAGGCCGAAACAGTACTGTCTGCAGTTAGTTATATATATATATATATATATATATATTTATAAGTTGCATGGATGCTAGAGTTCAAAGAATTTGCTGGAAACGAAGTGAACTGTGTCGCAAGTGAAAGAAGACCTGTAAAGACCTCGGTCGAGGTTATCGAAAGCGGCTCTTCTTTTATATCCTTTAGTGCCGCAGAGGAAGACCCAACAAAAATGAATAAGTAAATGGATAAACAAAACCTTGAAAAGGAAAACACCATGAACGAAAACTGAATCGTGAAAATAAGGACTTGGAGAAGGAGCTGTCCAAAGTGGTTCGCATGTCTCAAGCTTTTTTCTTAGTGTTTTCTTAACAAAGATTTGTTGAAAACAAATATTTTCTTATGGACTATAATTTCAAATTTAATAATCCAGGTTTAGAACTCCACGTATTCTCCTTTTCTGACAGGGCGCATTGATCATTGAGTTTCCGCTGCAAAATTAAAATTTTATTACTGCCCGGTTAGATTCATTTAAAGCACATCACCTTGTCTTGCTTTTCTACTCCGTGGGCTCTAGAGCACTTTCGAACTAAGAGCACTTAAATGAAAATTTATGGAAACAATTAACGATGTCTTCTCGAAATTTTTCTTTATCTTGACATCTTCATGGTGGCCTGACTATCTTAGTGTACAATTCTTTCTTTTCTTTTTGTCCTAAGTCTGTATCTGATTAGCGGTGAGACAGAGGCGCACAGATTCCTTGCAGATGCTGTGTTGAAATTTTCTGCTAATGATCAACATGAACACCCAAAGTGACGAAAGTTCTTTATTTCTTACGCGGAGAATTATTACCTTGGTTTTCATTGCAAACGGGACAGCATTTGCCTTTCTCTCTCTTCAGAGTTCCCTTGCATGCGTTCGTCCTTGGACAGACCTCGCGCGAACATTCCACAGATTTGTTCTAAAAAAGATGAAAAATGTTTGAAAAGATCGCTCACATAATACCCTCATATACTTTTAGATATCCTTGATGTATACCAGATCTTCTTGTTTCCGGGATAAGTGTTATATTCTGAGATCTAGGATATAAGTATCACTAAGGGACCGCTAGATGAACTACATAGTACTTTTTCACAACATCTGAATGTCGTTATATATTTCACCGTGGATCTTGCGTTGATTATAAGCTCACACCGTTCAATAATCTCTATGGCAAAGAGTTAAGTTTTGAACCAAGACTGTTTTGAGTTTGTTACCCAGTCTTATCCAGACACCGCTTAAGCCTTAAGAAAGCTTAATTTATCAATCTTGTCAGATTGCAACCTAGCATAAACTTCTGTTTACCTACTCTTGTTCTGTTTGGGTTGACCCTTTGCTGTTCATCATTAATAAAAGTTTTCTTTGGAGTCATTTGTTTTTCGCTTTGCAAAAACGTCAAATAACATCTGTTTTTTTTTTTGTCAGAAGCAACAGCCACAATATATAAGACTTTACTCTCCAGAAGTACCTTTCCTTACTTAAGATGCGAAAGTCGGGAAGGGAGAGAAGTTTGAGTTCTCGTGTCCTAGGATCGTTAGCACAGCACGCCACCCTTTACGTTTTAAATATATGCCCTTTGTAATCTCGTTTATGGCACGCTTATTCAACAAAACCAATTAAAGCTGGATCGTTTGGTCAAGATAAGAATTGAAACGACATGAATGATGCCATAAATAAGAAATCCTTACCAATTTTTGTGGCATCATTAGAATGTTAGCTAAGATTATCTGTCAAAGATAAAGGATGATGGTTACTGAATCGGTTATGCGGCTGCTCACATTGCTTTTAAATGTCGCCCATCATTTTACAAGAGTGAAAAGAAAAAGGAAGAAACTGATTCACACGAGAGTATAGAGTAGCATCAGGTTGTCGAAAATGACATTGAAATTACAGCAGCTGTGTAGCTGTTTATGGATCCTGAAAATCTGGCTTGAATTTTTTGAATCGGCTGTTTAATCCATGTCAATCTTCTGCACCCCTAGCGATCCTAGCTCGTTTTCTAGTCACTAATTCAACTCTGCTGCTTTTTTTGTCTTACAAAATATTTTTTTATTGGTTTCCATAGCGTTAAGGATCAGTTTGCCCATAGAAGAGAACAAATAAAAAATATCGTGAAAATTTCCCTTGAGGCGGTGCTATAATAGATTTACACGTGCTGAAATTACACGACTCAAATTATAAATTGTGCACTTGTTCTCCTTGACTTGTATCTCGCAGTAAACTATTCGTAATAATTTAAGCACTAGTGAGAAAGTTAAAAATGAGTGGAAAGTCTAATGTGATATCATCCTTGTCGAAAGTGCCTGAGTTTCTAGAAATGTCAATGTCAAGAACGCTCCCATGGCATTTGTCACGGTTGCTAATTCTCTCCAAACCAAGATTTGCATGCTAGTCGTTAGCTGCTTCACAACACTGCCAATATTATCTACAAGTATTTCCGGACGAAAATCAATTGGCCAGTCCATACATGTGTGAAGCTGTGAAAAAAATTCATTTTTAAAAAGGTGCAAGGACGCATACGCATTGCACTGAGGAACAAAAGATCAATACAGGAAGACATTGCTGAATTTTTCACCTCTGACTAGCTGTTCAAATGAAACCAAAATGGAAATGTAATCATCAGATCGTTTGGGAAATATTTGACCAGTACCTTACCATGACGGTGATGTACGTTGATTTTCACAACTTCAGCCAATATCAATTCTTGGTTATTGTAAAAATAAGGGTCTTTTTTTCTTTTTTTTTGGGGGGGGGGAGAGGGGGGCTGCTGCTTAACCAACTTAATGCCCGAGGCTATGACAATCGCTTCAGCGATCGCAATTTAAGGTAGCTTGAAGGTTTGTGATTCAATATTACGTCGGCTGCTGTAGAAGAAAGAAACATTGATGTAAATGCAGCGGAGATGTTGCGGAGGAATTGATAACTGATCTATAATTGGTCGAAGCTTAGTTGTTCCTTATTAACTTCTCGATTCACGCCTAGAATTTCTATATTGATTTCTCCATGGGTGTTAAATGTTCGTCAAACGGCCGTCAGAATCCACTTCCTTAAGTTTCTTTCCATTACTAGAGGAATGGTTTGAATGTTTTCTACAAGTTGACTCTTAATATACTGACAAAGCTATTTTGATATGTCTTTTCCCGAGGGGCGGGGGGAAGGGAAGGATTGGGAGAAAGGCATGATAGCTGACTAAAATAAGAGGGCAATATAACCTACAGAGTTGTCTTGTGACACTTATTTAATGGTTGTTTGCCAAATCTCGGTTTTTACCTGTTTAATGTGGTAGATGTTTGTTAGCCTAAGGATCTTGGGTTTCAGTTCGTTCAGATCAGAAATGGGAGACTAAACAACTGTTGAATATTTTCAAATATATCAAGTCTGAATTGGCATCTCACTTCATCTGAGAATGAAGGGCGCCGGTGGCACAATTAATCAGTTTATACTGTCAAGGATCGCAGTCAGTTGGGGTCTGACTCCCTCTTAACCGATGGAGAAATATTTTCTACTTCCTTTATTATCTGTCTGACTTATTGCTGCAACGGTTTCTTTTTGGAGAACTTGATAGAGAAAGAGATTCCAAGGAGGTTGTGGTCTTTAGCTCAGAGATCTTATCTATCTTTCCTTTTTTGTATTTGTGAATCGAAATATCTTTCTGATCAACAAATATAATTGTTTCCTGAAAAACATTTCCCGCAAGGTATTAAGCAATGACAATTGGCAAATGATCTTGACTGGATTTCCTGAGCACTACAACGTACTTGTTAAGTTATGTGAATAATGCGTGCAGCACGGAATTCGAGGTAAATAAATTGAAGTACTTAATGTTATTTTGTCTGAATTTTAATACCACCCTTGGGGCAATATCGATATGTCTCACAGAATTGATGATAATACGTGACACATCAAAACAGAGAAAAGGCCCCCAACAAAGTGAACAAGTGCCAAGATTATAGCGATTAGTTGCTTGTTTTTCAACGATAGTGGGATTGCTGATGCCACTCTGCAGCGGCATAAGAGGTTATACACACCCGTATCTTGTTTCATGTTTACAGACAGGCTAAAAGAAAGGCTCCCCTTAAAGGAAACGTCTTTTGCGTAAATGCTATTGACCCATCAGCTGTTTTTCTCCTCGGCTTAAACTCTCATACCACCATCATAATAAGTAAACCACAGGCATGTAATGATCCAAATAATTTGAAGTCTCTTGCGATATCCTTGCTGTTAATTGTAGTCACAAGGGGGCTTACTATGTAGTCCTTATAAGCACTAGTAATCATTCTCAAGATAAAATATCAGCGTTTTGAAACGGAAGAGCTACCTTACTGACACGGCACGAAGATTTGATACGTTTTAGTCTAAATCATTTTGTACTTCTTCTTCTGCTACTTCTACAGGTCTAATTTGGGTTGTATGCCATCGAACTTAGACATTGCAATTTCCTACAATGAAACGAACGGTTTTTAGTGGTGAAGTAATCGAAGTACTTGGATAGATAACGGTTTTAGTGTCTATCGAACGTAACGAAGAGAGACCAACTCTGGAAAATAATATTCAATCATAGCGTCCTCACGCTTGATGAATTATGAACTACAGGCCGCACCTATAAGCCATCCGAGTCAACGTTTAAAGAACTTCCATTTTCAAAAATCTCCCTTTATACTGGAAAAGTGTCATCGACTGATGAAAAAATAACAAACGTGTACAAAACAGCAACATAGCCAAGCACTTAAATAGTAAGATATTCTGAGCTTGTCTTTACGTATCAAAACCTCTCTGCAGTACTTTGAACTATTAAGGGCGACCCAGTGGGGCTTATGACGATCCCTTGCAAGGGAGGAAAAAGCGCCACATCGAAGCACTTGACTTATACTGTCATGCTGTGCACGATAGATTCTTAATGCAAGTCAATAAACGGTACCACATAGTGTTACATAATTTGATTACTTCATTTTTTGTAGTCTCTTACACGGATTACTTTAAGATAGAAGGATAAAATTTTTCCCATTTATTTTCTCGTGGGAAATATAAGCTAATTTTCTGATGGCTTTTTTTTTAATTCACTGGCTATTTTAAACCGAGGTAATTCGACCAAAATTAAAGGATCTAAGCGTGTTAAAGTAATGATTCCTCATTTCGTCATATTGGATGACTAAACTGCATTCAACATGATATTTCTAAGTTGAAGGTTTTTTAATGATTTCAATTTTAATTTTTGCCAACAATCGTTAAATTCTTCCATCGCAGAAACCGTCATGGCAGAACCCATAATTTGGGCTTTTATTTTATGTTACAGTGATAACTTAGGGTTAATAAAAGTCTCTAGGGGACAAATTCCACAGGTTTAAAACGCTTGGAAGGTTACTCATAAGATAACGGGAAAAATAAACGAATGCTTGAGAAAGAACCTGACTACGTTAACACGACGTTCTTTTAAAGGAAGACCGGATGAGATTTTCTTTCTTTGTTTGTGGGTACCTCTTTGATGTGATGAGTGACATCAAACCACATGAAAGTTAACTTCGACGGATCACGATTTTTATCTGCGGTGTTCAAAAAGATTTGTTTCTTTTTCCGTTGCAATCTGTGTTACCATAACATTTTTTTTTATTGATACACAGATATTTTCCGTATTTGGGTTCAAAACCCTTTTCACTTTCCGTCTCCGTGGCCACGATGAGGTGTGGAAGATTCTTTGACGTAAGAATTGCACGAAAAGTCACTTGGTTAAACAAACACTGTTTTTATCTTGTGTGAATGTTTCTGGGTCAGATTCCTTCTCTTTTTATTAAAAAACATCTTGGGAATCCGTTTTAAGGCAAAAAGATGGAAATAATGAAAGAAATTGAACACTTTTTTCGTGTTATAGTTGACAGTTAGGTGAGATCGGCACACAACTCGCTTCTTTGGGATAAATCCACGTGTTTTTGGATATTTCTGCGTGCGATTTCATGAGAAGCAAATATTTGATACAATTTTAGTTATGCAAATTATCTTAAGCAATAACATGGGAGGTTAAATTGGATTTTTGTATTAGCATGCCAAAGCCTGTTATTGAGTCGTAGACTGATAAAAGATACAGCACTGAGAAAACTTATCATCTTATCAATGCAAATGTTTCTAATCTTGTTGCCGCTGACGTTAATAAAGAGGAGAACATAACAAATACCAGTGACTTGTGACTCAAAATACACGAAAGGATATCAGAATGTCAAATCTTAGGAAGGAAAGGGTGTGATAACTATCTTGCATGTGATTTCTCGTTGTATCTTAAAGAAGAAACGAGAAACAGACGACGTTAAAAATTGCCAATCATTCCCAGAGTAACCCTTCGGAAATGTGCCAATCAATCACTTTTGACTTGAATGAAAAGATGGATGAAAGCAACTCAGTTATGAATTACACTGTCAAAATTAAATTATATCGTGTTCTCTTCAGGTGAAGTACAGTTAATTTATTTTTCTGTCTGGAGCAACGACTGAAGCTACGTGTAGGTAATTAAAAAAAGGCTAAAATGATTAAAAAGGTATTGGAAACTCAGGATGGGAAAGAAGGAGAACTGAAACCGGCTTTTATGTCCATCATTTCATCAGGGGATTTTCGACTGATTTGTGAAAGACTACAGTTACCTTCGTGCTAAAACTGATTTTTAAAGTCGCGGTTTGGAGTAATTTAGCCATCAAACGTGTCTGCTATGTTCGTTTTAGGCTTCTAGTGTCAGTTATTTATCAGATTGATTGTTTTATCAGCCATGTCTTTCAATTTCACTTTTTATAGCTGAAGTTTCGCATTCTTCAAATAACTGAACCCTTTAGTACGAAAACACCCAACCTCTCGCTTTCGTATTGAATGGAATTCTCCCTTCGTTTTGGAGGCATTCTCGTAGTTGAGACGCAACCTCGAAATGTGTTCGTACGGCAAGAGTAACAACTGAAATAATTTTTTCACCCAAATCTCCTAATTATATTCAGGCATGTATTTCGTAATTCGTCAATCACAACGTGTTGAGGTGAGAATGAAACTCAAAGCACATTTTTCGGATTAATAGTCTAAGGAACTATTGCGACTGATTTTTTTCAGTTCAAAACTGCTACAAGATACTCATTCTGCTCACGAAGGTAAGAAATTTGTGTTCAAATAGTGACAGATTAGAAGAACGGGCGAGGCTGTTCAGAAAATTTATGCCCACCACTAGAAAATCCATCTACTCGAAATCATTCAGTTATGTCTATATTAGGAATTCCTAACCTAGGAAGAAATTTGTCCGCTTGACTTAATCATTGCGAAAGAGGAAAAAGTTGACCGCTAGCGAGAACACATGTGATACAGAGGAAGAAATACAGATGAGAACTTATAACCTTTTATTTTAACCCCAACCCAAGGAAGGCATGCAATATCGCCTTAAGTATACGTGACTTTGTGTTTGCCCGCTTATCGCATCGTGTCTTCGTCTTTGTAGAAACAAATTCCGTATTCCTCGGTAATATATTTGAACACGAACCAGCTGAATCAAAAGTGGAAAAAGCACTTGTTGTTTGTTGTGCCATTAGTAGTAGCCTGAGTGATTCTCAAGTGCGTTAATGATTCTACTCTTTGCCTATTGTCATTTAACGGACAGGCTAAAGTGTACTTTTGTGAAGTTGACGTTTTTCGCATAGCAAACGGAAAGCAATTTACTTCAAATAACAAGGGAAGCTATTCAACCACGAAACAGTTCAAGAGTAAATTGTTGTTGACGAGCTTATGATGATTTCAATCTCGACCCCTTCCCGATAAGATGAACACGAGTTGATCAGTTCTCGACTCTCTTAGTTACTTTTTTTCTTTATTATCTCTCCCACTTACAAACTATCCCAAGCTGTCGAATTTTCTGTTTAGATACGCGAGCCCTGTTCTTTATTTAGCTTGCTGATTTATCTAAATAAAGCATATGCACAAAAACTAAACCGCGTGCGAGTGTTACTTCACTTATGTTCAATTAGTGTGCACGGTGGTAGACAAATTGGACAAGTGATGGTACGTTCTATGGACATATTCCAAATATTTGCACGCGTCTGTAGCCAATGATTTTACTAGGACTAGACGGAATGAGCCATCATCAGCTCCATCAGCTATCAGTGATAATTTTTCCTCCATCTGAAAAGTAAATAAGTGTCTTTGCCTTCCTCCCACCGAATGTTTACGTTGAAATTTGAACAGCAATTTTGACCATTTCCTAATCCTATAAAAACTTCGCTCGCCTTTTTATAGACGCGTTTGTGTTTCCTGCCAAGGTTGTCACTGTAGGCAGTTCTTATCGAAACACTCTGAACAATGATGTCACGAACTGGTTATAAATTCTTTAAAAAGAAAAACTCAGGGCTTCCACTAACCTTGCATCGGCACACAAAACATGGATTTCCCGCCAAAATTGGTAGCTCAATGACTGCGTTCTCAACAGTGCACGAAGCCAGGCTCCCTAGGAGTAGATAATGTCGCAGTCAGTGGCTCTAAATTTGCTCTCCTGCGGTTTTGAACACTAAAATCTCTATAATGTACACACAAACCTTGTATTTTAAATCCCGGTGCCACGCCGCCACCAGCAACAGAGGAAATGAGGAGCAAAAAAGCGAGCGAACTCGACAGCCGCAAATTACTTTGCCTTGAGTCAAACATGCCAAAACGATTTTCTAAAATATAGTCAAGTCAACCTTAACCCGATTACGACTTCCACTTCACTGCATCTTAAGTGTTCTAGCTTGGGCTTATATAATGACAATTGAGCGTATGTGTGTCGCTTTTCAACGGACTTTTCCCACTTCCGTCACAAAGACTCGGAAATTTCTCGCCACGCAGGCGCCGCCGACGATCGGGGGAGGAGAAGAAGGCTTCTGTGATATATTACTTGTGGTGCATAGTGTTGAGCACGCGAACACTAATCGATGACCGAATGACATTAATCACTGCCTATCACCAGAAGCTGGTTCATTTCAAACATACCTTTGGGTTGCTTGATCATTTATCATCGCTGCCATACTCAAAACAGGTCAAGCTGTCAACAGCGATTTACATAACACGATCCTATAGTGAGAGTTTGTATGTGTGTGTCAATGGCTCGTATGTAGCCAGTTATCGGTGTAGAAGATTGAGTTTAAGTTAAGCTTTGTCGATTGTTTTATACCACGAGGGTTATTCTGTAAGTGGTGTATAGTTGTGTATTTTTCTCTTTGCTTTATTTGTCTAGCGAGTTCTTTGTTTGCTCCCGATTTCAATACATCAAAGGTGTTGTGCATAATCGTTTGCAGGTTATTGATAGCGATCTCTATGATTTTCGCATGTTTGAATTTGTGCTCATCGCATGCCTTCATTTATCTGTCTGGCATATCGAGCCAATTTCCCGTTGTTGAACTTCTCTTGAATGTTATTGATTTGTTCTCTGTGCTGTGAGCATAACACACAACGGATGGGTGTAATTTGGAAAGGATTTCAGCAGTAAGTGCCAAGTTTATTCAATTCATTATCAAGAATGAGCTCTTGAATGAGCCCAGTCAGAGCGGCGCCTGAAGACAAGGCCCAAAAAAATTGGCTTAATTTTGAGCAATTTGAATAAGTCACCAAATCTCTCAAAACATGTGTAGCGCGACGCTGAAGTAGCATAACCTTGTTAAAGTAACTTCTCTTGTTGCCTAGAGTTATTTCTTTAATTACTGCTTATCGTGTTATCTTTTAAAAGTGTAGACGTCAACACTGTCCAATAACCTCGCTTCTGACACGGTATTTGCTGCCAGGGGAAAAAAATCTTCAGTGCCGACCTTTTTATCTAATTTAGGCTACGCGGTGAACTTTGAATTTCCAGCTCACTGGAAGAAAAAAACAAAGACAATTAAGTACTTCTTCGTTTATGGACGCCATTATGAACAGGATCCTTGCCAACCGTTACGCTTTAAAAAAAATTATAAGGTGTTAAGCTGACATGAGTAATGAAAACACAATTAAACAACTGTTCACAGTTTTTGCTGCAATGCGTAATGATTTATGGAACAAATCTCACCGCTTTCAGTATTGTTCGTTTGTTTAGAATTTTAAAGCAATTTAGAAATTAAAATTCGACTAATTCCACTTGTGTACCAGCCAGATATGTTGCTTTTTTTTCTTTTTTTTTTTTTTTTTTTTTTTTTTTCGTTTTAAGACTATTGGGCTCTTTTTTTTTAACCGAGTTTCAAGATAAAACCCACATATTTAGTCTATTATGACCGCTTCTATTTCTGGGTGACGTCTCTCGAACTAAGATTAATTATATTTTTTCATGTAATATTCGATCTTCGAATATTGAATATTCGAGCTCAGAAAGATAAAACGATTAAACAAACAAATGAAAAACATCTTTCAGCAGTGAAAAGGTTTATTTTTCTTGGTCAATGACACAAGCCTCAGCAGAGTTCTTTGGATTATTTTGTTATTTATTACCCCAACTCAACTTAACACAGACATGTGTAAAGGGGGTAAGTTTCTAAAGAAACTGGTGCTGCGTCGGTGGGAGAATATAACAGGCTAATTTGGTCTTATCAACTGAGTTGACTACGTAAATTGGCCACCGTAAAGAACCGTTTAAAAGCTGGCGTTTCGAGCGTTAGCCCTTCGCCAGAACAAATGGAAACACAAATATAATTTGAGTGAACCTAATTTAATTTTGGGTAGCAAATTTCTTTGAGAGTCTTATCAAAAGCCAACATTGTGAAATTTAGTCTTTCAATTCTCACGGTTTTTTTATCGTTGAAGCGCTTCTTTGCTATATGCGAAGTTTCGTTAAGTGCATTTTGCGATTGAAATATTTTAAACTCGACAAACGTATGGGTCTGTTACCTATTTCCTCTCAAAATCAACTTAATCAGTTTGAGACAATATTTCCGAGCTGCTCTCCTTCCATTGTTATCCTTGTTTTTGTAGATATCTTGTCTACTTTTAAGTGTTTAGTCGTAGGTTCGAGTGTCTAAGAATTAAAAGGAAATACTAGAACAATCAGGGCAACCTTTTCTTGTTAAATGAAGGAAATAACCAATCAATAAATCTGATCATGATAAATTCAATCGATGGTTGCTAAACGCGTTAAAGATTCTCCAAGATGAGTACATTTTCAGATGGCTTTATGTCATGCCATTCATGTATATAAATACGCAAAAATTATCTTAGGAATCACCAGATTTCCTAAATATTTTCTCGTGTAATTACTCTTCGTGGAAAAGAATCATTTCGAAGTTCAGTTTTAGGTCAGAGGATCTGGTCAAGGGCTGTCCGAAAATTGTGGACATTTTGAAGAGATGTCCATAACATAAGGTCTTGATATTTGAACTAAACCCCCTGTTTGTGGCGATCACAATTGTCTAGAGCCTGTGTGTGTGTTCGTGTGTGTGTGATTGTATCAGCAACTAGAGTAGTGACCTTTGCTTATCCATATCGTTTTCACTGACATATTCGAAGCGATTTTATTATTATTATTATGACAAATGATCGTAACTATCACATGAAAATGTCTCTTTGGGTTCTTATGTATCATTTTAGCCTCCTCATCAATGTCGTATGTGGTATTACCCACTAAGGAACGCCAAGCGCTCATTTCAAAAATAGATAACTAAGAACTATATTAAGCTAACAATAAGTCTGTCCCGATTTGTGAAACCTCTTGAGCTTGTTATCCACACGTGCCAGGTTACTAAAGAGACATAACATGACGAAAACATTTCTTTTCGGAGCAAGTACAGACTGGTGTTGTGTGATGAAGTTTTGTGTTCCCTTAAATTTATAGGGTCTGCTAAGTAGATCAATACACGTTACTTGTAAATTGTTGCCACGTAACAAAGATGACTCATTATTTCAATCTTTGTGTTGCGTAGTCGTGAAAACAAAATCTCCGTTATAATCCCATGGAAATACAGTGAAAGAAATCATACACTAAGATAAGCGGATTAGAATAATAAGGATTTTGCTCCAAAAATTCTTAATCTCCTTCTCAGCTTTGGAAAAAATTACGCTGAATAATTGACAATCCTTTTAAGTAATTTTAGCTTGCTTATATTTGCTGAATTAAACAGAACATATCGTGATTTTCTCCCTAGTAAACCGCCAGGAAAGGAATGATCAAAATGGTTTTTCCTTTGTATGGTTTTCTGTGCGCATGTTCTTAGCTATATATAGCTATTTTTTAATCCATTATTTGTTTTCTCACTACTTATACCACCGTATTTTCAAATATTTTTTTATGTAGCTTTTTTTTTATGACAAATGAAAACACGAATGATATATACCTTAGGTAATGAGCTAGTAACAAGGACGGAATGTTACTTGCCCGGACCTGTTAATATACAAAGGACAGTCTCCTTTTGTGAAATGACTTTTAACTTTCAGTTTTGATAAAATACCGTGGTTTTAATTTCATGCATCTCCGTCATAGTTTCACGTTTCTCTCATCTGAAGTGGATAAGAAATATTATCGTTGGACTCTATTGCAATACGCACTTCCTAGTTGTCAGCAAGTCTCTGAGAAAATATGTTGGAAAGAAGAAAATATTTCCAAAATTTAGTATGGTTTGTACAAATTTTGAGCTCTTTTTCACAAAGTTAGGTGACAGTTACCTATTTCAAGTATTTAAAACTAAATGCTAAAGAGGATTTGTGGCAACTGTAGGTCACCGTTTATCAACCAAAAATTATGAATATACTTTTTTAAGTCCTCGGTTTTTAGTGAGTCTTCTCATCCTTACGAATTCGGTGGTATAAACGTAATTTTTAATTACAACTTTCACACTTTATGAACCATTGTGTTCTGGTGGTCTTCTAGTATGACGTCATTCCCTCAACGTTACACATGGCTTGAAGCTCGAATTAACAACTCTATTTAAAACTGTCACGAAATGCAAAAAACTAACAAGACAACAATCTTTACTAACCCTAGACTTGGACAACCTTCCATGGAAGTCTCAACATGACACTTTCTTGTGTAATTACAGATCAGCTGCAAAAATCAATATCTTCCTTTAGATCTCTCTCCAGGTTCTTATTTTATTCCTGATCAAAAAGGTAACATGCGTGTGGGTGGGCCAAAGTCGTACGAAGCGGAAATTATCTTTGTTTTTGTAGCCAAATAAGACTAGGGATATAAAGATGTCATATCTCGCGGTAAGTCCATCTAAATATTTTAATACCATCAGTGTTACTGATATTGGTATTTTTGTCGCATTGTCTAGCCGTCACTACGTGAACGCTTCTTTTCTTTCTCGTCAATTCCACAGCCAAATAGTCAGCACGTGTCGCACGAACGCACAATGTTCTGTGCTTTAAGGTGCGTTGCTTACGTAGCCTTGGTGTCACGAAAGAAAAAAATGAAGAATATTTTTGTTTGGAGGCCGTAAGAGGATTAGCTTTGCGCTAATTTCTCATGTCTGTCCCAGCACAAAACATTGTAAAGAGTATTCTCGTCTGATGGAGAGAAACCCATTTTTGTGTGTGTGTGTTTTGTTAAGGGATTGCTACTTTCACTCATCAGTTTACTGTGTTGATTACAGATTCCTATTGGATTGCAATCCTCGAGGTGATCGTGGTGAGGCATATTGGATTTATTCACGAGGGGTTTACCGTGATGAAGAGGGAAAACAGGAAAAATCTGGTTTCAATGAAAGGCT